TGTCAATTTGTAAAACATACTCGCAATTCATACCCTATTCAGCCATACAAAGCATCAATATCTTTTTCTATAATTCATAATGATGTTTGGGGTCATTTCAAGTTTCAAATGTTATAGAGGCTTGGTGGTTCATCTTTTTTATAGATGATTACACATAACTCATATGGATTTTTATTATGAAAAATAAATTAGATGTCCCGAAATATTTAAGAATTTCAACGCAATGATTAAAAATCAATTTCAAACTTTCATTCAAATACTTAAAACTGATAATGGAAGGGAGTTTTTTAATTCTAATCTTAGTTCATATCTATCAACTTAGGGAATCATACACCAAGGTCCAAGTGTAGATACCTCTCGGTAAAATAAGATAGTCGAGAGAAAGAATAAACACCTTCTAGACATTGTTAGGTTTCTATTGTTTTCATCAAATGTTCCAAAATGTTTTAGGGTGAGGCTATCCTTATAGCAACATACCTAATCAATCGACTTCCATCAAAGTACTAGATTTTTCCATTTTACATAAAGTATTTTTATAACACTTTCCTCAAAGTCATCTAATTTCATTCTTCCTCTCAAAATATTTGGGTGTATTGTGTTTGTGCATATCCATCAACAACATTGTATCGATCCACCAAGTGTATCTTTGTAGGGTACTCTCTTAATCACAAGGGTTACAAATGCTTCGTCCTAACAACCAAAAGTTTTATCACACCATGTATGCCATATTTTTTGAATCAAAACTCTATTACCTCAAAACTAATTTTTAGGGGGAGAGTTCTAGTCAAAGTCAACCACAAGAATATCAACTTTTCTTAGAGAGCATAAATTGCACACCAAAAACACCAAAACTATAAATACACCTTATCCACTCAAAAGTGCTTCTACCTATCTATAAGTGTCCAACTTGAACTTGAATCATAACCAATTGATTCTAATCTCCCAATATAATTGTCTATCACGAGAAAAAGAAAAAGTTAAGGGAATCGGAGACTTTAGCGGATTTACGACTACTACTAGCATCCGATCCCGAGGTAAGTATCCCTACATCCGATTTATAAATTATGGAGAAAAATTTTACAGGTTCTAATTTAAGTAATATTGGTAATTTCGATAATAATCTACCCATTGCTTTAAAAAAAAAAGGTGAAAGAATGACATTGTACCCTATTGGAAACTATGTAAACTATGATGGACTATCTTCATCTTACTAAGCATTCACCAAAAAATCAATTCTATATCCATTCTAAACTCAATCCATGAAGCCATAGTTATCTCAAAATGAAAGAAGACAATCAATGAAGAAGTTAATGCTCTAGTGAAAATTGATACTTAGGAGATTACTTATTTACCTCATGAAAAGAATGTAATCCGATGCAAGTGGATCTTCAATGTAAAAATAAAAACGAGATAGTAGTATTGAAAGATACAAAGCTCGATTGATATTTAAGGGATTTACTCAATCCTATGATATAAATTATGAGGAGACCTTTGCTCTAGTGGCAAAACTCAACACTATTCAAATACTCTTCTATGTTGTAGTATATTTGGATTGGCCCTCTATCAACTAGATGTTAAGAATGCATTCTTGAATGGGAATATAGAAGAGGAGGTTTATATGGACATTCCTCGAGGATTACGGAACTCATCAAATATAAACAAAGTGTGTCGATTAAATAAGTCACTTTATGGTCTCAAACAATCATTGGAGCTTAATTTGAGAGATTTACCAAAGTTGTGAAGAGTAGTAGATATATACAAGGACAATCCGATCATAAAATATTTGTAAAACATTCTTCGGAATGACTGATTTCTATGTTGATTGTCTATATTGATGATATTATTCTAACAAGGGATTATACCGAGGAGATTTCAAGAATCAAATAATTTTTTAATAAAGAATTTGAGATTAAAGACCTAGGTAAACTCACATACTTCTTAGAAATGGAAGTGGCTAGGTCTAACCAAGGCATTGTAGTTTCTCAAATGAAGTATATACTAGATCTTCTAAAAGAAACAAGTATGCTTGGGTGTAAACTCGTAGAGACACTTATGGACTACACCATCAAACTTGGGTCCGATAAGGTTAGTGCTCCTATAGATAAAGGAAGATATCAAAGACTAGTAGAGAATTTAATCTATCCGTCACATATTAGGCCGGACATAGCATTTTTAGTAAGTTTTGTTAGCCGGTTCATGAACAACCTTATCGAAGAACACATGACAACGAGTGTACGGAGTCTTAAGATACTTGAAAATGACTCCGGGTAAGGGACTATTATTCAAAAAGAACTTAAATAGGGAAATGGAATTGTATTCTAATGCAAAATAGGTAGGCTCAATCACAAATAGACGATCCACCTCCGGATACGGTACCTATGTTTGGGGAAATTTGACAATATGGAGGAGTAAAAAGCAAGCTATGGTAGCTAGGAGTAATGCTAAAGTGGAATTTCGAGCAATGGCTTATTATGTTTATGAAAAAATGTAGGTGAAAATAGTATTAGTCGAATTGAAGATAAATTTTAAGGGATCGATAAAATTGTTTTATGACAATCAATCTGCCATTAGTATTGCCAAAAATCCAGTTCATCATGACCGAGATCAAGCATGTGGAAATATATCGGCATTTTATTAGAGAAAAGATAGAATGAGGAGTACTAAAACCTACTTAAATTCCTTTTAATCTACAAACCGTCAATATCCTAACTAAAACACTTCCAAGGATGCATTTTGAAGATTTTAGTTGCAAGTTGGGTATGATAAATATTTACAACCCAAGCTTGAGGGGGAATGTTGGGATTCTTTACAATTAATCAGTTATAAATTAGGCTATAAATCGAGTGTAATTAGCTGTATATTTGTTTTTTATTTAGAATAGATTAGGTTAGATTTTCTCCTTAAAGTAGAAAACAAATCCTAATATTTATGATTCTTTTTATGTATATAAACATATGTTTTAGTATAATAAAATTCCGATCATTCAAAACCTAATTATTCACATATTTCATTTTATGACAACCACCGGACTACTTATGAAGATAAATCTGGTTTTTGGATGTTGATAAACATGACGGAAACATAATTATTCACCGCTGGACTGATTCAAGGATATCACCATTAATGGACAGCAATCCTGAGAGATATATGAACCAATACCAAAAATGCACGTCCTTCAAGGTTGTGACTATATATGATTAACTATGGCTAATAATTAGCACATGGCAATTTAATTAGCATCAACCTTTTTATCTCCTCAAAGATAATGTGTCTGCAACTTATTATTAGTTACCAATGGTTTGAGCTGATTGAGACTGAAATTTTAAATAATAATTAAAAACAGTTGATAAAGTACAGGGTGTGATACCATTATTTATCCATTACATTTATCGTAACATACTAAACAGTAAAGACTATCCAGATATGGATACTTTACCATGATTTGACAGTGTAATCTTGATTTGTGGTTTAGTATGCTAGACATATGCATACCATAACTTTCATTCTCAGCGTGTTATGATTAGGTTTACATCGTTATCAGTGAATCCATCAAGGAATTAAACATTAATTTCTTCTCATTAAATTTCGAACTACCTCAAATATTCCTTGATGGGCATTCCTGATCATGATTGATTTCATTTTATGCTGTGGAATGGCTAATTTATAAGATAAAATCATCACAACTTTAAAGCAGGTGGTTGGAATTTCCAAGTCTTCGGTTACAATATTCTCAATCTGCATCATTCCACAATCTAATAATTAAATGCATGATCGATAAGGTTTTTACACTAAACTCTGCAGTTCTTGGATGTTAATTACCTTCAAAGGTCATGATCCGTTAAGTGCCTAATCTTTTATAGAGAAATGCTCGAGCAACTTGCCAATTGTGTTTTGACTGCATACTTTTTGCAAGTCATTTCTCGCAAAGTCCTATCATGTTCTCCAATACCAAGCACTGGCTACATGCATCAACATCAGAAAACCAATAGCTTCAAAGTGATCCGCAGCTCAATTTCCAACGTTGCTTGACTGACTTTCTCTCAATAATATCATGACAAATTTGATAATATATATATATATATATCATGGGTACAGGTGCGTGTAATTTCAGCTCATCTTTTCAACTTTTGCAGCTTAAAAGAATCTGAAATTAACAACATCCCACCAACAGTACTGGTGTCATATAAATTTGATTTATAAAGCTGGTTTTTCTTCATAGAGTAATTAATACTGCAGGCTGTTTTTAGACAGGCTTGGAAAATGCGCCAAAAGGACTGGATCCTAGTCAAGCGTTCTGGTATATTTATCAATACAGGAAATATTATGAGTGGAGCAAGCAACTAGGTAATACAAAAGACCTAGACCAGATGGTTCCACCAAGAAAAAGAAAGAAGACTATGAACTTGCGTATAAAACCACGATAGAGGTGAAATAGTACTGCTTGCGGATTATATTCAGATGGGCCATTTGAGGTGGCAAACATATATAGATCCAAATTTGCAAAAACCAATTAGCTGTATACAGTTGCAGTAGCACTTACTGAGAAGCATTTTTGGTGCTTTAATCCCACTTAGACACGTAGTAATTAACAGTAATTAGTGCAGATTTGCGTTGTATTTGCATTAATTTCCACAAACAAGCAAGGTTTATGTTTCCTTTGAAACTTGATTTCCAACAATCTTAGCCTAGGGAGAGAATTTTAATTTGGCTGTCAATTAACTTCCACAGTAGTGTGCTTGCAATTATTATTGTTTGTGGTATAGCCTTGCTGAACATAAAATGATATTGGATGCCTTCATATTGACCAGTATCCAGTGCAGTATTATTAGGTTTCCATCATTGTCTTTCAAGATTAATGACTACACATGTTCAATTCAAAGGTAACTTCTGTTTCACGGCATTTAATTTTCCCTTATTCCACTTTGAACATTGATTGACCTTGTATTCTAAAATATGAATGAAGCCATCAATATTTCTCTTAGAAAACTTCTGTTAACCAGCTCTGTACCTGTTCAGTTAGAGACATCACAGATTTGGCATTTTTTGTCACATTTGAAGCAGGCTAGAAAATGCTTGACAAGATCTACCATTGCAAGTCCTCTCTAGGGACCTACCATTATCGCTGCCTGAGTGAGGTCTTGTTAGTGACCCCCAGTACATGCAACCTTATTCATTGAATGAATGATATGTGTGGAATGTGCAAATGGGCCTCACCAATAATTTCATTCTATCTCTAATTTATGCCCCTCTTAATATAGACCAAAAGCACATGGAGGACGATTAATTCTGTGGGCTTATAATAGTCTCGGTGCCATACTGTTAGGAAACCAAAAGGCTAAACCAAACATACAAATTTGCCAACTTTGCCAGTGTGAGGTGGGTAAAGATGTCGTCTTCATGTATTTATTCAGCTATTTGACATATTCACCTTCGAAAGCCACCTTAGTCTGACGAGGTTCGAATTTTAGAGAAGACTGCAAGAAAATATTTTCTATAGTCAGTCCAAGAAGGCTGGATCAAAAATTCGTTTATCTTTAAAAAAAAAAAAATCCATCGGAAAGATTATCCAAGTAATATGATATTTAAACGAGAACAAAATCTCATCATTATCGTCGTCTACCATCCTGATTAATTAGAGCCTTTCTTTTGTTTTTTCTAGAGTTTTGAGATGTGTAATAAAAGAGGCATCTTAATTGAAAGGCTTATTCAAGAATGCATGACTCTTGCCAACTTTATACTTGCTACATATCTCCTGATTCTGAAGCTTTAGTTGACCTTCATTTGATTTTAACATTTCTATTTTAAAATTAAGATCAATATATAGAATTATACCAGGTGATTAATGGACTTTTTTTTTTTTTTTTTCGGTTCAAGGCTTATCACAACTCAGAAACCACTGAAAATAATTAGTTCCTGAAAGTTGGGTTGACATATATGGACTTTTCTTAGTTATTATATCCTCCTAACTCAATAGTAGTAAGATTCACAGAAAGTGTGGCAACCCTCAATAGTCGCGATCAAACAAGCAAAATTCCAATTCCTTTTGGTCCAGCAATGGAGTTCCTGTGCATCATTTTTGTTTCAAATGTGCCGGCTATGAAAGTGTAGTTGATGAAGCAATGATGGCACTACCCACTAGGAATTTCAAATGAGTTTCATAAGACTTGTGACCATAACATGCATACACATATATATATATAGTTCCCATTGTTCATTGATAGAACCAATTCATAAAAAAGTACGGATAATGTAGGTACAAAAGTGGCCTGCCAATACAATGGCTTTAAACCACAATTTTTCAAATTAGGATTTTGATTGCTGTTGTAAACGTTGCATTTGCGATAAACGTGACTTATAATATTCTAAACATGCACTCCAACCTATTTCCACAAGGTGATTAATTATCACTTGAAAAGTTTGTTCAATAAATTTTTTTTTCATATTTATTGTAATAGGTAGACATAGCATTTGGGTTCGTATATAATATTAGAATATACTATAGGTCTAGCTCATAAAAAATCTTAGCATATTTCATGAACAAATAAATTAGGAAAACGATTGAAGTGTCAAAAAAAAAAAAAAATTGAGAGAGAGAGAGAGAGACCAAATTGTGAAGTATATACAAGTGTGGCATGAAAAGAAAAGTTTCTTTTTATGTTTTTGCCAAGAAAGGTTTTTTTTTTTTTCTTTTGTTATCAAGGAGAGTAACAAAAGAGCAATAAAAAAGAAAGTTTTCTTTGATTTGTTGATTTTTATAAAAAGAAAGTAAGAATTAATATTAAGATTTTATCTAGTATTGATTTTTTGGTACTAAAATTATAAAAAAATTACTACAGATTTTTTGCATATTTTTAGTTTTCGTAGTGAGACGATTTAACTAAAAAAGTTATTTGTATTATTGCTAATATTTTTGCTTCTTAAATTCATATAAAAATTTAAACAATTATACTATTTTAATGATTATAGTAGATTATTTCGAAATTGATTTCGTGATTTTTATCATCTATGATAGAGATGGCTTTTTTAAACTTAAATTTACTATTTTTGTTGTTATATTTTTGTGATTAATTTATTTTAATTGTTTTCTTAGTTATTACTTATGTGTTTAGCTTGATAATTATTTTCTTAGTAAATCTGATTATGATAAGATGAGATTAAATTCCCTACATATAAAAGTTCAAACATATATATATAAATAGAAGTGCATTTCCATTCATAAAAAAGCGATAAAAGAATTTATTGGAAAAAGAAATTGGGAATTGGGATATAAAGAGTTACGGGCGTGCATGATTAAAGACAAATTGATAAATTAACCCCATAAAAATTTGAATATTTCTCTTTGGTTGAACAAACACGATTTTTGTTAGGGATTTGACCACATCTAATTAGGTTTTGCATCATAAAAATTACATCTCATGATATTAAAAAAATTATTTCAATTTTAAATTGTTAGATAAGATTTCAAAAATAATTTATGTTAACTCTTTAATATTTAAAAAAGCAACAAATTAACTTGATAAAAAGTAATTAGATCCTTTAGGAACTGGAAACAATTAGATTCATCGATTTTCTTGAGGATTTAATTAAGAGAAAAGACGATATAAAAATCTCCTACTGATAAGGATTTGAAATGTTCTTACAACGATTTTTTTTTCTTCAAATTTGACTCTAATACATGATTTAATTTAGTGATTTAGGTTTGGTTTTGAAAAAAAAACCGTGATATATACATCGATCGTGGCATTGAGAGTAGTTAGAGAAGGTAGTTTCAAGCCATGAAGAATTAATTGTATATAGAATGTAAAATTTCAAAGATGATGGTGTAAAGTGTCACAAGAATTTAAGTTCATGCTATTGTTAATTTTTATAAATTCTGCGATTAATTTGATTAAATGCTGAAGAGAAAATAGGGTTTCTTATTGCTGTATATAAATTAATTCAGCTGATAAAAAATAGGATCACAAAACAAATAGATCACAAACTCTAAGTACATGATACTGTTAATTTTTATCCGTGATAAATCCTTCCATCTTAATTCTGTTTACCATTTTTTTTTCCAGGAAACTGCTCACGATCCTTGATCAACCTTAGTTTAAGCTTCATTTTGAAGTACACCATTAACTTTTTTTCTAAAATATCAATACACATCGTTGTGGAATAAACTATGGACGGGGAAACACCCTTAAATGAACCACATATATCTTTTTTCTTTCGACATCATCAGAAAGATATGAAGCTGGAGAACGTTAAAACATTCACACCATAAACACAAAACAGAATTTTCAGATGGAATATATATTGTGGAACAAACGAACAATTCCTCGATAACTTTTTTTGGTGCATTTCAATATCGGGCTAATGGCAAGTTGAACTCACTGTAGCAATAGTGGGAAGCAACTGGGTCCTATGTACTCGTCAAGTTTAAATTTGCAGATAGAATACTATTAATTTCTATTGCGATTGCTAGCTAGAAATGTAGGACTTAGACCTAGTTAATTAGGTTGCTACATGGATTGGTTACAAACGTACAGTGATATTGACCCAGCTGGCTGGAATTAATGCAGAGATATATATATATATATGCAATGTATGATAAACCTGTACAGAAAAATGTTAGAAGTAGGGGAGAAAATGATTGATAAGCAGGCCTAAAATTAAGTAGGTTTTCTTTCTACTTTGTTCATCATCAGACTTTGCTTCTGGTAACATTACACATATGCTATGTGGACAAACACCTTGAAAAGGACCCCAGAAACCTTGTCCCGGCTCAAAGTCATAAAGAACGGCGATGCATGGCAAGATTCTCTCTTTCTTGAAGAAAAGAATAGTACCCAAACAGGGAGTGTGTCTGTGTGGCTCAGCTGGTAATTATCTGATATCTTCAATTACTGTTGATCCATCAGGCGAAGCCATGCAAAGCAACTTTTATAATTGGCTCCACAAAGTCTTTACACTAATTGGCATGAAGATTGATTATGTAAGAATATTTCGGAAATTAGCATGATAGACCGGTAATATAATCATCATAATTAACCTTTAGGTATTATAGCCGGGTCATATCTTTGAACCAAATTTCTATCACAAGACTTAATTCACCTGTAAGAAATATTAATTTAATATATATATAAACCAATTCCATCTTTCTACTCAATTGATTAAATAAAACAGCCCGTGGGAAAAGAATAATTGGAATTAATTTTGTTATAGATCGAAGTCCTCAAAGATCTCTTACATAGTAAAGGGAAAAAAATCCACTAGCTTTTGCACACTAAAAGTAAATCCATGTCTCCAATTTACTAAGACAGCATTTCATCCATGTGAGTAATAAATAATTTCTGGAAAAAAAAATTAAATATTCAAATAGTAACTACTAATAATATATATATATATTTTATCTTGACAAGAGAGACAGACAAAAAATAAGAAAATAAAAAATCATATCTTGATCCATAAAAAATGATAATTTTTTTTAAAAAATAACTCTCTCTTATTTTTCTGTATTTTTTTATGTTCATCTCTCTCCTATGAAATAAGTATTGGTTTTATGATAAGTTTCTAGGTTACCTTATTTTCACATCTTTTCTTGATATTTTCATTCTATGATTCTATGGACTGACTAAACTATTTATTTGTTTGTATATATATATATATATATAACATTAAATAGAATTAATAAAATATTAACTTTAAAAATCATAAATGGAATTTTATGTCACTCATCATTTTTCCTTATGTTTTGATTTTTTATTTAAATAAACAGATAATTTCAAAATGGTTTGTAACATTTTGTCATTTAATTGTTATTTATGTTTTTTTATATGAATATCGGTTAATACCGTAAGACACTGCTTTTAGGTATTAATGATAGGCTTTTTTATTATTATGATAATTTTCATTTATTGAAATAAAACGTCACTGAAAATTTATGCTTGATTCGTGGTTTAGAATATCTTAGAAGTTTTTTTTTTTTTTTGTAAAAAAATATATTGGAAGTTTAATTTAAATGGAACTAAAAAAAAAAAAGGTTATTGTTGTCTTTCCATTAAATTATAGAGTGGAAATAGCGCAATCCTAATATTTTTCCTTGGCTTATAAAAAAATAAAATTACAAAAATAGATAATTTATGATAATTAATTTATTTCCTTGCAACTTGAGTTTAAAACTTGAAAGTGAAAAAAGGGAGCAAGCATACTCTCAATTGTCATATTAATCCTCTTCATTTAATTTTTTTTTCAACCCTTTATATATACTTAGATAAAATCAGTTCTCGCTTCTGATTTTCAAATATGTAAATTTTGATTGCCATGTTCTTACAAAATTGATATTAAAATTCCATGCTAACAAATTAAAAGGGGGAAAAAAACTAATAGAATTTTTTTTAAAAAAAGGAAAATATGGATAAAGCCTTCTCATATACATATATAACTTGATTGTAAATAAGGTAAACTATATATACTGATTATTAGGATTTTTGACACAATTGTGAAATTAAAAATTATTTTATGTCATGTATAATCATACTTAAAGATTTCCTATAATGTCAGGGAGCTCTCTTGACGATTAAGGTATTGACTCCGTATTTGATTACGAGAGTTCAAATGTTATTATTATTATTTATTGAAAAGCTTGTTGAGTATTGGACTACGTAATTAAGATAGCTCTCTACTAATACATAATAAACAAATAATTTGAAATTCAATGCTATTAAATCCGGCTTGAGCAACAACCGGGTTAAGCTATTGTGTCACTGGGTCATTGATCGAGTCGCCAGGTCGTTTGTATTATAATATAAATATATTTTACAACATACGAAGCATAAATAATAACTTGTGAATTAGTGTGTATAATTTTAGCAGTTAAACACTCCAAGTTCAAATCCCACGAGCTATACATAAAAGGGTTAATGCTTGACCGACCAATTCAACCTTCCAGGTTCGATTGGGTTTTGTGGGGTTTGACCAAATCTCTTGTATATCTAGTTTTTAGTGTCAATCTGGAATGATTAGGTGGCTGGATTATCTGATTTTTAGTTGGATTGACTGCTTTGATTCGAATTTAATAATATTATTGAAATCATTAAGACTCACACTTATTTTATTAAAAAAAATATTAATACATTAATTATTAAATTATATTTATTTATATATTTAAACGCCTATAAATTATATTTACTTATTTGAATTTAACCGCACTCGAATATGTGTTTGGTAATCAATAGAGAGTATATTATTCTTTACTCCCTTGATTTTGAATGCAATTATAAGTTAATTCTAAAAACTTATAACTTATTCTCTTTATTTTTGTTGACCGTTGCTTATTAAAGAATTTATTTTAAAAAAAAAAACTGCTGCTATGTTGGTTTTTTTCTAAAAATTTAAGTTATTAAAGGGTGTTTTTTGGGGACTTAAAACTACAAAGGCCAACAAAAATTAAGGGATTAAATTGTAAATTTTCATAAAAAAAGCTATAATTGGATTCAAAACTTATTGAATAAATAATAATTTATTCTAATAAAAATCAACACTTTTCATAGTCGAGAGATTTAGGCAGGTTACTCAGCTGTGATGTCTGCAAATTTTGCTGGCTGCTTCATATTTTGACATGAAATCAAATGGATCTTACTAAACAAGTTAGTACTCTTATTTTAAACAGAAGTTAATTATGAATTTTCTCTGAGAATTTTAATCGTCCTCTATATATATTCACTCAAATCATAAATTAATCTGGAATAATTAATTAAGAATGTTTTTTTTTTCAATTCCATAATGTACTAATTTTTTTTTCAATCCTAAAAGCTAATCAATAAACGGTAACCAGTGTTTTTTGAGCACCATCAAATGCACTAATGAAATTTTCAAAATAATGAAAACAAACTGAACATGTAATTAAGCTTTGCCAATTAGGAAAGTGGAGTAAATTATAAATTAATTCTTTTTTTAAAAAAAGCAAATTAATTAGTCCTTCTATTTCAAATTTTATTATTTAGTCTCTTGATCAGCATTGGTTATATTTAATTTAATATTATTTTATTTAAAAAAAATGTCATATATATTTTTTTCAATCCTTCCATATTTTTTATTTATTTTTAAAATAAAAAATCAAAATAAATTAACAAGAACGAAAACATTTAATTGTAAGAAAATTTAAAAATATAAGGACCGAATGATTAGTTTTTAAAACCTAATTAATTTGTTTCTCGAACTACCGGGACTAATTTATAATTTTATATGGGAAAGTGATCACTTTGGTTAATCTTTGTACTTTACGAAATCCAAAAGGTTGAGACGAGATCTATTGCGTATGAAATGCACTACTACTAGTACCCACAAGTAGTTATCCATGGAGGGACCTCTTTTTTAGTAAATTAAAGTGGCAGTCCAATATGTACCTTTTAAGAGGCGTGGGGAACAACTGGGTCACCATTCTCATTTTAGAAAGTTGCCTTCATAATTTTTTAACGAAGGCATCAGTTCTACATGTTTTCAAATGTTCCCGATATTATTAAAGCAAAGTAGATAGTTGAAACAAAATTAATTATCAGTCAACAAATTCAAAATCCCATTAAGAAAATACATACTGTATATCCATATCAATAATTAAAAATAATATCTATTATTATTTATAATACAAATAATCAATGAAAAAGAAAAAAATATCAGATTTTTTTTATTTTTGAGAAAAATGAAATTAAAAAAAAAAAAACAGTATGCCCACAAGACATTTTAGAAAAAAAAAAAAAAACTCTCATTTTTTGACTGATTGGCGTGGCCTGTTGATTTTGCATAAACTAAGAAGCTTTTTAGTGATTTTATTATTTATTTATTTATTATTGACAGAATACTTATTAATTTCATTTTTTCTAAAATAAAAAAATGTGAATTTTTATTTTTATTATAAATTATATAAAAAAAATTGTTTTTACTATTTTTATTCGAACAACCATTGACAAATCTGCTTATATATATATATATTCCTGATCATCGAGTTCTTTTTAGATATGAAGGTCGTAGGATTGCAAGGATAAGGATGCGTTGCAATTGGAGAGTAAAAGCAATATTCCGAAGCTTTCATTTGGAGCCGGAGGGGCAAAAACACACCGAAAGAGATTCAATCAAGATACCCTCGTTCCTGTTACAGCCTAGCCGTTCAAATATAACAAAAGCCGATTTAGAAATGGACCACGCCACTTGAGCTAAAAGGTGCATATATAGTTTGCTTACTACTCACATATACATATATATATATATATATATATATATATATATATATATATAAAGGGAAGTCCCATCCAAAAAAGGGAGCCAAATGAGCTTTATACTTCAAATTCTAGCATATATTGTTAAAAGTAAAAATTTTAGTTTTAATTTGCTAAAATTAGTTAAAAAAATAACAACGCAGCGAGAAAAGAGAAGGCGGGGAAGAAAAACTGATTACAATGATATCATAGCTAGTTAAGGCCTCCTCGTCAGATCGATACTTGCAAGTTTTGAAGACAAACATATTGACAGCACAGAAAAGCAAATTTTTGCACTGTTGAGGGAGCACCAAGATCTTAGAAATGACCTGTAATAATACTTAACAGTATCGGACGTCAGTTTTTGGAGCTTACTCAACAACAACACGACCACGTTCATGCCTGTTAAATGGATCAAATCTCGATTCTCGATTATTATTTTTGTACATGCCGTGCTTTGTTTGTTTTGTTAATGAGAGCTACCACCAACATTGTCCTGTCTGGTGGGAGAATATTACAAAATCTATAACATTTTTCCTTATTTTTATATAATCGCAAGTGAGATCACCACATTTTGTTGTCTTGGAAATGCACCTTGTTGGGTAATCAAGAATTTAAATAATGTGGAGTCAAACTAGCATAATATTTCAAGGGATTTAGTCAGATAAAAGTTGGCTAGTAAAGAATTAAAGATTTCATTATTTGTGTCAAAATGGGTTAATGTGGATCTCATAGTTTAGTGGGCAAATATCAGGGTTCTTACAAAGCACAAAGCATGCTTAAAATGGGATTTTGTCTAGGGTTTGATTGGGTCATTAAGATAATGGTTTTTTTGATGGATCAGACAGAATCTTTATGTGAAGATTGTGCATAGTTTTGCTACAATATTATGTAAAACCCACATTCATCTTCAAAAGTGATTTCGTTTTTTTATTTTTAAATCGAAAAGGTTCGGCAATGTGATTGTGTAAGAAGCAGCCGCTTGCAATCAAGAAAAGAAGAAGAAGAAATAATGGTTTATACTTACCACTTAAGCAGTTCTTAAATGACATGGGGCTGGCGGCTTCTCAAATGATACAATGCACTGAATTTTCCAACACACACACACATATATATATATTAGAAAATTCATGGCATTGTATCATCTGAGAAGCCGATGTTAAAAACCTAAAACATAAAGAAAAGGAAGACGAAATCATCTCGTTATATATTGCAATTTGAGAGGGGGATTTTAGTAATACTATCTAGGAAAAAAATGAATGAATAAATGCTTCTATAAACATTTTTTTCCTTTTTTTCTTTCTTTTTAATTCCAAGTGCAAAGAATAGTTTGTTGGAAATAGAACTCACATCATTGCTTATTACATACAATAAGTTCGTATAAATTAATCTGAATAAATATTTTTCACCATCAAATAAAAAAAGATTTATTGATATTTTTCTATTTATTATAAGATTTAATAAATCTTGAATTATACAATAAAAATATAGCTCTTTCATATCATTAAAATCTCATGCCTTTTTTTTTAAACAAAAATTGAATCTAAAACCTATTGTTGTTAGTAAAAATTTCAAGCTTAGGGACATGATTGATGCATGTTACTGAATTAATTCCATCTCAAACATTTTGCATGCAGCAGATTTGTCTGTAAATTTTCATCTATTTTTCCATTCTCTATTGGGAAATTGAAGAACTAACAATTAAAATTTAATTACTCATTTTGCGTCGTGGCTTCATACTTAGACTAGCAATTGTTTTCGGATGCTAACTGTGGTTATAAATACTCTTCAAAACAAACTGAATCATCCAACAGAAAATCAATATTATTGCATAAATTAAAAAAAAATTATTGATTTCATACCTGTTTCACAAGGGTCACATTGCAACTCTAACCTCAATCCCTAAAAAACAAGTACGGAAGTTAAGTGAAATTTTCTTTTACGAGATTAGAAAGAGGATTCTCTGACAACCATGCATTTGGATTTTGAAAGCAGTTCATGTTTCTTATGAAAGTGCTGTCTTTTTTTTTACTACAGTAATAAACATTTTAATAAAACTAAAAAATCCAACTATATTTGTCTGATGAATAAATGGCTGAATTCATAATCCTCTCTCATTGGGTCAAAAGAAAAAAAGGAAGAAATTTTCTCACACATCAAAAAGACAGAGAACGCATATTCAATTAGAAAAAGGTCGTCCAAAAGAAGACTACCAAAATTTTCTCTCCCTTTAGGCGACCAACGGTAAACGAACGGTCAAGTTACCGCATTACTAACTTGACTGTTTAACTACAGGTGGTCTGGTCAATGACCCAATGATGATGAGTTAACCGCTCTAGCAACATTATAGGGTTTACATCTTCTAACGGCTCCATGTTCGTGACGTGGGTGAATCTTAAGCCATCTAATATTGGAGGTCGTTCGTCAGTCACCGTCTGATCTATTGCGCGTGATTCCTATTTTAGGAGATTACATTACACGCAATAATTACGATGGAAACATGCGTGGGTGACAGGAAGATTCACCAGTGACCACCCGACATAATTTACCCATTGAAAATTACCACCGCACCCTTCACTGACCTGGACAGTAAAAAGTAACTCAATGATAGAGTAAATTATAAATTAGTCCATTTATATTTTCAAAATTAATTAAATAGTCCTTTTATTTTTAAAAATTATTTATTAGTTCTTATATTTTTAAATCTATTTTTAATTTAATCCTTTTTATGCCTTTTTTTAATTTTTTTAATTTAAAAAATAAATAAATGAAATAATTAATGAGAAAAGAATAATTTTTTTGATACAAAATGATGTTAAATCAACCATAATCAATATTGGTTGAGGGATTAATTAATTAATTTTCCAAACAAGACGGATTATTCAATTCATTTTGCAAAACTAGAGTAATTAATTTATAATTTACTTTTTTCTTGACTTGTATTTTTTTCCCCTTCATATAATTAGTTTAAAATATTGCAAAGAACAGTGCTGTTTATTACTACTTAATTAATCATATAAGTTAATGTTAATTTCTCCATATCATCACTAAATTACTGCGGTAATATTTGTATATCTCAAATAAAAAATAATAATTTGTAAAACAAATTGAGGCTCCTAGTTAAATAGAAAACAAATCATTTTTTAATAACGAATCAAAATCCTTTTATTTGAATAAGGTTCTTTCTTCCCTTTGGTGTATTTTTTGTATATAATTTCAACTTCATAATTTGAATTTCTCCCATAATATCCACGCATAGCCAGAAACATTACTACCTTTTGGTAGGGGTTAATGAGATAAAAAATTTCTAGGACAATTATTATTGTTGATTGGTGTAAACAAGTGGGGGGAATGTATTTCCTCTTATAACCCTTTTTTCTCCTTCAATAAACCTTGTTTGATAGTATTTATTGTATAATCAATTCTAATCGATACTACAATACACTTAGATTTTCAATCTGCTATAAATAATCTAAGAAACTCGCTTAAATATTCGTATTGTTGATGATAATACAGTTTTAACCCATCACCAAAAGTAATGATTCTGCGAGTGTGGATTATTAATATAATAAAAGCAGAAAATCCAGGGAAATCTTTGAAAAGAGGAGTTATCATCACGGATCTGAAATTTGGTCACAGAGTTTTGATTTATGGAAACCAAGGACAGACAGTTGTTTATTTTCGTTCTATCACTTTCTGGTCTCTGTCTCTCTTTCCACTTATCCCTATCTCTCTCTCTTTTCCCTTTTTTTTTTTTTATATATAATATTCATTACCCTTTCGTCTGCTTGCTTTGACAGTATACATGCATTTGTGTATCTGGTCGTTGTCTAACTTGTGCCAGGTGATTTGGTAATAATAATAATAATGACATATGAGTGTGTGTGTATATATATATATATGGTAAAGCACGAGAAACAGACTGTAAAAGGTTGCCGGAAGATACGCAGTGAGATGTCGGTGGACATGCATTTTGACAGTTGACACAGACCCACACATATATCATTATTTACTAAGTTTAGCATGATATTTATTTTAACTGATGAAATGGGAATTTATATAAGTTCAACCGGAGTTTTTAATTATTTTTTCAGAAAAATAAAATAAAAAACTATAATTTAATTGTGCTAAAACTGAAGGACGGAAGTATTGGCGATAGGACTTGAAAAAGAAACAACTTAGAGATGTTCTAAAATCAAAATTTGAAGTCCTTACTTGAAAAAATAAATATTTATTCTAATATATCAAATTAATGTAAAAAAATACATTTTAAAAATATTTTGATATAAAGATTTAATAAATTAATTCGAAAATAATTTGATTGCGGATGAAAGAAAAAAGTTTAGACTATATAAATTTAAATAGAATTTTAAATTATTCTCGACATCATTTATCTATAATTCTTATTTTACGTGGAAATTATTTGTCTATATCATTCTCAATTAATAGAATGGACTTCAAATTTTATAAACAAATGGTGATTATTAACAGGAAGAAAATTTTAAATAATTGAGATTAAAAAAAAAGGACTAAAATGGTAAAAATGAAGTCCATTTAGTTAAATTACTATTTTCCACCAAATTAGGATGTCACATTGGCTATGTTCTTAGAATAGAAGAAGATCCAGTAGCTTAACATCTCAAAACAGAAACAATAGTAAATATTGTAGACAACTCAATTCGGACTCGAGAGGGTATAAACAACTCAGTCCGGACTCAAGAGGGTATAAACAACTCAGTTCGGGCTCAAAAGGGTATAAACGTACGTTTCATTTTTAATGAAGTTGTTTTTGGTTAATAAAATGGATGTTTGAGACGCAATTAAGTTCATATGTTCTAACAGACAGACACTTGTCCTCTCCACGAAATAAGGAGGGAAAAAAACGTGGTTTTGATTGAAGCAACAACTGAAAAAGAAAATGAACTGGTTAACAGCTTAACGTTCATAAACTTAACCACTTATTTATCAGAATAATCCTCTGGGGTTAAAGGTTAATAATTTTTCTTAACAGAATCTGATGCATAAAAAAACATCTTAACAGAAAGCATATGTTTATAGTATTTTTTTTAATATCATAAGAAAGGAAAGGCAAAGTAGCTACAGAAAGGGCAAAGAAGGTTCTTTTATGCATTAACAAAAACAAGCACTTGCACAAGCCAACCAACCAGACTGCCCCTTTCTTTCTCTCTCTCTCTCTCTCTGAAACCTTTCGGCTCTCTCTTCCTTCTTCTTGTTCGAAAACTTCTCAACCTTCTGCTGTGGTCTGTATTTTCACTACTTCTGTGACCAACTTTGATGTCTTCTATACCAAAGGAACATGATTACATAGGCTTGTCGGAGACTCCCTCAATGGATAAATTCTCTGACAAGGTCTCCTCTTCCTCTACTTCCTCCTCTACTCTCTCCACTGAAGAGAAAAACAGCAGCAGCAGCGGCAGCAACGATACTTCTCTCAACTTGAAAGAAACTGAGCTAAGGCTTGGCTTGCCCGGGTCTCTGTCACCAGAGAGAAAACCAACAGCACCTGCCGCTGGAGTGTCTCTTTTTGGCAAAGATATTGACACCAACAACACTAATGGTTATTCTCTTAGCCCACTGAAGAATTCAGTGTCAGGGGCTAAGAGAGGTTTCTCAGATGCCATTGATGGGTCTTCTGGGAAATGGGTTTTCTCTGGGGGTAATGGATCTGAGGTTGATTTGAGTAAAGGAGCTGTTTTGTTCTCTCCCAGAGGTGATAACGGTAAACCCCAGAAATCTTGTGTCGCAGGACCTGCCAATAAAGATGTTGTTGCTCAACCGCCAAAGCCAGTTCAAGAGAAAAACAGCCAAGTGGCTGCAGCAAATGAGAATAGCAGTGCTCCTGCTGCAAAGTAAGCTGACCTTATTTGCCTTTCTGCTTTTGAAGTCGGTTTCTTTGTTGGGTTGTCTTTTATTTTGATATTTTGTGTGTTTGTTGCTGTGTCCAATCTTTAATTGCTGTCTGAATTGTGGAAAAGAGGAAGAAAATCAAGCTATTAGTTCCAAGAAAATGCAGCTGTGAGCAAATCTAGCTATGTTAGAATGAGTTTGTTCTGTTTTGACTTGGCTTGTCTTGGGAAAGATAAGTCGAATTACTACCATAGCTTTAGCCATAGGGTTGACTATAGCTCAGTTGAGTGTAATTAACTTGGTTTTTGGGGACCTAGAATTAAGTTTGATTTCTTTTCCTTTCCTAATTGCGTGCTCCTTAGATTTATTTTCTTGTTAGTTTTGTCTTTTCCTTCTTAAATTATGTTCATCAAATGACTTCTTGTTGGGTTTTTTTAATTTCAAGTCGTTGATGTCTGTATATTAATTCACGTTTAACTTCTTGTTTATGTTGTCACTGTTATGTGATATTTTTAATTGTTGTAAACTTGTATGTAGATTTTTATATTTTTCTCCTAAGTAGTTTTCAAAGTGATTTACTCTGAAGAATTTGAGAGTTACTTGCGTAAACTGATGAAAATAGATAGTGGTATTTCTTCTATCTTTGTGGCCATATCTTCAAGCTTAATTTTTCTTTCAATCAAAACAGGGTTCACCTTTTCCTTACCTTGTCTTGGTCAATCATATTTCTATATTTTATTGTAACTTTGGTGAATTGCTGATCCAAAAGTTTCTGTAACAGGGCACAGGTGGTAGGATGGCCACCAATTCGCTCATTCCGGAAGAATACCATGGCCTCTAGTTTGGTGAAGAACAATGAAGATGTCGAAGGCAAATCAGGATATGGTTGCCTGTACGTAAAGGTTAGCATGGATGGTGCTCCATACCTTAGGAAGGTTGACCTTAAAACTTACAGCAACTATCTGGAACTCTCATCTGCTCTTGAGAAAATGTTCAGCTGCTTCACCATTGGTACCCCCTTCTTCCCTCCCTTTCCCCTCGTCCTTGCTCTCTCACTCTGCACACGCACCCACACCCAACCCCAGTTGTAGGGTTCATAGGAAAAAATTCAGTAAAATGTTACCTGCTCTACTTTGGTATGGTCCAGAAAAGAGAGGTGCTTAACTCATAATAAAAATCAAGAAAGGGAATTTTCTCTTGTCAGAGCCACTGCCTATAAGCTATAACCAAGGACTTGTGTGGAATAATTGGTTTTCCCATGTTATCCTACTGTGATGAACTAGCTCCATGATTGGGAATTGGAACTTTATGGTTTACTGATGGTTTTGTTCCACGGAAAAGAGTAACGTAATTGTTGTAATTATTTCTAGCCCACTTCAATGTCCAGCCTACTCTGCAAGTACTCTAGGTTGCCTGATGATATAGTCACCAATATATACACAAAAAAGTGTTTGAAATTGCTTTCTGAGGTTGTTGACTCCTGTTTATGTATGAATGATTCAGGACAATGTGGTTCTCATGGACTTCCAGGGCGAGATGGCTTAACTGAAAGTCGTTTGAAGGATCTTCTTCATGGTTCTGAGTATGTTCTTACATATGAAGACAAGGATGGTGATTGGATGCTTGTTGGTGATGTACCTTGGGAGTAAGTGCAATCCCCATTTATTCTACTCTTTTAAGAGTTCTGCATTGAAGTCCTTGGATGATTAATTTTTCATGAGATGAAATGGAATAATTTGTTCTCTGAAAACACACCAGACTTTGGTTGACAGAATTGAACCTTAAGTGTTTTGAAGCTGAACTATAGTTGATCTGATCTTGACATATCAGATGGCATAAACAGGCAACTTGGAAATGGGAATTGCAATTTCTTACTTAGAATGCATAATTCAAGATCTGATATCTAAGTATCCAACCCTTTGTAGTCTGCCATTTGCTGTAAATTTTTCCTTTCTGATTTTGTTGTTTGCTGTTACAGCATGTTTACTGACTCGTGCAGAAGACTAAGGATCATGAAAGGTTCAGAAGCAATTGGACTCGGTAGGTCTTCCAAGTTTTAATGCCACATGTAAAAGCCTAATAAATTTTTTTCCACGATTGTTAAAACCTGGCCAAACTCTGAGCATAAGACTCTGATTACGGTCATGATTTTATTTTTGCGGATACAGGGAACAAACTGGATGAACTTACTAGGCTTTTTATTTGCATGTTCATATCTGAACATGTATGTTTTTTTTCTTGAAATTGATTCTTGTCCATCTGCTTGTTTGCAGCCCCAAGGGCCATGGAGAAATGCAAGAACCGCAATTAGCAAAAAGAGTGCATGAAGTCATGAAGCTTAAGAAGAATGTTTTCTAGATTTTAAGAAAGCCTTGTAGTGTGTTGAGGTGAGCGCTTTGCTCATGAATCATATATGTTTGGAAATTTTATATGATTGTTGTATTTAGCGAATTAAAAAAAAAAAAGGAACTTTTTACTAGAGAGGATGTCATTGAACATGCATCCAAATTATTTTAAGTTTGTTTAGTTTACCTCGTTTTCCCCTGAACTTTTTCTTCTAAGTGTACTTTAATTTGTGTAAATGAATGGATTGCTTGTGGGTATAAATCCTTGGCTCTCTCTCTCTCTCTAAATCATTTAATTACATTTGATTCGATGTAATTTTCTGAAATGCTTAAGCTCTACCTCTTCCTCGGTCAGAGATGCTTTCTCACAGATTTCCATTTTGTCCTGGTAGGTTAGTAGATCAGCTAGGCTAAACTCTGACCTCATTGCTCTCACGAGATCATTCTGATTACAAGTTGGAGAAATTCATTAATCTAGAAACAGATAAAAATTTAAGCATTGATGGCAGAATGGCTACTAGAAACAGATAAAAATTTACGTACTAGAGGCTGTGATGGTGCCAAATTGGCAGTTATGCCTAGACCGTTCATTAATCTAGAAAACAGCGTTGTCAACTTGTAAGGGATTTTTCAAGTGCTTGCCGTATTAGACGAGATACAGGCTCATGTCAAAGAGAGGAGAAATTCAATAACAGCAAACGGGGAAGGATATATTAACAGACAAATTCCTAATACATGTCAAAACAAATGTAACAGCATGTAGACGTAAATAATAATAATAAATAAACAATTAAAAATGCTCAATTTCAACAATAAAGAAAAGATATCAATATTAACAAATAGGGTTTCGATCTAGGACAAAATCAAACAAACTCTCTTGTCCATTCTAGATAGCTAGCTTTAAGATTCTTGTTCAGAGATTTCAAGATATACCATCTGGGTATACCCATTAAATACAGATCGCTCAAGTCTACCAAATCCCAGCCGCTGGAACAAACCATAACGGCCATCTTCAACAGTAGGAATGGTGGTACGAGCAGGATCATATCGTGTTTGATGAGTGAGGGAAGGGCCAGCCACTGGAGGGAGCTCCCAATAAACATCGAGAATTGATTCAATAAACCTGCTGTTCTGAAAATGTTCTGCATAGGAAATTGGCTTATTACTGTGATTAAAGTTATCCCGCATCCAGCCCCTAACACCCCACCAAGCTTCATTCGGTCCACATAGTTCATCCACATCAACTGCCTTCTCCCAGAACAACTTCCTTTTTGATCTAATCCTAGCTTCATCGCTGTCCCTAAAGCAACTATGGCCACCTCCTGCAATTTTTTTTTTAAGGGAAAAAAATCATGAAGAATGAATTGAGCTTTCTGAATACCCGATTCAATTTGTCAACTCATATCAGATGCAGATTGCAACAGTATTAGAAAAAACACAAGATAAGGGAGGGAAAATTCTTTGCTGCAGTGAGTTACAATTTCTGATATATTTTTAAGATAACCTCATAGAAAATATCAAATCCAAAGATGAGATGTTAGATTTGTTTTGTTTAAATCCTACATCTGGTGAATTTGCAATCAGGAACAATAGGAAATGTTAGCCAATTTCCATAACATTCCTAAATCCTGATTATTATTTGTCATAATTCATCACTCTTTGTTTTCTGAAATTTCACCTCACAGGATGAAAACTTTTGCAGTTCAAGGTAACTGAAGAACAATGTTCACATCATGAATTTCCAGCAAAAGGCAAAGAATGCAACCACGGAAATTATTAGAATAGAAGAGGAAGAACATGCACCTCTTATGTAGGACTGATCGCATATCTGCCTCAAGGAATAGTGATCTCCAGTTCCAGTATCATAATTATCCTCAAACACAAGATGCCGAAAACCAGCATTCAGTGCCTCCTTTACTCTACCCATAAAATAATTCATAAAGAACATCAAGCAAATTTAGCAGGGAAAAAACATGCATGCACATGAAATGTGTTGAGGTAAAGATCACTAGACAGATAGTATGAGTACCTCTTCAATTCATTCTGATGGTCATCAAAAAAGATAAGAACTCGACTGAGATCAGTAATGCCATGTTTCTTCATCACGCTCTTCCAATCAACACTTCCAAAATCTACAAAATCTTTTCCAGCAAAGTACGTGCAATTACCATCAACATAAGCAGGTCCTTTTTTTAGGTATTTCTCAGGATGCCTGGGTGAAAGTGAAATAATTGACTTGTTTGGCATTGCTTGTCGCAGAACCCAAGTAGAATGCCCCTTGAAAGCACCACTCTCAATCATTACATCTGGCTTCAGCCACCTTGCAATGAACCAAAGCCCAAAGCTGTGGTCAAAACCCATCCCATACATGTTGTTTTTTATCGGCCGAGTTTCATAAATTGGTACAAACTCTTCCAAGCCTTTGATTAAATCCTTGGATGTCCACTTCACTGTTTTTCCATGTTTCGATCTGCCTTTTGCCAAGGACAAGAATGAAATGGGAGTAGATGATAAGAACTCAAAATTATGCACTCAAACTCAGGTTTTCAATAAACTTGACGTAGCATCCAATGCCACCAAAATGGTGAATCAGATTAAAAATCAACTGAGCAAACAACATTTTCCATAATATCATGAAAGGAAAGAAGAAAATGAAAACAATCCCAAATTTACAAAAATTATCATGCATGGACTCTACATCAACTACAGAGAAAACAATGATAAAGAGTTGTTAAAGTTGAGTGCATAGAGTGAAACACACGGGAAAAAGTTTCAGGGATCATGTAGTTAGCCATAAATTAAAATGAAATGTTTTGAGGTACTAACTAGTTCCCCAGAGTATCTAAGAAATTTCAACCAACTGAAGTGGCAGTTAGCAATAAGCCTTCTGCAAAAGTCATCCCTTTTAATTGGAGACTAGGAGGACAAGCGGCATCCTCTCCCACATCCTCCAAGTCCCCTGTACTCTCTCTCTATTTCTCACACATACGTATGTGGGAAAATCTTCAAACTCCTCCCTTTCTACACACATATTCCAGATTTCAATAGTTGCAGGTCCTACCACGTGGGACCCACAAATACTGAAATTTGAGCAGAATATGCATCAATGGTTCTTGATACAACGATAGCAATATAATTTTTATTTTTTATCCTGTGCACACACAAAAACACGAATGCAGATCCTTTTAAGGTAATCACACTTAGTTAAGCAACATTTGGTAAAATAAACGAGCAAAATTAAGTATTGCAATAACCAAGAACATGCACAATAAACCGAGAATCCAACAGTGTCAACTCAAAGCCAACACCTTTGAACAAATCAACCTAGTATTAGACTATTAGTCTCATAGCAAATTCGAGCTTAGATTATATAAAAAAACAAGGAAAACCCCATTTCCAATTCTCATTTTTATTACAAACCCATTGCCCGAACAAAGCCAAGAAAAAAAAAGTTGATTCTTTTTCATTGTTCATACTGTTATAATTCCTACATTTTCTCAGCGACCAAAGATAGAGTAAGCAAACTCAAGATCCCTATCTCCTCAATTGCCACTCAATTAACAAAACTAGACCAAAACCCAGATCTGACGCCAACCTATATTCCCAAATTTACATATATACACAATAATTACAAACCTATATACAATTCAGCAATGGCAAAGGGCGCGCGAGAGAGGGAGAGAGACTTACACCAGGGAACACCAAGTGATCCAAAGTCGGACTCAAGCCCATCGAGACCGAAGAACCCGGCGCGAGAAGTCGGTTCGGAGACACAGACAAAACTCCGGGAATGAAAAGCGAGAGAAGTTATCAAAACGACAGCTAATAAGAGACAGAGAAGGAGACAAGCAGTGGGACAGATGCAAAAATGAGACAAGCGAGAGAGGTAATTAACCGCCAATAAAGAGAGGTTCTGTTTCTTGGTCTTGGAGTCATCGGCGGAGGCGTCAGTCTCGGCGTCGTCAACGTGGGAAGTGACACGGCGTGAAGAGAGAACTCGGTCTAGCATCTTGGTGGGGGCAGAGATGGGGGTTTTGGGACTGTGAACTACAGTGTGCATAGTTCCGTTTTATGGAAATGGGATTTTCTTTTTTTGTTTATTTATTTATTACCATTTTAGATTTCCTTTTTTCAAGTTTATCTGATGGGGAGAGAGAGAGAGAGAGAGAGAGAGAGAGACCAGGAATCTGGAGATGTGTCAAAGGGAAAGGGAAAGCGAAAGCGAAAGCGAACTTGTTTGTTTATTTTATTCATTGATTTATTATTGTTTTTATTTATTTATTTTTTTGGTAGTAGTTTTTATAGTTATCGAAGGATGGTGGTACGGTTAGTACTAGTTTATTATGGATTTGATGAGAATCTCTTTTTGCTAATATGTTTTTACCGTTTTTGAAAGTTATTTTTTCAATATGTATAGAGCTGAAAAGGAAATCAAAATCAGTTAAAAAGACATCAATTTTTTTTAAAAAAAATTAAATATATTTTTATAAAATTATTTGCTCTTTATATTAAATACATATGAATTTATGTTACAAACACTTATAGTTCCTAATTTTTAAAATCACACATTAATTATAGGAAAAAAAATATCTGATTACTTAAAATAGTATGTTATTATTATATAAATAATATATTTTTTCTTCTATGAGTACAGGACAGTAAAAAAAATTTGAATTGCAGTTGCATTATAGTAATTATTGCTATAAAACGAATTAATTATGTAAAATAAAATGAATGCTCATAGAATTATACTCCTTTTTTCTTTTCATTGTTCATTACCAATATCAAAGAATGAGTTTTTTTCCTTTTGCCCTTTCGTTTTTCCTTCCCCTTTTCGATTCAATTGATTGATCTTTGTAATTTTTACGTAACATTATTCATCCATTTTAATATATTTTTTACTTTGTTGTTTAAAGAGAAGTACTTGTTGAATAATTGTCAGTGATTCGAGGTTCAATTTCACATTCGTACCCAATGTTCCAAACTTTTTTTTTTTTTTAACTAAGAAATAAATTATTTTCTTTTTCAAATTGCTTTTTTTTTTTTTATGAAACCCATAGAAGTTTGAGTAATTATAAATTAGTAGTTCTAATTTTATAAAATGAATTAAATAATCTCTCTAATTCTAAAAACTAATTAATTAATTCCTTTCATTCATGAAATTATTTTCTAATTTATTTTTCTTTTTAAGAAATAAAAAATATGAATAAATAAATAAATACTATAAAAAGATTAATGAAAAAATAAGATATTTTTTTTAAAATATATTTATATTAAATTAAATATGAGCAAAGATAGTAAAAAATTAATTAATTAGTTTTTAAAACTAAAAAGGCTATTTAATTTTTTTTGTCAAAATTAAAAAAAAAAACTAATTGATAATTAAGTACCGTTAAATTTATCATACATTTTATTATTCTCATCATTTTTTTGTTATATATTATTAGCAAACTCGTATATTTAGTTACTATCCGATTACTAAATTGACGTGACGATGATGTATTGATAATTCATAATAAAAATTTTAATAAAAATAATAAAATATAATGTGGATTTAGCACTATCCATATCCTTTATGATTTACTATAGAAGTTTTCATAGATCTAAGAAATTCATACAGTAAGAAGTACATAATCGAAAGATATAAATCCTCCAACAAAACAAGCCGATAGCTAGGAGGAAAGAAAAAGAAAAATTCCAAACAGACATAGATATATATATACTTCTGACAGAATAATCCCACCTCCTACCACTTCATTACTGCTACAGATAGTAGCAAAGATTGTCTGCAACTGCGTTTGAGGTCGTAGCCTAGCAGTTAAGGGTTTGCCTTATGACTATCCGGGTTCGACTTTCTCCGTGCACGCCCGTCACTCCCGTGGTGTCTTATCTATCCACTGGACTTGCAAGATGTTCAATGAATTCGGGAATTAATCGTGGTGCACACAAGCTAGCTCGGACACCTTGGATTATCAAAAAAAAAAAAAGATTGTGTGCAACTGCAGCATCATCCGTATTTCCCACGATAACAACCGTGAGTTTAGAAATAAATTAGTTAAAATGGATTTATATTTTATTTATCTTTTATACATAAATTTTGTTCATTTTAATGTCGTTTTTCTCATATTTTTATTTCTCCATATGAAGATAAAATTCTGGAGTACGTTCTTTCACAAGTCAAAACGCAAAAAACACTTCGAATTTTCTTTCTATTTACTTTATATTATGTGTGTTAGAAAAGAAAAAAAAAGAATGATTTTTTCTATTATTAAATTATATATAATATTAAATAAATAATTTGAAATTTAAAATTAAAGCAAAGTCTTTTTATGTACAACTATATTTAAAATAAATCTTATAATTTTGGTGAAGTTTTATAGATACAAAAATATTTCGATTAGATTTTTGGATATAAAGATTTTGGTAATTATAAAAAACAATCTTGGATCGTAAAATAATAATAATAATAATAAAGTGATTATTAAATTTCTTAATTAGGGTCTTAGAGATGAAATTAATGTCCCTACTTCCTGCTTTTTTTGAGTTGATGTTGCATTAAATACCATTTCCTACCAAAAGCAAATTCATAAAACCATATCACAGTAGCATGATTGACGAATCCTTTCATACAATTTTTGCATTCGCATTGCATCGAGACACAAAACCAAAGGACATGGCCTCATTAGATTCCCGGAACTCACCTCCAAACCCATCTTTTGCAATAAGAGAAACTTCTGCAGCCCACAAATTCCTGAGATGCATCTCTTCGAAAGAAACACCCTCGTTCTCCCATTTTTCTTACACCCCACCACCTCGTCTAAGCACTTCAAACACTCACACCTCTCCAATATTCTCCTCTCCTCCTCATCAATGCTCTTGCACCCCAGTCGATAACCTACTCAACAACCTTGAAAGCACTTATACTTACAGGTGCCTGTCCTCTGTCCTCAAAAAAGATGGCCAGATATTATCTATAGCCATGTCAAATGGTCTTATCTATACTGGTTCTGCCACCAATCTCATACGGTTGTGGAAATTACCGGAGTTCACCGAGTGTGGCCAACTTAAGACTAAGGCCTGCATGGTTGTTGCATTACAAGTTTCACATGATAGGGTTTATGCTGCCTATGCCGACGGCAAGATTCGAGTGTGGAGAAGATCATGGGATGGAGCTTTCAAACATATCCGGTTGGCGACCATTCCTAGCTCCGGTGGTTATTTCCGAAGCTTTATTGCCCGGAAAGATAAGATGGTAATATTTTTTACTGATTTTCATTTTGATACATATTTATTTGTTTGTGATTTCATTAATTTCTTTGGTTTTGGTTTGGGGAGATACAATGTATATAATGTTAGGTGTGATTTTATTAGGAAAAATCCAAACTTAATTACCATTAATTAATGTTCACATTATTGAAAGAAGTGATGGAGGTAAAAGCAACACTACAAACAGTACAGGATCAATTGCCTCTTATTAAAAACACAGAATTAATTACTTAAGAGAGATAATTGAAGCGGAAGAGGCTTTATTCATTTAAATAAGTGATCTCGATTTTTAATATTTGTTAGTATTTAAAAAACTCCTTACGTAGATGTTTTCTTTTTATATACTTAGTCAAATAATGAAATATTAGTTTAAATTTGTAGATCTCAGATTACTAGAGATCCAAAAGCACAAAATTAAACATTAAATAATTAATTATATGATTCTATAGGAAGGAATTTTTTTCATCCTCATAAACAATAATTAATGGAGCACACCAACCTCCTATTGATACCAAGGACTTGGAGTTGTCCTTGTTCATAAATGTGTGCATTAAACTAGGTTATAAGTATGTGTTGAAAACATCCACAGGATTTAAATTGTGTCCACAGCTTGTTGCTGGGCAACTAATTTTTCCTTTTCTTGGTGGACTCAATAATTGTCTTTTCATAATTGAAAGCTAACTATGAATGGTGCTAAGAATTGTTCTTAAATGTTCACATCTTCTTCGCTGCCCCATTTTTAATTAAATCATTCATGTTTTATTCTTTAAAAATGGAAAAAATGAAAAATTTTCCACCCATTCCCTACCTCTCAAAAGGAAAAAAGAAAAGATTTGTGCTAAAAGCATGATCAGAGATTCTTCAAATTTTAATCAATTTAGATTCATAAATTAAAATCTTAGATTAATTAAAGAAGATGGGATAAACTTTTTTTTATTATTATTTTTGGTTTTAGCGACGTAGCAAATTAAATCTATCATGTTGGTTATGCTACGTGGATTTTTTAAAGTCACGTGTCATTTTTAATTAAAAAATTAACTGAAAAACAATAAAAGGACATTTGATGCCATTAAACCTGTTAGACTTTATTGATTTTGTTGCCTAAATTCCAATTGAAAGCAGGAGTTATTGTCTTTATGGCTACATGTGTTCCGATTGAAAGCGTTTTTTAATAGATATATAGTTCAACAATATTCCTTGTTTATAATTATTCTTAAGAAATTAAAACAAAAAAACAAAACAAGGACTAGCTAGTGCTTAGGAGAATTAATTAATACGATGATAAGTAATAAATAGTACATGAAAATATGCTGGTTAAAAGGAGGATCATTTGAATGTTTTGAATTGATTGGTGTCGTTGATGTCAATCTAACAGATCAAGCATGCCGGGCCGATTACATCATTAGCAATCAACATTTCAGATGACATCCTATACTCAGCTTCCCTTGATAAAACAGTGAAGGTATGGCGAATATCAGACCTCAAATGCATTGAGACCATCAAAGCTCATTTAGAGCCCGTCAACGCCATTGTCGTTGCCGACGATGGTATACTTTACACCGCCTCCGACGATGCCTCAATCAGAGTATGGCGGCGCAACTTTTGTAGCGGGGAACGACCCCATTCGCTCACTGTAACCCTACCGGCCAAGCACTCACCTGTGAAAACTCTAACCCTAAACTCAGATAACAGGGTGCTGTACGGTGGGTGCACAGATGGTTTCATTCACTATTGGCTCACAGGGTGGTTCTCAGGCCAACTACAATATGGCGGTGCACTCCAGGGCCACACGCATGCAGTACTGTGCATGGCCAATGTGGCAAAATATGTGATCAGTGGCTCAGCTGACTCAACCAGTAGGGTTTGGGTGAGAGAATCAGAGGGACAACACACATGCGTAGCAGTTTTAGTCGGTCATAGAGGACCTATTAGGTGTGTTACTGCATTTCTGGGGCGATCAGAGGATGATAATGAAGACGGGTGCACCATTTGCACTGGAAGTCTTGATGGGGTCTTGAAATTGTGGCGTGTGACTCGTACCAACAAGGAAAGTGGGTATTTTTCGCAAAATGCATGCGATTATTTTGATCTGCAGTAGGGACTCTATATTTCATATGGACTGCAAAAACGTACAGTAGGGCTTTTCCCTTACCTTAATTTTAAGGGCAATCGAGATTAGATGCATGCAAGAATCCACAATCAAATATGCCATTCTATGATGATAACCTATAGAATTAACTCTTCTTCTTTTTTTAAATTTGGATTTGAAATGTAAAGATCTATTAATCCCAAAGAAAATAATCACAAACGACAACTGAGAAAAATAAAAATCACAAGTAGCAATAAAACATCCATGTATTTTGCAAGCAGACAAGACAGCTAATAGTAGGTTTGGCTGGCCTGTGATGGATTATTAGTTATGTTGAACAACAAAAGAAGCAAATCCACCTTCTGCTGAGCTCACAAACTTGCTCTCTGGTAATGCTCTCGATATGCAAATCCGGTGAGCATGGCTTGTATACTCTGGCTGCATTTCCAACCCACCTCTCCGATCCTCACCATGTCGTGGTTGCTCCTTCTTCAGCAACCGACAAATAGCGTAACAAAATATGCGTAAACAAACAGCTATGGCTACCATCACCAAAGCTGATAGAACATAGTCTCCGATGGAGCGAGAATGTTCGCACCCAAATATAATAATTCGTAGGCACACCATTGCTTAGCATGTTAGAAGGCCTTGGATGGCTGAGTAATATAGGAGAAGAATAAGAACCTGTCTTAGGTTCTTTTCTTGGCAAAAGTGGATATGGCTTCGATAGGGTGTACTTTATAGAGGGTTACTTGGGTATTCTTGCCTTCAATTGAATTCTTGTTTTATATATAACTTCTATTTCATGTTTGGTATAGCTATTACCGTGGGTCACTGTGAAGGAGGAAAAACACAAGAACACATTCCTTTTGAATAAAGTCTAAAATCCACTCTAGCTTTTCCAATACTGACCCTACAGTTTTCTTTATAGAATAATAAAAAAAAAGGATAGGCATACTACGTACTAGTTTGAAACACATGAAATATAAATGTTTGGATGCTTTGTGTTTAAAGTGAGATTTTTATCTGGTTTATTTATTTGGTTTCAAGGGTGGCAAATTCAAGGATTTGGAATTGAGGACTCCACATTTATGACCTAAGAAAAGGCATAAAATGTTAATTGGTGGTCATCAAGCAGTGTTACTCCAAAATCAAAAGTTGAAGGCGTAGTTAGAGTATGGAACATCATCTGAAGTGATCCACCGGAAAGCAATGCCCGGACAACTCCTTTGAGCAAATCACTCAATTGCACCAGAGAATCTACCGCAGATATCTTGGCCCACAGGATGAAACATTCAAAATTGCATCAAACATAGGGCTTTAGCCAAATATAATTGTCACATTTCAAGTAATTAACTATTAGATATAACTCTAACATAGAGCACCATATTAGGGATCAGCAAACGAATCCACAACCTAATGCTTAATACCCATCAACACTTCATAAATACGAGAATTATATACCTTTAGAAGCAGTGGACTTGCTCAAAAACAAAAGTTGCTTCCCAATTTCTGGAAAATGGAACAACTTGAAGGCCATTTTATCTTTATGCAGATGGCGCTGGCCTCCTGGGTTTATAGTTGGTTTGCCACTTGGTAGTTGATGAAGAAAGACTGGGAAAACAATAAGTGTTACGAACTTAAGGATCAGCAAACGAATCCAGGACCTAATGCTTGATGACCCATCGAAACCTCATAAATAGGAGAATTATATACCTTTAGAAGCAGTGTACTTGCTTAAAAACAAAAGTTGCTCCCCAATTTCTGTAAATGGAAGAGACTTGAAGGCCATTTTATCTTTCTGCAGATGATCCTGGCCTCATGCGTTTATAGCTGATTTGCCTCTTGGCTGTTGAAGAAAGATGAGAAAACAATAAGTGTTACAAACATATGCTATTGACATCTACGTTTCAACTGGAACAAAATGCTAACAAATTAATCAGCTCAGATAAAAGAAAGTCTCGCCTATCTAACTTGTCATAATAATTAAACAGGTAGGGCAAGCACGATGCCTTTGCAATGGCACAATCAAAAGGAATAGCTAGAGTTTCCTGTCACGGCCAGCAACATATATCTTATGCCTGCATCAACATCCCCTCATCAACTCATTCAAATCTTTTGCTCTTTTTTTTTCCTGTTTCCATGAGCACTATTCAGTAAATTCTGACTAGTCAGATATACCAACAACTTTCCACTGTAAATTCAATTAGTTATTTTATCATTATCAAAAAATATATATATATATATATATATATATATATATATATATATATTTTATTATTATAGTGACTGATGAATTATTCTATGTCTGCTGATTGTTCTTTTGAGGAGAGCCAACATAACAGAATTCACAAGAAATATCTTGAGTGGAACTTAAAATTGCACACTGGGTGAATGTGAGTCCAATACTCAAAGGGAAAAGAAAGGTGGAATGATAAACTTAAGGAAAAGCGCTAAACAGAAGAATATACCTGATTGACTTAGAGCCCTAACTCATTAAAAAGTTGCCAGGCTTTACATCACTTCGAAGAAAACCCCTTGAGTGCATATAACTGAACATGTTTATCTTTATAACAGGCTGATGAAAGAAGCATAAGTATGCACGAAAGCCATTTAACCTCTACTCTTATCAATGAGAGAGGTATTTCTTAACAACAGGCAGGCTTGAAAATTGATCCGCAAGCATACAAAATGTTTCCAATAGAAACCTCCAATTGCAGCAGCTAAACAAATTTTCAAGGCTTGATGAGCAATAAACAAGTCCCTTTCTCTGTTCACAACCATATTCTCCACATGAACATGTAAACCCCTTGGAATGGTGAAAGTGGTTTTGGTCGCTGACAATTGTATATCTTTAGTATTGACTATCTTTGATGTCAATTTTGTTGCTATTGTAGCAGTCTGCACATGCCTGAAAGTTCTTATTACTCAAATTGTTGTCCCAGAAAGGAGCTGATGATGCCAAAACTAGGCAACTGTCTCTTTGTGGCTAAACAATAGGGGATTTCTTCTGCACTCTCGACATCTTGAAGCACCTCATTTCTATCAGGAACGTATCCTTCTTCTTCCATCTTCTCTAGTAAGACATTCAATGTCTCATTTACTTCGTCATAACATGGGTGGGATTTATCTCCTGATACAAAAGCATGTGTGTCGTTTTTAACTTTAATCCAGCTGAAAGCAGTTGTTTTCTTTATGCCCTTATTCCTCATAAGGTATCGCAACTTGGCTGCATCTTTCCATCTCTGAGCAGCTGCATATATGTTGCACAAGAGAACATATGCCCCAGTGTTTTCTGGATCAACCTCAAATATCTTCTTGGCAACCTTTTCAGCCAAGTCAAAATTTCCGTGGACGCTACAAGCAGAAAGCAATGACGACCAAACACTCCCCGCAGGTCTATGCATACTGGATATTAACTCAAAGGCTTCATCCAACTTTCCTGCTCGACCAAGAAGGTCTGCCATGGCAGCATAGTGTTCCAACCCTGGATCAATCCCATAATTCTGAGTCATACTGTTAAAATATCTCCAGGCTGCATCTATCATGCCAGCGTGACTACAAGCAGTCAATACAGCCACAAAAGCCACATAGGTTGGCCTCACTCCCTCCATTTCCATCTGCTCAAATAAAGAAACGGCATAATAAGCTTGGCCATGCGATGCATATCCCATGATTATAGCTGTCCACGACACCATGTCATGTACATCCATTCTATCAAAAATCCATCTAGCTACCTTAATATACCCGCATTTGGCATACATGTCTACAAGTGAACTAGCAACAAACATATTGTCTTCATATCCAACTCTGATTATGAATCCATGGAGCTGCTTTCCCAAATGTAATGCAGTGAGATTAGCACAAGCTGGCATGATACTGGAAAAGGAAATGGGTACAGGCTTAACTTTGGCTTTCAACATCTGGTGAAAGAATCTCAAGCCTTCATCAAATAAACCATTCTGCACGCACCCAGCAACAATAGAGTTCCATGAAATGCTATCACGTTGAGGTAAAATGTTAAACACCTGGAGGGCATCTTCCACTCGAGCACACTTTGCATACATGTCAACTAAGCTACTACCAATAAAGACATCATTGTCAAAGCCATGTCTTATGGCATATCCATGAATCTCCTTCCCCTTGTGAACATCCACATATTCTGCCAAGATGGGAAGCACGCTAGACAAAGTGAAAGAATCAGGCTTCAAATTTTCACTTCCCATCTCTCTAACCATCATTAAAGCTTCTTCATACTTTCCAGTCTCTGCATTCCCTGCAATTACTGTATTCCACGAAACAACATCTCTTTTTGGCATCATCTCAAAAACCCTTTTCACACTATCCATTATTGAACCCCTTCTATCCACCTCTACCATATACCTACAATTTGTTTTGCTATAACGCTGATTGATGATTGTGCTATTTGCATTAGTTTGAGGCAAAATGTATCTAGCTTGATTCAAGCTCACATTTTGTTCAATCCTAAACTTGTCACTAAACACTTTCTGAAATTTTCCGTACATATTCATAAGGGCATTGCATGTATACAAATCAAAGTCCATGCCCAACCTAATAATGCAGCCATGAACAGACTCGCCTAATTTTAAATCCGATAACAATGTGCATGATTTAAGTAAAGAAGGGAACACATTATGATCTGGTTTTTTACCAGAAGATCTCATTTGCAAAAACAAGTCCAGTGATTGAACAAGAAGGCCATTGGCAACATAGCATCTGATGATGGATTTATAAGCAAGAACTGGTGGGGAGTGGAGGGTGTTGAAGACAAAAAGAGATTCGTGTAAGAGGTTGAAGTTGGAGTAGATAGAAATTAGCCTGGAGAGGTGAGCGGGAGAGGAGGGCTCCAATTTAAGAATTTGGGCATGCAATTGTTTAGCCTGGTACTTTGAGCTTATGACGTTTGGTCTTTCAAGGAGTGTTCTGAAAATGGTCTGTGAAGTCATCGGTATGTTCGCTTTCCGAAGGGCTCTTGTTTATGAATGGAACTCCTTCAACACATGTTGATCTGTAACATACAAACCACATTAGTAAGAAATCAGACAAAATTGCTCGATGATAGATGACAGTGCTGATGAAAGATATTGAAAAGAAACTTACCTTTGATTTGGGGTAGCTCAGGTTTTGTGTCCCTTCTACTTGTATATACCTGTGTGTTGCACAAAAACCAGTGACATTCAAAAACCATTGCAAGCTATATATAAGAAAGATGTGATCCATTAAAAAACTGGCCTGACTGAAGGATTTGGGGGAGGTAAGGGGATTCATTGAGCACTAGAATTGCATATATTTTGAGGAGTGAACAACAGAAGCCAAATTACTTTACATGTTCGCTGAAATGTCTAAGAGAAAAATAACATCAAAAAGCAAAACTACTGAAACAAACAAATGCAGAAACTTTCAAGGAAATTGAGGAGGTAGCGGACGCAACTGGAGGAGGTGGTGGTGGTAGCCTTTGGCAGTGGCCGTGGTCCGTGGAGCAGGTTGAGGACAGTTTTGTTGAGGGAGTGAGAGGGATACGGTGGGGAGGTTTTTTAGTCCTCGTGATTCGGCGGGTCTAAACACCTAAAATCTGGGTAAACTACAAAATACGTCAAATCTACCCCAAAACTACATTTGTTGTTAAATACTCCTCCTACCGGTTCAATGACTTGCGATATCCATTTTTGATAAAAATATTATTGTGATTTTAACTTGCACAATTGAGTTCTTATGGTTTTGTGCATTAGATGGTAAAAGTTTTTTCCGTTCATAGTTAACCTAATATTCTGTTAATTTTGATTTTTAAAGATAAGAAGGACACTTTCTATTTGATCCCAGATTCAGAAATAAAAAATTGATTAAAAAAAGAAAAGAAAATTAAAAACTGTATATATATATATATAATAGAATTGTTAAAAAATTTTGTCAGCTTATTATTTATTTATGCTGAATTTTTTTTAAAAAAAAAGATTAAAAGTATTTGTTAATTTTTTATTAGTTTATGCTAGACCTGTTATTATTTTTTATAATTTTATAATTTTTAACTAACTATTTATTTATTTACTATAATTTTTTAATAAAAATCACCTAAAAAGTAAAAACAATCCAGCATAAATTAATAAAAAAATAATCATTTTTTCTTTTTTGGTATTCTTAAAATAAAATAAAAAATTCCAACATAAATAAAAAAGAATTAAAAAAAATTTCCTGCTATAAATAAATAAAATATTGGCAAATTTTTTAACAAATTTATTTTTTTCCAATTTTTTTAAATGAAACCTATATAAAGCTGACATGTGTCTCCCTTCTCCTTTTAAAATCTAAGTTAATGGAAAATTAGGCTGATTTTAGATAGAAATAGCAATTTAGCCCATACTCGGCAGATACCTTCGAAATCAACCCGAACGAATAGGGTTTTTTTTTTTTTTTCACAAAAATGTCATCAACTGGCTAGCTATTCGTAATAAAATCTGCTAAGCAATGAAATATGTACTGTCCAATTGATAACATTCTCTAAGTATCACAATGGCCATAGAGAAATGAAATAATTAACTACGAAAAAATTGAGGTGTTTTGGCGGCATGAAGGAAAGATGCTGGCGTTATGCCTTGGCGTTAGCTAGCTGAAGTATAGGAAATTGATTTTCATAAAAAGATGTGAAGCAATGATTCTCTTTAAAGTAGAAGGAAGGCAATGGATAGCAGAAGGTGATTCATTTTGTTAGGGAACAAAATAATGAAATTTGTAAGCACTTGAGAAGGTGCTTCTGAAAAATTCCAACTGAGAGGATGGTGTTTTATATATAGATTCAATGGCGAATGCAGGCATACGAACAACAAATGCTTATACCTGTGTATCTATTAAAGTTGAAAGTTCTGAAGGCTACACCAAACGAGATTGTTACAACTATGTTAACAAGTAGAAGATGAACTACTGATGCTGGAGATGGACGAAGTGTAATGAAACATTCTAAGCATAACACTGACGAAGAAGGCATGTTTTATTTATGGGGAGAAGATAGAGTGAGGATTGGTGATGTGTTTTCATAACCCATCACGCTAGAGTAACAGGTGTAGTTCGATGTGTTCAACACTTGTTACGGTTAATTGTTATTGGCAGAATGTGAAGTTTAGATGCGTTTTCATATCAAACGAAACAACTGGGAAATTTATGTGGTTGTTGGTGTTGGATACAGTATGGGATAATTATATTATAAGTACATTTAATTTTTTTCAATTCAATATATGAATTTTAATTTTTTAATTTGAATACATCGATTGTTTCAAAACTATCAATCAATTATTTTCGATCAATTTTTTTTATTAATCGATAATATATATGTTATTTTTATAACATTAAATTATAATTTTATCTTTTTTTCTCAAAACAATTTTTTCAGAGTGAAAGCACAAACAATACTCTAAATAAAATTGTCGATAAAATAATGCCCTTAATAAAAAAAAAAAAAAAGTGCTTGTATTTAAAAGGTCAAGTGTTTGGAAGATGATTTTTTGTTGTTCTTACGGTATCCCTTCTCGTGCAATAAAAAAAAAATAATGGCATCTTGAATCAAAAAGCCAATATATACACTATAAACAATTGACAAACAATTGGATAAAAATTATCTCGAAGGATTGGATCATGAACATTTAGAGAAATTACTTATTGTGATAATAAATTACACTTACATAGTAACGATGGAGTAAAGAGTTCTAGAGTGGGAATTATCCAACTTGACAATTTACTTTTGAAGAACTTTTCGGTAGTTGTAGAAAATTTAATTCTAAAGATATCCTATATTACATTTTGTGAAAATATTGATATGTTAGGCTATTCCTATATTACATTTTTGTGAAAATATTGATATGTTAGGCTCTTCGATTTTAACGGCTCAATAGAAACAACAAGTTGACATAATTGGTATAGATAGTAAAAAAAATAAAATACTAGAAGAAGAAAAAAAATTTGTTTTATTTAATAGGTCTATATATGAATTTATTTAAGGAAAGAGACAAACAAGAAGAAGAAAAAAAATTCATATATAGACCTATTAAAAACACCCAAATTCAATTCTCTATCTATATATATATATATATATTATTTATTGAGTGGTCTAAAATTTTTCACAAGTATTTCTATTTATTTTTAATTTTACTCTCAATTTCTTATACATTTTATAATATCATATAAAAGCATTTACAGAAATGGAACTCAAAAACCAAATTTAAAAGATAGATCATTTAATGCATGGAAGTGATATTAAAACTTTATGATAGTGAGAAGAGTAATAACGAAACTTTCAAACTATAAGAGTGAAAAAAATAAATTAAAGGACGTTATTTCATATTTTGTTCACCATCTGTAAGAGAAATAATAAAGTATAAATTAATCTTTTTATTTTTGAAAAAATAAATAAATAATTACTTTAATTTTAAAAACTAATTAATTAATTCTTTTAACTAGTGTTAATCATGTTTTATTTAATATTAATTTATTTAAAAAATACCTTATTTTTCATCAATATTTTCACATTATCAATTTTTTTTATATTTCTTAAAAAAAGGATTAAATTAAAAATAGATTTTAAAAATATACACTAATTAATTATATTTAAAAGTAGAGGGACTATTTAATTCGTGTTGTAAAACTAAAAATACTAATTTATAATTTACTGGCAAAAAGACAAAGGAGAGGAACGACCTGTGCAAAACAATTCGAGTTCAAGTCGTGGAAGGAGGTGAGGAAACAGAAGAGTGAGTGACGAATGATTGCTTGCAGCTGCTGCAGGTCTCTCTTCTTCAGGTAAAATGCGCTCACTGTTTGTTTCCTAAGAAAAAATCAAAAATTTTCTCAGTCTTCAGACTATTATATTCCCAAAGTAGTTGAAGAAGAGCTTTTCTTTTCTTCTAAGAACAAAGTTGATTGCTCTCTCAGATACGCGAATTCATATCTGAAATCGAAGTCACTTAATTTCTTTGAGGTTGGTTTGAATAATCGCTTTTTGTTGTATTAATTAATTTATAAGATTTCTTGATATTATTTGTAAGGTTTTTTGAATAATCATTTTTTGTTATATTATACTAAAGAGGAGGATCAGTGGCTTTGGGAAGGATAATGCTATGATGGATAGGAACAAGAAGCTTAAATCAGTTGGTATTGGTCGACCCCAATGGAGACCAGTCTCTATCTCTGCTCAATCTTCTTCTAATATTCAAGGTTTGTTTTTCTTTTTCCTTTTTATATATGTTGTTGGGCTTTAGATTATCTTTCCGGTGTGCAATTCCAATCCTGTTTCGCATTGCTGAGAAGTGCCATTTTGATGTTCTTCGAAAGTGATTCTTCTTCTTTTTTTCTTTTTTTGTTAATCATGGATTATTTTTAGGTATCAAGAGCGATTTCAATGGTGCGCGCCATTGTATTTTTTATTATTATTGTTGTTGTCATAGGATTTTTGTTGCGTTTAACCATAATGCTAATAGCACTCCTCAATGGACCCTATAGCCACTTAACTAATAGCAGTCAGTTTCGAAACATTATGTCAGAGTATATGCTTGGCTTTACTAATTGGAGTTTTGTGTTGTCTTAAACGAGCTGCATTCTGGTGTTGCTCATGGATTCTTCAATGTAAATCTGCAGAATCCCTGGTTAAAGATGTGGCTAATGAGTCAGAATATGGAGATCACGTTCAAGAAGCTATAAAGGTTGCTCGAGTGGTGACTGATAATTCTGACTCAACCATCAGTTCTGGTGAGCCTATGGTTTCTGCTGAAAAGCATTCACTTTCGCTCGAGGTAAACTTTTAACTAGTCGAAGTTTAAATAATTTAGCCATTATTAAGTACATAGTTATCAAGGCCCATTCTTGCAATGGGTTTTGGCATGCGCACTTGATGTGCTCTCTTCTTTTGAAGTAGAACTTATCATCTGCTTGGATTTTTGGTATTTAGGCCTTAATCACATTGCATCTCCGTATCATTTTTGAATATCCATTTCTGATATCTGCTGTAGGTGTATGCGATTACTTTTACATATCTTTCTCAATAGTTTTAACTTTTTTTATTGTATAAACAATTTGTATTAGTAAATTTAAACACAAATTAAGAGAAAAAGAAAAAAGGAAGATTGATCTTTCTCTTTGGATACTGTTGACTGTAACAGAGGCATGAGATAAGTACTTTCATATGGTGCTTATGGGAAATTTTCGTGCTAGGAATTTGACCTGATATGAATGTTTCTCATCATTCTCACTCTTTAGGTTTTCTTTTTATCAGTACATGTTTCGCTTTCTTAAGAAACTGTTTTGCAGAATGTGCAGTAACAAAAAATGTCCTACCTTGCATAGAATATCCGATGGTGCAATGTTGGGGATTAAGTATAGATGTCTTTGTTAACCCTTCTCTAGTCTTCACAGTTAGTTTTTGACCTGCTTCTTGACCTGCTTCTCTCAACTTTGATCTCATTTGTTATTCTGATTGTATTAGTCAGCCTGATCTCAATGCATTCTACACGGTCCTTTTCTCTTCTAATTCTCAGACTCCTTGAAATATAGTTCTAGACTTTGACTTTCCTTTTGCATTATAGGTGAAAAGCTCTATTACCTGTTTGAAGGCTATACGCTCAGACCCTGTGAACCCAATTATGAATTATATTATTAATACTCCTCTCTACCTGCTAGCACATTTATCAACTCATAATTATTGCTATCTTATTTTGTTTTCTCTTGTGGTCTTAAATTTTTTTTATCCTTGCATTTTTTATTTTTTATTTTTTAGTTTTTTATCTCACTTCCTCTGTTTTTTCTTTGAAGGTGGGTGCTTCTCTAATTCGATTCATCAAAGGCAAAGAGTATGGAAATCATCATAAATTTTTATTTATTTTTAATTTTGAACTCAAGTTACATCCATATTCACTTGTACTTATAAGTTCCTTACGTCAGAGGATCTACTCAAAAAATGATTGAAGAGGAGATGGGAGTTAAAATTGTTTTTCCGTCTTCAAAGAAGGAAGAATCTATTGGTATGTGTCCTGATTGAAAATAAATATCTTGCTTATATGCAAATGTTATAATCAGTTTGTCATTTTGAAACTAAAGGGGTGTTACCATGTCTTCCAAGATGGGAGCATGACCATCCTAATAAGTTAATGCTTGAATTTGACAATTTTGATTAATAGATTGAACGCAGTGACCACAACATTGGCTGTGATTGTTTACTACTTGACATGTTATCCTCTGCAGTCATTCAAGGCATTTCAACTGATTGTGTAACTAGAGCTTCAGAAAAAATACAGGCCATTATAGATGAGGTCAGTTGCCTGTCACTGTGGGTGTACAAAATTTATGCTTTCCTTTATGTCATTCCAGTTTCATTTGGCATGTTTGAGACCTAGTTTGATGGTTAATTTTTCTTTTAGGTATTAAAGTAGTACATGACTTGTGCCATGCATGTACCTTAGTGAATGAACCCAATCTATGTAGTAGTAGTCTGATAAATTCCTTGGCCATTAATGAGGAGAGAAAAGTATGTGGAGAGTAAAAGATGTGCCTTGCTAGTCAATGCCAAGTTTCAGCATCTGTCTTTGGATGCATGTGGCATGCATCTTTTTGACCTTTTTTCGTATAAAAATCTCTCAGTACAAATGACATGCAACTTATTCATTATTTTTTGAAGTGCATCAATTATTCTTTTTTTCTGCATATATGCTTGACAGATTGCTAACATTCTCTATTTGTTGTTAAAATCACAGGCAATTAAAACAAATCTAGACTATTCTCACTTTGTATCTCTTCCGTTGGCAACATACCCTGAATTGGTTGATAAGCTAGTCAAATTTCAGAACTCCATACTGGGAAAGAATGATGTTTCCACAGATGAAAACTTGGAAAGTGATTCTAATGAAGATATTTCAGACATCGAAATCAAGGGCCCAGAACTAAGTAAAGGATGTGATATAGCTGTTGAACTTAAAGTTGAAGATGACAAAAATGTTAAAGTGGATTTAACTAGCATACCTGTTGTTAGTTACCCTCCTAAACCACCAAGGTTGCCTAATGCTTCTGGTAGGTTTAAAGTTCATTGGTTTTATTGAACAGTTATTCAGGTGTCCCTATAATAGCATATAGTTCTACACCAATTTTTTAAACTTTGGACCCTGCTGATAATCCATTTTCACTTGTCAAAGTCTTGCTTCCATCACAGAAAAAGATGAAAAATAAAACACTTACTTTACTGTTAGTCAATTTTACCTAAACTAATATGCTTCTATTTCATTTAGGAATCATTTTTTGCCTTTCTCATCTACTTAAATGAAACCTTCCTGATTTATGTGGTAATTGACAGACTTTGGAATAGACAAATCCATATTCATTAAACCCACAACGTTTCACTTGACTGTACTCATGTTGAAGTTGTGGAACAAGGAGCGACTTGATGCAGCTTCAGATGTTTTAAAGGTACGTTTATGTTAAATAAGATGGGTATTAGCTAACAGTGGTTCTAATAAATCACTACTTGTGTGTTTAGAGTATCTCATCAAAAGTGACTGATGCCTTGGATAATCGACCTGTCTCCATCAGGCTTAAAGGGCTGGTGAGTAGAATATGACTTGATTCTTCTTGTTTTTGTTTCCACAGTAGGATACAATGACCTTTTGAATCTCAAGCTAGGGTTAGATACTTTGAAGTTCTATGGGTTGTCTTCTGAAAAAGGCAGCACTTCAAACATCAGTGTGATGGGTGGATTGCTGTCTTCAGGTCCTTCTATGTTTGTTCGTATGCCAGCTATTACCAATTAAAATTTTGATACCCCTTATTCCCTTGCCAGGATACCATGAGAGGGTCTTTGTCCAGAGCTCGTGTTCTCTATGCTCCTGTTGAGGAAATTGGGAGTGAGGGCCGACTTTTACGTGCATGTCGTATCCTGATTATCTAAGCATCAATAACTGGCGCCACTTAGTGTTTGCTGCACCTGGAAATGAAAACAGGAAAAAAAAATGATTCTTAGTTCTATTAGATTTTAAGATGTTTCTCACTTGAATGGAGTCTTTTGAATTTCCTTAGCTTTCTTAGAAGTTATCAACGATGCATTTGTTGAGGCTGGACTTGTTCTAGAGAAAGATGCTAAGCAAAGCTTAAAGGTATGTTACCCACCTCTTTCTCTCATATGATCATGCTTCATGCTTAATATGTAAATGTTATATTTGTAGTTATTAAAATGTTTCTACCATATTTATTGGCTATCTACGGTGCTTTCTAAATTTCCAAGTAGAGCATAATAGAATGTTTTTTGGGCAGCAATCGTAGTATGCTTGCTTAGCTCATAGGTGTTCAATAAAATATTGTCCAATAATAGAATTAGCTACAACCTAAACTTACCGGACCTGATGCACAGTGGGGTTGCCTAGTTGTTTCATTCTATGTTCTCTTTATTTCATATAGGTTTGGTTTCGGAAATACCAACATCTATTTATGTTGTCTCCTTTAATTGCAGTTGCATGCTACAGTGATGAACGCAAGGCACAGGAAAGGGTACAAATGCTATTTCTTTTTGCTCGTTTTGCATTTTCTTTTAGGTGAAATTATTTTTTTTACCAGTCCCTGTGCTTTCTGTGTTCATTAGACTTGAGTTCCTGATAGTTCAAACTTCAAAATTTATTATTTAGTTACTGTTTTATGATGCAATAAAATATCAGTCCTGCCTCATTCTATTTTGCTGATATTACTTCTTAGGGATTGAAGGGTAGATTTTAATAGGTTGAAATCTTTTCTAAAATCTCAGGGACCTATTGATGATTCACCCATTTCTTTTTGCCTGCTTGCTTTCTATGTTTCATTTGGCTTTTGTTCTTCTGTTTCATATGCCTAATTTCCTGAAAATTTCAGGAAGAGAAGAAGGAAGAATTATTCCTTTGACGCTAGGGGCATTTTCAAGCAGTTTGGATCAGAGGATTGGGGGAGCTATCATATCCGTGAAGCTCATCTTTCACAACGGTTTGTGTATGATGAAAATGGATATTACCATTGCTGTGCTTCAATACCTTTTCCTGGAAAAGAAGCCTGCAAGGAGAGTGATTGATGTATATATAGCTAAATTTCCTTTCGGTAGCAAAGGGCTAAACTGTTAATTGCTGAAATTTTTACAATTATGGGTTGCTTTATGGAATTTTTAAGATTTCAGCTTCGAGAACTACAGCAGTAGCAAGTATTTCACTGCATGGGATATAAATTGGGTCGGCAGCATAACTTACCAACTAAATTGACGTGTAGGAGTTAAATATAGTTTCACGCTGTTATGAAGGGTGGCTTGATTGAAAAGAATTCTGGTCGCTTAAGTGATTGCGGGTTCGAGGTTTTGTATATGTAGAAAATTCTTTAGGTAGTTATGCGTATTGTGCGTCTGATCGAATAATGAGGGATTAGTCTAGGTTTTTGAGTCTGAGATACTTTGAGAATCCAAATATATATATATTCACGCTGTAACGTTATGCTTCTTAACATTGTATGAGATCGGTATTGTTAAAGAAATTTTGCAATAACCTACCTTATGACAGCCTACAAACTAGTCATTTTGGGGAAGGGTGTTTCTTGAAATTTTAGAATGAGCTTAGTTTAACAATGGAAAATGAATAAATGATGCGAAAGCATAACTGCAACCTAGCTGAGCCATTCCATTTCTGCATAACTACTCTTAACATATAGTAATAGTCAACATTGGAATGGGGTTTTATTTTACCCTCTATCTAGTATCGGAAAGGAGGAGGTAAGGGTTACTTCCTTATGGAATATGGATGAAAGATCATGGAGGAAAAAGGTTAATGGTGTGAGAAACGACTCTCACTTACAAAATCTTTCAGTTTCCATGCAGAAGTGGACTGAAATTGGAAGAAGACAAATAGACAATTATCTGGTTGCACGGCCCTTTGTTTTAAAACATTTTCAACTTTCACGGGGCAATGCGAATTTCAGCTATGAAACATCTTGGGTTGGCATGGATGGACAAATAGACAATTGCCTCTTTTAATTGATCATTTGAGACACAGCATCTGATGCTGCAATGTATTGCCTATTATGAATGTATTTCAACAGTAAATTTAACGATTTAATGGTTGATTTAGATCGCAATCGATTGTGACATGGTGCATTGCGAATTTCAGCTATGAAATATCTTGGGTTGGCATGGATGGACTATCCGCCCATTGACAACCGCAAGTCACCTCTCCATGGGACAAAAGAATCACAGTGTGGATATCCAAAACCACTTTTGCCAAGAAGGTGAAAAAGGCTGAAAAGGAAAAGTAATTACTCCACTACATGTCAAAAATAAAAGGATAGTAATGAGAAGACAAACAAAACACCATTTTCTTTTTGGGAAAACCCTAGAGATTCCTTCCTATGCATGTCCTTTTGCCGGCTGCTTCTCACTATAATTCAAACCGTAAACACTATTATGTTGCTAACCTCCTTGTTTATAAAAACCCACTAATGTTATCCACATATTTTTCAAATTAATCCCTCAACTTTTGCATACATGCATGGTCGGTGCACTTTGTGGCCCTGAGCTAGTCAAGTCCTTATCACCTCATTTTGTTTATCATTGTTTCTCTCAGACATGACCTGACCCCATCGCCCACCTCTCTCTCTAACATGGAGGTTGGGTCACATGTAAGAATCATTGATGTGCATCCAGACATTTCTATTAGGAAATGTCGGTTCTTGACAGCTAGGACAGCAAGAAAAAACCTTATTGGATATGGATGGAGCCATTATGCACATCATATTCCCTTCATTCCTTAAAAAAATACAACAATAATACGCTATGCAACTCATGACTCTATTTATTTATTTAACTTTGCTTTTTCTGTGTGTCTACTTTTAGTTTTAGTATATATGTGGTGTCCTGAAAAAGGCGTTTGTGATATCTGAAATATATTGAACTTTCCTATCTTTATATCTCCTTAAATCTTCTCCCATTTTCTAGAGTTCTGCTTTAGCTGTTCTTTCAAAGATGGCTGGAATTGCTTTCGGTCGCTTTGATGATTCTTTCAGTTTAGGCTCTTTTAAGGCCTATCTTGCTGAATTTATCTCAACTTTGCTCTTTGTTTTTGCGGGTGTTGGTTCAGCCATAGCTTACAGTTAGTGTTCTCTTTTCCAAACCCTACTTATGTATTAATAGTCGCAGCATTGGAGAAAAAATAATACCATATATTGTTTTCCATTTTACTTCTCGTAGCAAGGATTACCAAAGCATCACATTTTTATTTTTATTTTTGTATGTTTTTACGATCATAACTTACAAAATCAAACTAGACTTAGTAAACTGATGTTACTTGAGGTTGAAGATTAATATCCTCTTTAAGTAAACATAGTACTAGCTAGCAATAACAGGAAACATATAAATCAATGACCATGCAAAGAAGGATAATGCAGTACTACTGCCTATGAGTTGTAACAATAAGTAACTAACTGTAAGGTTGGATCTTACTATTGCAGATAAGCTGACAGGCGATGCAGCTCTTGATCCAGCTGGGCTAGTAGCCATTGCTGTTTGCCATGGATTTGCTCTCTTTGTTGCCGTTGCTGTAGGTGCCAACATCTCCGGTGGCCATGTTAACCCTGCTGTCACTTTTGGCTTGGCGCTTGGTGGCCAAATCACCATCCTCACTGGCATCTTCTACTGGATTGCCCAGCTCCTTGGCTCCATTGTTGCATGCTACCTTCTCAAAGTTGTCACTGGAGGCCTGGTAATTAAGATCAAAATTTTATTGAATCACTCCGCTAAGACTCATAATATATATTTTTATATATGTGTGAGAGAGAGAGAGAGATCCATGCATTTTTTTCTTTAGAAGGCCGTATTATTTATTTGTTTGTTTTTTTCTTAAGCTTGACTTTCTATAATTGCTTGGTTTCACAGGCAATCCCTATCCACAGTGTTGCAGCTGGTGTAGGAGCCATTGAAGGAGTGGTTATGGAGATCATCATCACATTTGCCTTGGTTTACACAGTCTATGCAACTGCTGCTGACCCCAAGAAGGGATCTCTTGGCATTATTGCCCCCATTGCCATTGGTTTCATTGTTGGTGCCAACATCTTGGCTGCAGGCCCATTCTCTGGTGGATCCATGAACCCAGCCCGCTCCTTTGGCCCAGCTGTGGCTAGTGGTGACTTCCGTGACAACTGGATCTACTGGGTTGGGCCTCTTATCGGTGGTGGGCTAGCTGGACTTATCTATGGAAACGTGTACATCACCGATCATGCTCCTTTGTCCAATGACTTCTAAGCCTTGAGCTTCAGTGTCCCACATTTGTCTTTGTCATAAAGAAAGAGGATGCTCTTCTTTCTTTCCTTTGCCTTTTTTTTTTTTTTCATCAAATTTTCATCAAGTCTGTCTTGTTGTAAAGCCTTGTTTCAAGAACGATTACCATTTGCTTTATGAGAATGAATGGAGGGTGCAGCTACGTCTCTTTCATGTCTTATTATGCTAGCTGTTTCCCTTCTTTTTTTCCTTTTGTTTTGGATTTATCTTTTCAACAATGCAAAAGTTTGACCGTCTTCCGACACATGCAAAGTAATTTCTGCAATTCAAATTTCATGATTTGTTTAAATTTTTAGTTTATTTCAAATTGTGTGTCAATCGAAAATTAATTTTTTTAAAAAAAAGAATCTTACGAATGTAATTTTTATATCGATTTAATGCGTTGAATTATATTCAACATATAAAAAAAATAGAGCATCTATCTTAACTATCGTGTCAATTTTACTAATTTTTTGAGCAAGTAAAATAACAACTAGATATGCATGTACTTCAATTTCTTATTTTACCCATTATTTTACATCTTATTAACCAAACAAGTTTTGGATAAGAAAAAATCGTGATGATTTAAGATAAAGGGACTGGATTGAGAAGTTATGATACACGAGGAATTCAATTGATAAAATATTTTGTTTGGGGACTATATTGAGAATGAATGATAGTTAGAATACTAAACTTAGGTTTTCCCTTAATTTAATCAGATTGAATTTCCGACAATATTTCAGAAGGCAGTAGTTTTTCGTAGTTCCATTCATGAGCTTTCCATTCTGGCAGCTGTTGGATGACAACCTGCATATATTAAGGGAATAAAATAAGTAAAAAAAAAAAAAAAAAGGAGAGAAAGAGAGAAACTTGATTTAAAGTGAAAAATCTTGAGGATTGCCAAGAAAGTTTACAAACCAGTCCTCTAGAATCTGGATCGCCAACTGTGGTTTGACAAGCAAGTCTCCAGTTTTTTGGTTTCTGCAAATAGCCCATTGGCGTAGTTGTCAGCATTTTTAATAAAATTTTATCCTCATTCTAATTACAATTACCACATGTCATCTAAAATGTTAGGAAAAATAGCTCTACGTAGTCCTTATATTTTAAAAATTGTGTCCAATTTATCCTTATATATTTAATTATATTTAATCTATCTTTTAACAGTTTATGTGTCTCCAATCTATCATTTCGTCTGTATTTTTTGTCTAAACGGACAAAATTATATCACATAACATGCACGTGACTAAATTCAAAATTTATGTAACCAAAAATGCCAGGAATTTTTTCTTTTCAAATCTTCCATCAAAGAATTTGAAACACCACGCACACAAGATTAAAGACAAAACTCACCTAAAGCTGAAATGTGTATTTCTCCATTTATCAAGAACAAGAATGCCTTAGTCAGCTTAAAAACAATTTCCTCCATAAGCGACGATTAAAAGAGCTAAACCCTCTATTAGAGCATTAAACACGTGATATTGATTTCAGACATCTAAACCAATTCATAATTAATCATCAACTTTTTCAAGATATTTTTTTGAATTAAGGGTCTTTTGGATATATAAAATATTAACTTATTTTATTCACCTAATGTGATTCCGTCAGTTAAGATAAAAAAATTCGAACGCAAGGATAGATTGGACACAAACTCTAAAATATAAAAATATATAGAGCTATTTTTTCCAAATATAATTATTATGATTTAGATGTCAAGAGCAGGACCTTACTCCCTCCTTTTTGAGAGAATATTAGCATCTAGCTAAACATAAATTGGTATCTTAAGCATTCTTAGGTAGCTATTTCATAAATATTAAAACAAAATGGTAATTTAGTCCTTCAAAGAATTAGTATATTCTGAATTAGTGATTAATTTACCTTCTTGAGTTTCTCCTTCTCGTTGTCCGTACGCGGGCTAAGTAGCTCTTTCCCCTCTATAACCTGAAAATAGACAAAAGAGTTCAACATTATTAGCTAGGGAATTTTCAGCTAAGCCCAGAACTGTATATTTTACAATTGGGCTCTTTGCAGTGCAACTCAACTCACTGGAGAATAGCAATAAGTTATTGCCTTTGATCATGACATTTGAATCAAGGATAAGCTTGGTTATGTCAATCGCCAGCAAATTAATTTAGTTTCCATGAATTATTCGGCTAGAATGGTGATCATGACCAAGCATTCATTTACCAAAAAAATTGTTTAAACACAATGTGCAAGAGAGGGGAATTGGAAAACAACGAACTAAAAATAAATAAAATAAAATCAATGTTGGGCAATTGACTCCTGGAAGAATGGTTTATCAATGATATACCTCCACCATGCATGTCGCACAGGTACCTCCTCCCCCACAATTTAGCAGAGCTCGAGACTGGAAAATCAATATGTGAAAATCAAATCAGGACATGAAAAAAGTACCATGTATGATCATATATATATATAAGAAGAATGAAAATAGACTTACATATGGTCCATATAACTCAATATTTGTGTCCAGCATTATATCCCTAAGTTTTTGGCCCCCAGGAGCATTGCGAAAATGTACATCTGGGGTTCCATCTGGGAGCAACACAGACTACAAACAAAGATAAACTTAATTATATGCCAAATAAATGGAAGTTAATAACATGTACCAGGCATGATTAAAATATGCAATACAAATTAATATTAGTAAAACATGCATTTTTCTTACATGAACAAATGCAAGATTGACACAAGGTGGTTCTTCAGGCTCCTTGGCCTCGGATGTGCTCTCTGGGACAGTGCTTATGGCACGGATTTTAGCTTTAGAGGGGCTGAAGCTAATTATATTTCTTGAGGGTTTAATGCTTTTGTTAGAGGGAACTTGTAAAGGGGATGACAGACCATAGGAGTTAAGTTGGAGACTGCCCATTTTCACTTTTGATATTTCAGGATTGGAAGGGTATTAAACACTTTGCATTAAGGGAGGGGTTTTAGCGTATGTTGTGTGGTGGTTCTTATTTATCTTATCTCTGAGATGTGGTTATATATAGAGAGACAGAGAGAGGAGGAAAAAAAAACGAAAATTAAGGCATGGCAGCGCTAGAAGAAGGGCTTGAACCTTCGACCTTGTGGTTAACAGCCACACGCTCTAGCCAACTGAGCTATTCCAGCTAGTTGGACGTTGGGTGTGAAACATATTTTATTTCTTTTGGATACTGATTGCTGTGTTAGCGAATTGGGTTGGACCAATTTGACAATAGTTCCATTAATAGCTAAGTTAAGCCATTTTTTTATGTACTGAAAAACAATTTCTAATCAACTTTTATGTCCGGAAATTAAAGGTAAAAAAATAGATTGTTTATGCATTAGGGAATTTCAGTATGATTAAAATCGTTTCTCAAGCCTAATTAAAAGGCATTTTTTTCTTCGTGCTTGAGATAAATTATCATCCATCTCTCCTGTTATTTAAAAATTTTTAATTTTATAATTAATATATCTTTTTTTAGACTCGTGTTTTCGTAAATAAATTATAAAATAAATATATTTAATTATATTATTATAATTGATAGATTACAAATTATTAATAAGAAGTTCAAAATTGATAATTTCTTATTTATTTAATTAATTGTTCTTTGTGTTTTTTCCTATTTTTCTCTTCTTCTTTTTTTTTACAGTCAATTTAAGATAAATAATTATATATTTTACAATAATAGTAAGGGAAATGTCTACAAAAAGCACATTCGTACATACGAATGTGTTTTTCTGGCCATTAGATTTCTTTGCTTAAATTCAATGGTGGAAATTGTCTCATCTTTCTTTCTTTCTTTCTTTTTTCTTCAATTTTCAAAATAGCATATTTTTAGTTTTTACCCTGATTTGTCTTCTTCCTTTTTTTTTTTTTTTTTGCCCTTTCTATCTACAAAAATCAAAATTCATCCAATCATACGTGGTAATGTGCAATATTCAAATCCTAAAATCATATTTATCAAGAGAAGTTAAATTTATTACTCTTGCCTCCAATATGATTAATCTTATTTTTAAATGTGAAATGAAAATACTTAAAGAAAACTAATAAATATAAATATAAATAACCAACTTATATCTTTCTACAAAAATATACATATCATTAAATATCAAGTAATACACCACATTACATGAAATTTTACCAAATGTGCATTATATTATTATATATGTGTGTGTGAAAATTTCATCATTTGTAATTTAAATTTCAACTCATCCAAAGTCACTATCAAATCTAATTCATATATATATATATTCTGAAATTACTTATTACCGGATAAGAATTTTTTTTTTTTTTCACAATAATCGTGCGAAACTCAAAATGATGGCTTTCAATTTTCCATTGGGTGGATATCAGAGGGGGCTTGCCGTTTGCCTTGTTAATTGGCTCTAAATTTGATTGAAAACTTGAGTTTATTTCTCTGTAGAGAAATCTCGATATGGATTTATATGAAAGAAATTTGATCCAAGTAAAATGCTGAATTTTAGGTAGAAAACATAAAACAAAACAAAGATGAGGTTATATATATATGTATGTATGTATGTATGTATGTATGTATGTATAAAAGAGGGGGAGAGAGAGAGAACAAAAATTAAGTCATGACAGCGCTAGAAGAAGGGCTTGAACCTTCGACCTTGTGGTTAACAGCCACACGCTCTAGCCAACTGAGCTATTCCAGCTAGTTTGTCTGTGGTTGTGAAACATATTTTATTTCTTTTGAAAACCTGGTCGCTGGGTCCGGGAATTGGGTCGGACCAATTTGACAATAGATACATTAATAGCTACGTTAAGCCATTTTTTATGTACTGAAAAAAAATTTCCAATCAACTTTTATGTACGGAATTTAAAGGTAACAAATAGACTATTTATGCATTAGGGAATTTCGGTATGATTAAAATCGCTCCTTAAGCCTAATTAAAAGGCATTTTTTTGTGCTTAAAATAAATATATTTATTTATATTATTATAATTGATAATATGTTACAAATTATTAATAAAAAGTTCAAAATTGATAATTTCTTATTTATTTAATTAATTTTTCTTTTTTTTTCCTATTTTCTCTTCTTTTTCTTTTTTTTTTTTTTTTTTTTTTACAATCATCCGCAGATAAATAATTATATATTTTACAATAAAACCAGGGAAACGTCTACAAAAAGCACATTTGTATATACCAACGTGTTTTTCTGGACATTAGATTTCTTTGCTTAAATTTAATGGTGGAAATTGTCTCAGTCTTTTTTTCTTTGTTTTTTTTCCCCCTTTCTATCTACAAAAATCAAATATCATCTGGCTATACATGGTGAAGTGCGAGATTCGAATTCTAAAATTATATTTATTGAGAGAAATTAAATTGTATTGCTCATGTCTTGAATATGATTAATCTTATTTCTAATGTGAAATTAAAATATTCAAAAAAAAAACTAAAAAATAAAAATAAAAATCTAATTGTTTGACCTTTATCACTTTTCAAAAATATACATATTAGTAAACATCAAGTAATTCACCACATTACATAAAACTTTAAAAAAATATGCATTATATTATTATGTATGTCTGTAAAAACTACATGTGTCGCAATTTAAATTTCAAATCATCCAAAATCACTATTAAATCTAATCCATAAAAAAAAGTGATATTGTGACGTTGTTTATTACTGGACAAGAAATTACTTTTTTTTTCACATTAATCATGTGAAACTCAAAATGATGGCTTTCAATTTTCCATTGGGTGGATATTTTTCCACTACGTGGATATTGGAGAGGCTTTTGATTTGCCTTGTTAATTGGCTCTGAATTATAAAAAGCCCTAAAAGAGATGGGGTTTTCACTATTACTATCTTTGTGTTTTTCATAAATTTTTTGGTTAAAAATATATATGTTGTTTATTATGCATTCATTCTTAAATAAAAACCTATAATAATTTAAATAAAAATTTTAATAATATCATAATAATTTTTTCTCATAAATATATAGAAGAAATAAAATAACAATTAATATAAAAAACTTGTATAAAATTTAACAAATGAATCCTTTTTATTGTTCTTAATGTCGATGGGAAGACTAACTTTTTAAAAATATGTATATTTAATTTATATATATATATATATTTATAAAATAATCAATAATATTAGTATAAAAATTGTATTTGAATTATTAGGAGGTTCTTCTAAAATATCATTTTACTTATTTTATTTGCAAAGAATTTATTTTTAAAAAATATTAACAAATAATTAGTTTTATATATGTAGGCTCGTAATTAATTTTCAATAAAATAATGATCTTAATTTATTTTTTTATATCATAACCATAATGTGTATATCATAATATGCATCATAAATCGAAAAATATTTTTTAAAAAAAAAACTTAAGTTGTAAGAAATATATTGAATTTAATAGATTGTAATAAAAACAACCGTAGAATTAATTTCAATACATTTTGACCATGCAAAGAATAAGCAAATAAAACACGTGGATTATATTTTTGAATTAATTATTTTTATTTAAAAAAATCAATAATATTAGTATAAAAAATTTTATTTGAATTATTAGAGGTTCTTCTAAAATCTTATTTTACTTATTTTATTTGAAAGAAACTAATTTTAATTTTTTTAAAAAATATTAAATGGCTGGTGTTATGTAAACCCATGTTTAACTTTCAATAAAACTAATGATCTTAATTTATTTTTTATATACCATGACCATATTCGAGTGGGTCCGGTATGCGGCACAAATCGAAAAATATTTTTTAAAAAAACTTAAGTTGTAAGTAATATTTGAAGTTAATTGACGACAATAAAAGCAACTACAAAATTGATTCCAATAAATTTTGATTATATAAAGAATAAGTAAATAAAACACATGAATTTTATTTTTTAATTATTTTTTATTTTTAAAAAAAATATAGTAAAAAATCTATTCTCGGAGGAAAATGATTTATATTAATTGATAAATAAAATTACATAAAAAAGAAGAATAAAAAAATAATTTGAAGAGAATTTTCATAAAAAACGACAAATTAAAGAGATCAATTTTATACAATAAGAGTAATATAATTTCATATATATTCATGAAAAACTATAAGAAACAACAATTGATTTTTCATAATTTTTACACTCAATTCAAAAAAAAAAAAAATTAAAAAAACGAAGAAGAAGAAGCAAGCCTGGTCCATCTAGAGACTTTAAAAAAAAAAAAAATTAAGAATCAAAATGAAACATAATGTAAAATTCTCATATAAATGCCTCAAAACAACAAGATAATCACGAAAATGCTATCGTCCAAAATTAGAAAAAGTACTCAGCACTAAAATAGCGTTTTATGGTGAAATGAATAGTCACAGTCATTATTGTTCTAGTTGTTTTTGTTGATAACTATAATGATAATTTGGGAAAATTATTTTTTTAACAGTAATTTCTCAATCAAATCAGAGACTTTACTTCTGTAAATTTTTTAGAGATTGAATTCCATTGAAATTCAATTATTGACACTCAAAATAATTCTAATCATAGGATTTAATTAAAACATCAAAGAGGAATTCAATTCAAAAAGTTTTTAAACATGATGGAAAAGTAGTATGCCAACGTGTTACTCCTTATACTTAGGCTCTAGTATACCTTGAGGAAAAAGGTTGGAGAATTAATGATAATTCCTCGTTATTGTATTCAGACTAGAAATGAAGCTTTTTATTTTTTATTTTTTTATCCAAAAGGACAAAGAAATTCACCTCAGGTAGGAAATTTCACTAATTCATTTTCTTTTTTCTCCAAAAAAAATTATATTTCCTTTCTTCTTCTTTTTTTTTTTTTTTTTTTGCCAATCCCGCATCTTACCATAAAACTATTTTTCTTTCTTTTTTTTTAATAGCATAACAAAAATTATTCACTTATTATAATTTTCTTCTCTCCTTTTCTGGTCGAACGACTATTTTTCTTTTCTCTTAGAGACATTTCCTTTTGTGTAAATAAACTAGACAAATCTCTAATGTATTGTGTGGATAACACTAAAAAATCTAATTTATATATATTAAAATTCTAAATACGAATTTAAGATTTATGTTAGTAAATTTACAAAAGAGCACATAGATATAACCTATAGAAAAATTGTACGAAATTGAGTATTAAATAAAATTTATAAAAAAAATAAAAGGAAAGGAGAGATAGAATGAGCTATATTAAGTAAATACAAGCAATATATATATGTATGTATGTGTGTGTGTGCGCGCATGCAAAATCAATTTTAAAAAATATTTTATTACTATTATTACTACTACTATTTTTTGTAATTACTTTTATTATTTTTATTGCTGCCTTAATCGATGAAGTTATTCTTTTAATTATTATTTTTAGAATACTGATAAATCCATCAAGTAAGTTGTTATTTCTATCATTTCTTCTTAGACAAGTAACAATACATAATTAACCAATTGCAAATAACTATTATATAACAAATATTAATAGAGGATATATTGATAATTTTCTTATTGGTCTTAAAATCTAAAATTTTAAATATTAAATATTATTTTGATTCTTTATTAATACAATATTAAAAAAAATATTATTTTGATTCCTATATTTTCATTTATACTTTTCATTAGCATTTTTTTTTTTCGCATGAGCTTTAGAACACGAGCTCTAAGAGAAGCCTTTTTCGTCGAGAAAAAAAAAGGAAGATAAATTTGTAAAGCTTAACAAAAAAAAAAAAAAAAAACATAGATTCAATATTCTTTATATATCTAAAACGAGTGGGGAGTTCACTCGTTTACTTGAACAGATGAACTCCCCATTTTACCCCTCTTCCTTTTACTTGTTTATTTGAACATTTTTTTTTTTTGCTTGAGTTTTTTTCCCTTTTTTTTTAAGTTCCACTCTTACTTATTTTCTTATTTTTTTAATTATTAAATTATTTCATTTTTTTCTTTTTAATTCTCACTTGTAGTTTTTTTCCTTAGTTTTTTTTTTAGATTTTTTAATTATTTTGTTATGATCCCTAAAAATTTAAAATAAAAATTTTAATCCCCATATGATGCACTATATATCTTTTTTTTCTTTGATTTTTTTCCTCATCAATTTATGTTCTTTTTTTTTATTTGATTGAGTGTTAAAATTTTTAAAAATCAATCGTTATTTTTTTTAAACAAGTCGATGATTTACTTTACCCTCACACTATACTACTCAATTTTAGTTTTTTTTTTCCTTTTTTTTTTTTTTAAATTCACTATTATTTTTTTCTTATTATCTTAGTTTTTTTTTTTTTTTTTTTTTTTTTTTTTTTTTTAAACTTTTATGTGTTACTCCTTACACTTAGGCTCTAATATACCTTAAGGAAAAAGGTTGGTGTTATAAAATAAATAGAAATAATAAGAGAATTGAAGAAAAGGATGACAAGAAAATGAAATCGCTATAATATGAATATAAGTGATAAGAACTTCAAAGTTTCTCTTATTCTCTCTATGAAACTTGTACACCAACTAATGAATAAGCAAGCCTATTTATAGCTTCAAAATTGAGGAGAGAAATAGAAGGGACTATGAATAATAATTGCATCATCCTTTCAATTTCTTATATTGAATAATGAATTGAATCATATTAAGAATCATGAGTAGTGGGAATATAAAAAGTGGATGAACATAACGATGGACATTCATTGTTTCATAACGAGTTGGAGAATTAATAATAATTCCTCGTTATTGTATTCGGACTAGAAATGAAGTTTTTTATTTTTTATTTTTTTATCCAAAAGGACAAAGAAATTCACCTCGGGTAGGAAATTTCACTGATTCATTTTCTTTTTTCTCTAAAAAAAATTATATTTTCCTTTCTTCTATTTTTTATTTTTTATTTTTTTGCCAATCTTGCACCTCACCATAAAACTATGTTTTCTTTCTTTTTTTTTTTTTTTTTTGTAATAGCATAACAAAAATTATTCACTTATTATAATTTTCTTCTCTCCTTTTTTGGTCGAACGACTATTTTTCTTTTCTCTCAGAGACATTTCCTTTTGCGTAAATAAACTAAACAAATCTCTCATGTATTGTGTGGATAACACTAAAAAACCTAATTTACATATATATTAAAATTCTAAATGCGAATTTAAGATCTATGTTAGTAAATTTAAAAAAGAGCACATAGATATAACCTATAGAAAAATTGTACGAAATTGAGTATTAAATAAAATTTATAAAAAATAAATAAAAGGAAAGGAGAGATAGAATGAGCCACATTAAGTAAATACAAGCAATTGGAATATATATATATATATATATATATATGCAAACTTAATTTTAAAAAATATTTTATTACTATTATTACTACTACTATTTTTTGTAATTACTTTTATTATTTTTATTGCTGCCTTAATTGATGAAGTTATTCTTTTAATTATTATTTTTAGAATACTGATAAATTCATCGAGTAAATTGTTATTTCTATCATTTTTTTCTTAGATAAGTACCAATACATAATTAACCAATTGCAAATAACTATTATATAACAAATATTAATAGAGGATATATTGGTAATTTTTTTTATTGGTCTTAAAATCTAAAATTTTAAATTTTAAATGTTATTTTGATTCTTTATTAATACAATATTAAAAAAAAATATTATTTTGATTCCTATATTTTCATTTATACTTTTCATTAGCATTTTTTTTTCGCATGAGCTTTAGAACACGAGCTCCAAGAGAAGCCTTTTTCGTCGGGGAAAAAAAGAAGATAAATTTGTAAAGCTTATATAAAAAAAAAAACATAGATTCAATATTCTTTATATATCTAAAACGAGTGGGGAGTTCACTTGTTTATTTGAACAGATGAACTTCCCATTTTACCCCTCTTTCTTTTACTTGTTTATTTGAACAATTTTTTTTTTTGCTTGAGTTTTTTTTCCTTTTTTTTTTTTTAAGTTTCACTCTTACTTATTTTCTTATTTTTTAAAAAATTTTAAATTATTTCATTTTTTTTTCTTTTTAATTTTCACTTGTAGTTTTTTTCCTTAGTTTTTTTTTTTAAATTTTTAAATTATTTCATTATGATCCTTGAAAATTTAAAATAAAAATTTTAATCTCTAGCTGGTGCACTATATGTCTTTTTTTCTTTGATTTTTTTTCCTCATCAATTTATGTTCTTTTTTTTATTTGATTGAGTGTTAAAATTTTTAAAAATTGATCTTTTCCTCACACTATACTACTCAATTTTAGTTTTTTTTCCTTTTTTTTTAAATTTCACTATTACTTTTTTCTTATTATCTTAGTTTTTTTTTTAACTTTAACTTTTATTGTTTAAAATTTATTTCTTTAATTATTTGGAGTGTTAAAATTTTTAAAAATCAATCGTTATTTTTTTTTCCAAACAAGTCGATGATTTACTTTATCATTGCATTATACTACTCAATCTTAGTTTCTTTCCTTTTTTAAACAAAATTTCACTATTACTTTTTTTATTTTCTTAGTTTTTTTTTTAAAACTTTTACTCTTATTGTTTAAAATTTATTTCTTCAATTATTTTTTTATTAAAATTATAATCAAATTAATTTTTTGATATAATTTTATTTGTTAATAAAATTTTAAAATGTTGGTATTTTTTTGAATATATTATTATAATTTATGAAATAAATTGTTTTTGTGCTTTTTACATGAGTGTTTTATTTTTTAAAATATATTATTATAATTAGTATGAATAGTGAACCATCATGCGAGTACTTGTTTATTTGAATAGTTTTTTTTTCCTCGAGTTTTTTTCCCCTTCGTTTTTTATTTTCACTCTTACTTATTTTCTTATTTTTTATTTTTAAAAATTTTTGAATTATTTCATTCCGATCCATAATATTTTTTTAAAAAATTAATCCCTAACCGATGCACTATACGTCTTTTTTTATTTGTTTTTTTAATGTTTTTCTCATTAATTTATGTTCTTTTTTTATTTGATTGAGTGTTAAAATTTTTAAAAATCGATCGTTATTTTTTTTCAAACGAGTCGATGATTTACTTTATCCTCACACCATACTACTCAATCTTAGTTTTTTTTTTCTTTTTTTAAGAAATTTTCACTATTACTTTTACTCTTATTGTTTAAAATTTATTTCTTCAATTATTTGTTTCTTATTAAAATTCTAATCAAATTAATTTTTTGATATAATTTTATTTGTTAATAAAATCTTAAAGCATCGATGTTTTTTTTAAATATTTTATTTTAATTTATGCAATAAATTATAATTTATAAATTTTGATATATATATATATATATATATGAGAGAGAGAGAGAGAGAGAGAGAGAGAGAGATTTAGATAGTTTAGCTCAATTTTTTTAATAAAAATTTACAAGTTTTTTTTTATATATATATTTATTCAGAATTTATCGGAATCAATTTTGTTGTAGTTTTTTTTAGTGTATTGACTTCAATATATTTTATACAACTTAGGTAGGTTTTTTTGTTTATTTTTCTATTCATTTTGTGTACTTCGAATCGATATATCTACACATATAATATCAATTCTTTATTCTTTATTTTTTTTAAATAAAATAAATTATATAATGTTTTGAAAGAATTTTTTAATTATTCATATATATATATATATATATATATAATGATTTCGCTTGATATATAGATTTGATTTATGTTGACGATTAGAAATAAAACTTTTTACTTACAGTGTATTACGTGAATCGTTAACGCTGTATAACGGATGCGGGTACCCATCTAATATACATCGATAGATAAATTTATTCAATTTCCAGTGAGAATTAGGGGCCAAGACAAGGCAAAAGGCAGACACCTCGACTTCGAACCTCCTCCTTGCTCAAAAACCCTCACTAAATCTCTCTTCCTATCCCTACAAAAACACTGACACACACACACAGAAACACAAATGCCCCATATCTCAAATCTGCGCCTCCTCTTCTCCCCTCTAGAGCCCGCTCTCCGTTTTCCTTTCTCTTCTAAACCCAGACCTTACTCTCTCTTCACCATCCTCTCTTCTTCTTCTTCTTATCCAAAACGACGACACCGTATCACGCCAAACCACCAGTCTCTTAATTTCAGAAGCAGAAGCAAAACTACTTTTAGAGAGACCAGAGACAGGGACAAGGACAGAGGGGAATCAATGGAAGACAGTGGTAAGGAGAATTTTGGGTTTAATAAAAAAAGGGCCGAGGGTGGAGATAAGCCTAAAAGGAATTTACAGTTGAAAGTCAGAAAGCTCAATCCTACCAATACTATTTCTTATGTGCAGGTAACTCTTTTTGTTCTGTGGGATCGTTTTGGTTTCTGGTTTTTTTGAACAATTTGAAGTAAAGATGGAGGCTTAATTGCAATGCAAATTCCAATTTTGTGTCATTGATTGCTTGCAGTCAAGGTTTAACAGTGGTCCTCCCCTTTCTTTCCATCACTTTCAATGTAAAGAGAGGGGCTTCTCTTGAAGCTCAAGTTTTAAAGCCCTTTTTTTCTTTTTTTTTGAGGATTGTATTTTACAAATTGTCAAGCAGTAAAATAAAATGCAAGTAAGCAGAGATACCAAATCTCTGATCATTAGAGCTTATCATCTATTTGTGTTGGATTGCTTATTTATGAAGGATGTCTTACATTTTCCAGATTCTTGGGACTGGGATGGACACTCAGGATACTTCACCTTCTGTCTTGCTCTTCTTTGACAAGCAAAGGTTCATTTTTAATGCTGGCGAGGTAATTCCGAGCAGTGATGTTAGAAACTCTTTTTTGATAAGGTATAAAGGATCAATTTGTTTTGAAGAACCGAATTGACTTCTTTTATTTGTTCATATGTGGTCAAATTGTTGTTATTGAAGAAGAATAGTCTCCATGGTCGGGATTATCTTGCTTCGAATGGGATTTACATCTTCAGGAGTGGTTTATAAAATCTATGTGCAATTGGCTTTTATCTGGTAAAACCTTGGTTTCTAGATACTGCTATCCCAGTACTATGACACATTACTTAGAACTGCTCTGTGAGACTAGCTTGCCCGTTCTGCCAGAAGATGAAATCTTAGCTTTAAATAACAAGAAAAAAGTAAAGTTGTTCTGTTTTCTCTTTGTGTGAAGAGCTACATACTTGTTCACATACATGGAATCTTGGTATATTTCCATCATTATGAAGTTTAGAACTGGAGACTCTCAGAATCATAGGCGTTGGATCTATCAGCCCTTGCTTTCTGCCTGAATAATTCATATCGATAATTTTATTGATGAGTCTTTTTTGTTATTTTTATTATAGCATACGAGCAACATATGGTTACTTCATGCAATCAAATGAGAATACGAGCATCCTTAGCGTGACTTACACTGAGTAAAGAGGGTATCACTGGGATTTTGTGTATGTTTTTGCTACTAACATGTTTAATTAATGAGATTGTGATCTTTTGTCAGAAGGTTTGCCCCTTTTTTTTCCTTATGATTTTAGCCACCTTTTTATTGTCACAAATGTTAGGTACCGTAATGGGAACTTAGGATACATGCTATCCTTTGTTTCGCTGTTTATATATGGAGTTAGAATATGTCGAAATCATCAAATAGCTGAATTTAAGCTAGCGAGACAGTGGACTATAACTATAAGATGCTTTAGAAAGTCCAAAATTGAATTGATGGTTATCACTTCACTCCAAATGAGTATTTGATCTAAAAGTCAAATGACATTACGATTTTAATTTTCTTTTATGCTATTCTTTCAATAAACATACCTTTAGAGCAAGTTTACCTTTTGATTTTAATTTACCACTAACTTTGAAAATCTAGCAGCAAAGTATTGTCTTATGTGTCTTCTTAACATTCAAGCCCATCTCAGATGATATTCTCATTTTATTGAAGAACTAAAACACTGTTAAGCCTCGATTCTTGGTGAGGAGACCGATGCATAGCAATTGGATTTATTCTCTCATTCTGCTACTGCTATTGCAGGGATTGCAACGATTCTGCACGGAGCATAAGATTAAGCTATCAAAGGTATACAACAGCTCAAAGCATATTTATATGCGCACAACTTTATGCAAATATGCATACACATTCATAATCACAAGTTAATATGGTCTTCCTGAGTTTCATTTGTGTTCAATAGGTGAATGTTCTCTACATGTCAGATGAAATTTTTATTTATCAATCTTTTTCAGATAGATCACATATTTCTCTCTCGTGTCTGCTCAGAAACAGCTGGTGGAATTCCAGGTTTGTGTCTTTGTAGCTCAGCTGCCATATTGTACTCGCCAGTTCATTATGCTTATGACTATAATTCATAGCATAAAAATGCATAATATCTTGATGTATCTCCAAGAATTATTTCTTTACTGATATCTGGCTGGTCATTTATGACGCACCAAAGCTACACCCCCTGTATTCTAAGTATTAAAAGTTTCCTGACAGGTTTGCTGTTAACTTTGGCTGGCATGGGAGAAGAAGGAATGTCAGTAAGTATTAAATTGACTTTCTTTCCCATACTTTATTGTATATTATATTTTAAAGTTTAGTTTGTGTTTTTGTGAAGGTCAACATATGGGGCCCATCAGATCTCAAGTATTTGGTTGATGCAATGAAGTCTTTCATCCCTCATGCTGCCATGGTTCACACAAAGAGCTTTGGTTCCAATGATGTTGATCTGGAAGATGCAAATAAGTTTACAGAACCCATTGTTCTTATTAATGATGAGGTTGTCAAAATATCAGCTATTCTCTTGCGACCAAGCAGGTCAGAAGGATCTGCTGTAAAGCCTGGTGATATATCTGTGATATATCTTTGTGAGTTGCCTGAGATTATGGGCAAATTTGACCCAGAAAAAGCTAAAGCTCTTGGTCTGAAACCTGGGCCAAAATACAGGGAATTGCAATCGGGAAGATCAGTGATGTCCGATCACCAAAATATAATGGTGGGTTCCTCAGTCAAGGAAAAAATAAAAAAGAAAAGAAAAGAAAAGAAAAACTCCATGACCGCCTACTTGCTGTTGTAGTACCTGTAGTGCTACTTGATCCATGTTTTGGCATGTGTATTTATTATGTGCATCTGTATCGTTGCTTGCTCCATGTTTTGACGTTTATATTTTGTCTCGTTTTTCAGGTTCATCCCAGTGATGTGATGGACCCTTCTGTTCCTGGTCCCATTGTATGTCTTGTCGACTGCCCAACAGAATCCCATGTGCAGGAATTGTTATCCTTAGAATCTCTCAATAGTTACTATGCAGATTTCTCAGGTAACCCAACACAGAGTGTTAAGACTGTGAATTGCATCGTTCATCTAAGTCCTGCTTCTGTAACAAGCAACCCCTTCTATCAGAAGTGGATGACAAAATTTGGTTCAGCCCAGCATATTATGGCAGGACATGAAATGTGAGTGAGTTTTGTCTTTGGTTTCTCCTCCACAGAAAGATGTCCTCTGTCTACGTACTTAATAGTTCTTCTTGGGCATTCATGGTCTTTGCAGGAAGAATGTGGAAATTCCTATTCTAAAATCCAGTGCAAGAATTGCAGCACGACTTAATTACTTGTGTCCTCAGTTCTTTCCAGCTCCAGGATTTTGGTCCCTTGGACATCTTAAAAACTCAAGACCAGACTCATTTTTTACAGGCGAGGTCTGTTAGACATTCTTAGCAGTGGATGATTATTGATCGGAAATGTTTTATTGTGACTAAACTATTGGTTTTCTTTCCTTGTCCCAGGGTTGTGTCTCAAGGTTGTGTGAAAACGTATCGGCTGAAAATCTCCTTAAGGTATGAATAACTTTTTCATTTTGCCGAACCTTGTGATTTGATATTTGACAATGCAGTTTGCTAAATCAAATGCTTTCTTTTTCTTCTTCCTAGCATAATGCAAAGGCTTTCTGGTTATTTTCCTCAAACATGTGCATTGAATTTGTTCAGTGGCAAAGTTTGAGTTTATACTATATATTAGCAACCACGTTTCATTTCCAATTCCAAGTTTTTCCTTTAAGACATAGTTTTTCTGTTCCATGCCTGACTTGATTGAGTGACGTAAAATTTATAACCAAGCAATTACTTTGGAAATGATGTTTTGAGAATTGAAGACTATATTTACTGCCCCTGCAACACAATTTTCACTTATGATCCTAGAGGATTTCATGTTGGCGTACTTTTCAAGCACTTAGGCCCTTTTGTTTGAATATGTGTCTTCTCAAGCTGTCTCAAATAAGACCTATGATAATTCATAAATGCTTTGGTTATCATCCTTTTTTCTAGTCCATAAATTGGGCGAGTTGATGAATGTTTGCAGTCATTTTTATTTCTTTTGATATCTACATTTACAATCACTTTAAGTTAGATGCCACTTCCTTTTTATAACAAGGTTGCTCCGCATCTCTATGTCGAACAGTTCACTTTGCGTCCTCATGCTCATATTGGCTTGGAAAAATCTAATATTCCAAGTTTGATGGCCCCCTCAGAAATCGTCAATGAGTTAGTCACTGAGATTCCAGAGATTGCAGATGCTGCCAAACATGTACGGGAGTTTTGGAATGGACCCGGAGAATCAGAAGCAGACACAACTGTTGCCCAGGATAATAAGGTTATGATTGAAGAGCCATGGTTGGAAGAGAATACTCTTCCTAGTTGCTTGGAAAATATAAGGAGAGATGAACTGGAGGTGGTCCTTTTGGGGACAGGATCATCTCAGCCTTCTAAATACCGAAATGTTACTTCTATCTATATTAATCTCTTCTCCAAAGGAAGTTTGCTCCTAGATTGTGGGGAAGGAACCCTGGGACAGCTAAAAAGGAGGTAACACTGTAGAAAATTATGATTAAATCTTGCTTTTATTGCAAGTAAATTATTTTCTTCCTGTATAAATTATTATGACTGGTGTAATCTGACAACAGGTATGGTGTGGAGGGTGCTGATAATGCAGTGAAAAATCTAAGATGTATTTGGATATCTCATATTCATGCTGATCACCATACTGGATTAGCAAGAATACTTGCTCTGCGACGTGACTTGTTAAAGGGCATGACCCATGAACCTGTACTTGTTGTGGGGCCTCGGCAGCTTAAGAAATTTCTTGATGCATATCAAAGACTAGAAGACCTGGATATGCAGTTCATTGATTGTAGGAGCACCATTCAAGCTTCATGGGTTGCTTTTGAGGGTGATGGCAAACCCACAAAGGATGACGTGTCTCTAGGAAGTCCAAATGATTTTGCAGAAATGAAAAATGCTACTCTAAATACTGAGTCAAATTTGTTAGCCAGGGGAAGTCGTATGCAGAGCTATTGGAAGAGACCTGGCAGTCCGGTTGATAATGGCTTGGTTTTTCCACTTCTAAAGAGATTGAAGGAGGTGCTTAGTGAAGCGGGGCTGGAGGCTTTAATTAGTTTTCCTGTTGTGCATTGCCCTCAGGCATTTGGTATTGCCTTGAAGGCTGCGGAGAGAATCAACAGTGTTGGAAAAGTGATACCAGGTTGGAAGATTGTGTATTCAGGTGACACTAGGCCCTGTCCAGAACTGGTAGAAGCATCTCGTGGAGCAACCATTCTCATACACGAGGCAAGTTATCAGATTCTATTGTATATGATTAATATATCTTCTTCGTCTTTCCTTCCCTGTTTTTTGTTTTTTAAATTCCTAATCTTTCAAAATTCTTATTGGTTTGATAAAGGTGATCAAATAATTGGCAATCAACAACTTGATGAAGTGTTGAATTATTAAAATAGGAAGAAAATGGGTTCAAATTTTGTAAATTTGACCGGGTGAGTGGGTTATTCTCATTGTGACAACCACATTGGCTTTTGTGGCACACACACAGGTATTGGAAACACTTTAACAAACTACGCCATGTCTCTGATTTAGAAATCAAACAAACTACGTCATGTCTCTGATTTAGAAATCAGAGAATGTTTTCAACATATTATACACACACACACACACACACACACGCACGCGCGCACACACACACACACACACACACTTGCTTTCCCTTTGATTTTATTGCGTGTAGAGTTGCTTTAGAGGCCTAGATGCTTATTCAGCTTGGCAGCGTGTTGAGCTCACCAGTACTTAAAAGCGGACTGTATTTGATATTGTCCAGGTTACGAAGAGTCAGATGGTTATGCATTTTGATCCCATTAGTTCTATAATTATGCAGGCAACTTTTGAGGATGCATTGGCGGAGGAAGCTATAGCCAGAAATCACAGTACAACAGAGGAAGCCATTGAAGTGGGAAACTCGGCTGGTGTGTACCGTATCATACTCACCCACTTCAGCCAAAGATATCCAAAAATTCCTGTATTTGATGATACACACATGCATAAAACCTGCATTGCTTTTGACTTGATGAGTATTAACATAGCAGATTTACCTGTGCTTCCTAGAGTGCTTCCGTACCTTAAAATGCTCTTTAGAAACGAGATGGTAGGGGATGAATTAGATGATGTTGTAGATGCTGTAAGTGCAGTTGCTTACTAGTTATCTTATTCGATTTGTATCCTAATTGTCCAGTTCATTTTCTATAATAGTTTGCTCTTTCTTCCCTTTCATTAATAAGAGTGCATTTTTCTTTCCTTTATTTTCTTCTTTTGAAGAATTGGTGATACAAGTTTGGGAAGCTTTTATTGGTTGGCTTCCTTTATGCAAGTTTGCTTTTAGAGAAAATACACGTTGATCCCAGGGATCCTGTAATATGTACTGGGATCAACATGAGGTGGTGAACCTTTTTTCTCATGGACAATGGGGTTGCAAGCATTTAGATTAAAAAAAAGAAAATAAGATTAGTTAAAATGGAAACAGATCAAGTATAATTTTTAATAATTTTACAAATTATGTTTACAAATACAAAAAAGAGTTGAGACGGTTTTTTATAGGTTTTTTGGTCAATTTTTTAAAAAAATTCTAAGGAAAAAAGCAAATTTAAAAAATCTTATTAAAAAAAATTTAGTTAAAATGTATTTGGTTAATTTTAAATGTAGCAGCAAGTTTTTGTGCCTTGGGGCGTTTAAAACGTGAACAAAAAAAAGTACAAAAAAGAAAAAAAAATGATGTGAAAATAAAAACTCCAATAAAAAAAATGATAACCTGCGCAGGTGGCGCAGCCCAAACCAATACGATAATCGTGTCACCTTGCACAGAACCAACCAAAACAAAGCAAACACGTCATTGAGTCACCCGCTAATCTCAATCGTTTTTTTTTTTGGTTCCAAAAACCTTTCAACGCCCTTCCTTTCTTTTCTCGTTCAACATTTCAATCCAATTCGATCCACAGCTCTCTCTCTCTCTCTCTCTCTCTCTCTCTCTCTAAAAACAAAGCCCTAAGTAATTTCGATCTATTAATCATCTCCATTTGTCGATTCCAAATTGGCGAATTCGATATCTGATCCTCGATTGCTTTGTAATTCAAGGGTCATCAGAACAAGTGCTTTTGAACTTTGATTTGTAAGCTAGGCAGATTAGGGTTTGGAGAGATGGATTCGAGCAGGAGAGCGGTGGAATCGTACTGGAGATCGAGGATGATCGATGGAGCAACATCTGATGAAGACAAAGTCACTCCTGTTTACAAATTGGAAGAGATTTGTGAGCTCTTGAGGTCTTCTCATGTCACTATTGTCAAAGAGCTTTCTGACTTTATACTGAAGAGACTCGACCACAAGAGTCCCATTGTTAAACAAAAGGTACCCTTTTTTTAATTTATTTGATCATTTTTTTGTTAATTGTGGAGTAATTTAAGATAAATTCGTGAACTTGCAGTATTAACCAGAATGGATGATGAATTTTTTATGGTTGAATTTTGTTCAGGCTTTGAGGTTGATAAAATATGCTGTGGGAAAGTCTGGTCTAGAGTTCAGAAGGGAAATGCAAAGACATTCTGCAGCTGTGCGTCAGTTGTTTCATTACAAGGGTCACATGGATCCTTTGAAAGGGGATGCCCTTAATAAGGCAGTGAGGGATACAGCTCATGAAGCTGTCTCTGCTATTTTTTCTGAGGAGAATAGTAAGCCAGCGGCTCCTGCTACTGAAAATCTTAACAAACGAATACAAGGTTTTGGGAATACGAATTTTGATATGCCATATGAAGATAAAAAATCTTTCCTTACTGAGGTAGTCGGTCTTGGTAGTGCGTCTATCAGGCAGGGAATTAGTAGCTTAACGCAAAGTCATTCGCTGAGAAAGAATGATAATGGGAGCTACAAGAGCCCGAATCTTCATAGGTCATTGACCATAGAAAATGACTACTCTGATAGATATCAACCAGTTCAGTTGAACAGTGAAACTCAGGGTAGTTTTGGAGTTTCTAAGAATGTGGCCAGTGGACCTTGGGGTCAGGATTCAAGAGTAATGAACGCAGAAACAAAAGATGGGAACTCCAGCTCAAGTTATACAGAGAGTAAGACCCGTGAGGAGAGGTTGTTAGAGACCATAGTGACATCCGGTGGTGTACGGCTACAACCTACCCGGGATGCCATTCAAGCTTTTCTAGTGGAGGCAGCAAAATTGGATGCATTGGCTCTAAGTTGTGCCCTTGAATCCAAGCTTCAATCTCCTGTGTGGCAGGCATGATTTCTTATGTTTGTCTGTTGTTAATGATGTGAAATGAATTTACTCTTTCCCATCACCACCCACGCGCATATATGAACTCCTTTTTCCTCATTGATTAAATTTGTAGTTTGTTTTATAATGCTGAAAATTTATAATTATTTCTTGTTGTCTTTGCGTGCAATTTGTTTTGCAGTATTTATTATTTTTGTTTCTTGGAGAGTTTTTAATGAACTGGTTTTTTTGTCATTATATATATCTTTTTAAAAAAGATTTCCCTGGAATTTTTTTTTTCCTCAGGTTCGCATGAAAGCTGTGTGCCTACTCGAGTCAATTCTGAGGAGAAAGGATGATGAACATTTTTCAATTGTAGATTCATATTTTAGCGAAAATAAAGATTCTGTCGTGATATGTTCTGAATCTCCCCAAAATTCTCTCAGGGAAAAGGCTAACAAGGTAATTTACCTTTTGTAAATGTTTTTAGTTTCAGGCTTCGGTTCTCTGTTTTGCCTTTTCATTTGTGCTCCAGGGCAGGGAGGTTAACTGTGATTGATGGGGATAAAATGAGATATCTAGATGATACATGCTTCTGTTGATGTTAGGATCGATCTTATGAAAATCCTTGTAATCATGACAAGGTCCTGACATGATGACTAAATTCCAAGTAATAAAGAATTCGAATACCTTTGATGGTTGAGAGGCATTAGATGTTACCACTGAGGATTCCATCATAGAAAGTTTATACTCAACTTCCTTCAGGAATGACTATTTGAGTTTGGTGTTCTTTTTTAGAAGAATATCAACTAGGCCCACTTTTAGTTTGATTATACTTGGATGGTCCTTTTGACCTGGTGAAATCCCTACTTTGACATATTCCATGTAATGATTCTGGTAAGATTCCACATCTTTTTGTTCTACTATTTCTGCTTCGCCTCTATAACATCACCTTAACTTTTCTTTTATTAGATAGGCTAAGCATTTACTTCTTTGATGAACTCATGCTGCTGTTATGATGGATGAAACTGGATGTGAAATTAGAGATTCATTTCTGAGTTCAAGGGGATGCATACTATAGCTGATATTATGGCTTTGGTGGACAGGTGCTAAGCCTTTTGGGTGGGGAACCAGTTGGTAACTTGGTGGGTAATTCAGTAAAGGCTGAGACCGCTCATGTCCAGATGCCCGACTTAATAGACACTGGAGATTCAGATGATTTCTTTGGGACAGATGATTCTATAAAGAAGCTAAGTGAACAAGATATAGTGAACCCTACGACATCCACAACCCCTTTGATTGATGATCTATTTGGAGACAGTGTTGGCATGAGTACGAGTACTGGGAAACAGAAAAATAATGAAGATCCCTTTGCAGATGTTTCATTTCACGCTAGTGAGGGCACGGAGCATGGGGATGATCTCTTTTCAGGGATGGCTTTTGATGATAAACCGGGCAGTGATGAGAACCATATGCCAACAAATAAAAGTGGACCCGAGCTATTTGATATTTTTGGATCAAATTCTGAATTTTCGAAGGGGCAAGAAAATATTGAAACAGGTGTTAGTGACTTAATGGCCGATATGTCCATTAATCAAAATGTCCCAAAGACGAAGCAGCAAGCAACCTCTCCAGCAGTGCTCTCAGAAAGTCTCTTCTCAGATTTAACCAGTAATCCCAGCCATCAGGTCACAAATGATGCTTTGAATGGCTCACTTGGCTCCTCAACGACTGGGATGAATGTAAATCCCTTATTTCCTTCTGGTACCATGCCATATAATATACATCCTGGCATAATGTTGAACCCAGCTTTTCATTCTCAGCCGATAAATTATGCTGCCATGGGGAATTTTCTAGCTCAACAGCAATTTCTTGCTACAATGTCTAACTTTCAACACCTAAGTAACCTAAATGTGCAAAATGCTGGTGCTAGTCATGCTTCTGGGACCGATGGAAGTGGTTATTCTTCAGCACTTCCTGATATATTCCAATCAAACTTTCCCAATCAGGTTCCCACTTCAACGATGAACAGCTCAAAGAAAGAGGATAGCAGAGCATTTGAATTTATCTCGGTAAGTTTGAGTTCTGCACTTGATCTTTTACAGCGATTTATTTAAATTTCCTTTAGTTTTATAAATTATGTGGTTCTCAAGGTTATTAGTTGAAGTGGTTGTCGAAGACTATTACCTTTTTTATTCTTTTGTGTTGGTTATTTAAGATTTTGAATTAGTTCTAGTAGTTGGCTTAAGAAAACAGTGTATGATTGGACTCAAAATGCTTTACAAGGTTATTTGATAATCCAAATGTCTACCCTACATCCACCCCTTTTTGGATTTGAGTTTCTATTGTGATTTTGGTACTACTAATGGCACATCTTATAGCAAGGTTTGTCTGAGAAAAATCTTATTCATGCCATTGCTGAATTTCATGAAGTCTCCATGTGCATTAATCATCATTAAATTGTGCCATTAGTGGCTGATTCTTGGATGGTAAGAGAACAACTAAGAAAGACAGCAAAAAGGAGGGGGTGGAGGGGGAGGTTAATAGGTTTGAAGACATACAGACTTCCTTATTTTCTCTGGTATTGTGGTCAGCTTCAAGGTTTGCATGGATGCCACCTTCTTCTGGCCTTTGCTTGCTTCGGTGTGGAAAAATTATCCTCACTTTGTATTTTTTGATTTCAGTGGCTGGTAGTGGAACAGTAAGAAGAAAACATTACTTGGTGAGGGAGAGCCTTTCTTCATACTGACCTGCTAGGTTCTAACATTACTTGGTGAGAAAAGATACTGGTAACTGGTCCTTGACAAGTAGGAGTGAATGTGTGGTTGATGAAAATGGTTTTAGATACTGTTGAGGTTGATGACCACTGAAGATGCTCCTGAATGACCAAGGCATCCTTCTAGGGGCTATAAGATGATGTCCCCTTATTTAGAGGGGGGAAGAAAAAAAGAAAAAGAAAAGCTGGGTTTTTGCACAAAGAATTGAAAATAACTTAAAATGTTCACTGGGAGTAAAGGTTAAATGGTTCATTCAGAAAATATTTCTTTATAGCTTCTATGTGATGTTTGCTGCATCCAGCAGGACCGCATGGCCCGTTTTATGGATTTTAAATTTTCAAAAAGGCTTTTACAAACTGATCATGGTGATACAGTTATTATGTATATTTTATTTTTGTCCTCCTCTTTGCTGGAAAACCAAGCCATTTTTTTTTTCTTTCATGCTATTTGTTTGGATATGAACAACTTTTCAGTTTCTCCGGCTTAGTTATAGGCTGTATGATGCATTATGGGCTTGACTGAAAAGTCCTTTTTTTATTTTTTTCCTTCCAATGTATGAATTAGTATGAAACCATTGGAAATTTAAAAAGTATATCCAGATTGCTGCATCGACAATAATATGTTCTTGTATGCATTGTAGGACCATGTTGCAGCAGCACGTGATCCAAAGAGGGTGGCCTAAATTTTTGTGATTGCATTCCTGACCTCGAAGGATGTCCTTCTCACTCAGGTTGGGTTTGTTTATTCAAGGTGAACAGATTGAAACAGGTTTTAAATTCTTTGAAAATAAAGGATGTTAAGTATGGTGGCATGTTTCCATTAAAATGGGATTTTGTAAGTCATGAAGGTGTGGGGAGATCCCGGAAGTAGATTCTGTATTTGATATATCAGGGAAGAGAAATGTTGTGCCTAGCTCTTTGTTTTTTTTTTTTTTTTTTTTAACCTTTTCAGTAATTAAGAATCAATTGTATGTTTTTGGTTTTTGTTTTTTTGGCTCGATAGACTTGTAAAGTGTTTTTCTGCTTGTGTTGTGTATTTCCCCACCTCCATGACAATGCTTGTGGTACATTGTATTTGAATGAAGAAATCAATAATAGAGAATATTGTTCCTCTTGCCTTCTGCTTTAGTTACAAAATGGTTTTCTACCAGATTGTTCTTCTTGCTGTCTGCATATAACTCTGCGATTAACTCCTGTGATAAATTTAAGGCGCAATTCAGCCTTTTCTTCTTGTTTTTTTGCCTATTCCATCAGATGACAAAATAGCAGACACAGCACAACCGAGTAACAAGAGATAAATTAATCCCTTGATTATGTATCATCAACAATCTGGAACTGGTGAAAGGATCAACCAGCAAGTAATGGATGCGATTGTTCCTGTAGAAGAATAGCTGAGAGTGAGGAGGATTGACAATGGAGCAAAGATCATACAGATCTACAAGCGTACGTACTGTTGAAAATTGTAGTTCTGTGTGGTAACTTTGCTCTCTTCTGCTCCAATAGACACTATGTTCCATTTATTACCAGCTTAATTCAGAAGGATTTTGCTTTTTATTTTTTATTTTATTAGTTAATTCTTTAGAGAGTTTATAACCCTCAGTCCTGTTTGGTATCGTTTTTATTCTGTTTTTGTTCTCACATTTTTTAAAGCAAGATATAAAAACTTATTGAGCAAATTATAAGTTAATCCCTTTATTTATGAGAAACAAATTAATTAATTATTTTTTATTTCAAAAGACTAATTATTTAATTTTGAGATGGGATTCAAGGAGTTTGGGTTGTCCAGCGTTCGGACCATGACCAGGTCCACGGCGCCCGGTGTACGGATCGAGGTCCAAGCATACGAGGTTGAGTGCAAAGGTTGATTTCGAAACTTTTGAGTATCAAGCCAGGTTTGTGTACATGATGCTAAGGTCTCGAGGTTGGATCCGGGGGCACTTTAATTTCGAGTCTGGAAGTTTAGGGATCAGTTCCAATAACTTGATTATTCTATTGAAACTAAGTGTATTTTTTTAAAATACAAAATGAAACTAAAACTGCCTAACCAAAAAGGTTTTCAATTTTTTTTTTAAAAAAATGAAAAGCGGAAACATGAATAGAAAATGATACCAAACCACCTCTTAAGAGGTTTTTGAAAAAAAGAATTCTGGCCATATATCTATTTTATAAACCTATTAATTCTCAACAATCAAAATATTATAAATAAGATAAAACAATATATGGTTTCTCTATAGCTAAGCTTCGCTAGGGCAAACCAAAGCGACGTATTATTATTATTTTTTTCTGACCTGAAACTACGCTTTTTTACAAAAAAAAAAAATGATTTTTTTTTTCTAATTTAGCCCTTTTTTACACTTTGATCCTTTTCTTTATATTTTTATTCAAACCGATCTCTTAATTAAATATGTATTGCAAGCAGGTCCCTGTATTTTTATGGCTGGATTGTGCTTCTTCCAGCCCAGTCCTATGGGCTTGGCTGTCCCCAAGCCCATATGAATGGGCCTAGTGTTAGCCCAGGAAAGCCTCTTTTTTTTTTTTTTTTTTTCCTGTGCTTTTCTTATACTTTTTTTCATTAATTATTGTTTACTCAAAATTAAAATTTTATTTTTATGCTTTTATTTTTTTATTATTTACTCAAAATAATTTTTTTTCATAATTAATAGTTATTCATTAGCTAAGATTAAATATTCTTATAATATAAATTGAATTTTTTAAAAAATAAATAATCAATTGCCTAGTGTTCTTTTTTTATTGATCAAAATTAAAAATATTTCCAGGGTATATTTAAACACAATTATGATATATATATATATATTGCATAATAAATATTAAATTAAATAAATTCTCGCAATTAGTGTTAATTAATTTTTATTTTATGCCTAGATTTTTTAATTATTTAAAATATTAAAAAAATTTATGGTTTTTTTTTTATAGACTCATTAACTAAAATTAAACCCTCTTCTAATATAAATTGATTTAGCATATTCTTCTAATTTGATTTTTTAATAAATAATTAATTAATTGTATGTTTTCTTTTTTGTTATTGATCAAAATCATAAAGATCTCTAGGATATATTTAAACTCAATTGTAGAATATATATATCTATAAATATATAAAGTGAATGATATTATTTATCATTGACCATAATAGTTTTTCATAGTTTGAAAAAGTTGTGCGATAATCCTATTATATATCATTGTCAAAATTATTAGAATATGGACCGTTTTGTATTCTAGTATCAAAGCCCATGGCTTATATGAAATTGTGAATAAAGATATATAATCAGAATTATTTTTTATATATCTAAAATTAGTAGCAGGGAGGACCCCTTCTAGAGCAATAATAATAAAAAAAATATCGACTTTGAACATGACTAATCCAGCATGTTTCCCTTCGCCTAGCATTTCTCACAAAAGATATTGGAAAGATGATCCTAATAATATCATCCGTTGTTTCTGTGTGTATTTTGGTATCTTTAGAACCTTTTTTCACAAAAGTGAGCCTAGTGATGTGATGCAATTGCCATACAGCACTGTTGGTTTGAGGAGGATGAAATGCAGAAAAAATGTGCATTATCGCTGCAAGCCTGTATTTATCCTTTCTTACAACCCGTTCAATGTTACTTCACAAGTAGGTAATTACTAACCAAAAAGAAACGGATCGAATCTATACAGTGTAGCATTAACAAGTTACATTGTGCTCTCAGCAGTAAGCATATATATATATATATATATATATATATATATATATAGGCGGGGTGTGTGTATATATACTTAAATATTTGCTTCCATGTATTTACAAACTCCGTATACAATCAGCTATGTAGCAGTTACACATGATACTAATTTATTACTCCAGATGACAGCATTAACGTGGAAAGAGTGCTCCTTCATGGTATTCTAGAGGATGGATCTTCAAGGTTGCTCCACGACTGAACTTCCATCTTCTCAGTTCTGTCTAGTTGTTTCACAACTTCAAGTCGCTCAGAGGAGTACGGAGAAGGGATCTAACGACACAGTAACGCAAAACAAGATCAGTAGAAACAGTAAAAGGAATAGGAAGATGTGCAGAAAGGCATACCAAGAATGGCATATATTTCTTGATGGCTGCTAGAATAGCTGCATGACCTACAGCAGACACCTGGATATATAGCAATTGTTCAGATTTCTGCTCGTATAAACCGCACTTTCTAACCTCATTAGCGGAGCATAATCATTAGGGCATATGGGCGCTTACAGGAAGTAACATTAGAATTGTAACTGGGACAAGTGTTACAATGTCATTTAGCGTTCTCTGTAACTTCCTTCTTTCTCTTGTTGTGACTTCGTGGCCATGCAATTGCTTTAAGAGTAGCTTCAGAGCACAATTGACGTCTACATAGAGCAATTGGGTTCCCATCCACAAATCCTTTAAAACAATTTGCTTTGCAATGTTAGCAATCCAGCGTCCAAAGATGAATATCATGCTATTCATGGAAAAGAGGCACAGGAAAAATGGGGCTACCAAGCTTGTAGATACCAATTGGGCACTGTATTTCCTCAGTAAACTCTCATGTGGAAGATTTGATTTGGTGGCAGTGGTGCTGGGGGCTTCCACATGGGTTATTGCTTCTGTCTGGGCTGAGCAACTAGCCTGCTCTTGCAGGTACATGAAAACCAAAGAAATCAGATGAGGAATGCGGCCATCTTGCAACGGTCTGAGGATAAATTGGTGGAAGATGTCAAGAGTGCTAAATTTTGGATATCTCTTGATGTTTAAGAATCTTAGCTATTAGTTCCATATCAAATCAAAATTTCACGATCCCTTGTTCCAGACTTGAAATAATCATTACCTAGTTTGGTTTCCTTACAACGTTAGTTATTCTCAACTCAAAATTCTACATTGCAATTACTCAACACACTAGTTTCATTGCACAATCTATCTAGTTCACAAATAACCTGTTTCTTCAACTGGTTAAGGATCACAGTAAAAGCTAACATTTTTCTATTCTTTTGTGTTGGTACATTTTACAACATAATTGCAAACAGCAGTGGTTATACCCATACCTTTCTCAGGTTAATGCTTTGTCGAGAATTGGCTGTCAGGCATCCCTTTAACATTAACTTGGCTGGTCTCTGTTGCGATTCTAATGTCACATATAAATTCTCAGTTCCCTTTGCCCCTACAGTTACCATGTGGTCAGAGGCACCTGCTTCTACAATTTTTAGTGGTTCACTGCAGAGAAAACCAGCATATGCACAATTATATTGAAATCCCCTAACGTGGTTCATGTCCAATAGCAATGAAGAAAGAGTTAAAATAAAACAAACAGCATACCATGATCTATCGTAAACTGCCCAGTAGTCTTCCAGACAGATAGTTAACAGGCTCTGACTGAACAATTGAGAGGACATGTTAACAATTAATTGGCCAATGAAGGACACTACAGTCCACAATCAGCGGTTACACAGTCAGGGGGTTAACTAACTGCCTAAAAAAAAAAAAATTGGCCAAGGAAGTATATCAAGTATTTTGATTAATTAACTTAACAGCAGAAGGAGAAATGTCATTTACTACCTTCTGAGCAAGAAAGCTCGCAATTCTGCATCTAAGGGCTGCTGAGCCGAACGGCTGAAGTGAGCGAAACCAGAGAAAACATCATAACAAACAGTAAATACAGTAGATAGAATTATCTCTTTCTCAGCTTGAATTGCGTGCTGTTTGGACCTTTCCCTTTCTTGATTGTTCAAAAAAGAGCATGCAGCATAAAAATCAAGCCAACCTATTTCATCACTTACAACCTATAAGGATGTTTTACACAAATTAGAGCACTTCTCATTTCTGTGGTTTCAACAACATTACAATTAAAATTACCTCCATGAAACATTGATATGTTGACACAGAAGCAAGTTCAGGGTAAACAAAAAGGCAGCCGCACTCCAAATAACTGCAGGCAAAGAATTTGATCTCTTATGAAGTTTGTATGCCATTAATTGAACATTCAGTTTTCAGCCAAATTGTTAAGCAAGTTACCTGAGGAAGTCCAGAACGAGCTCATCAAGGTCCTTAATGCCCATTCTTGACAAGAATAATCTAGTCTTTCTTCCCAGATATGAAAAGAGCCCCAGAGTAGCCAAACTATCTGCATGAGCCTGTTATTATAATATTATAATTAATAGCCGTTGTTAAAAAGCCAAAGAATTGCTACTTTACCTGACAATCCCACCGCAGGTAACCAAATTTACATTAGCAGGTAGAAATTCGAAATGTAAAAGTTACCTAATAATAGAAACACAGCATTTGTTACACCAGATATGTGTTATTATAAATGTCAGGATTTGGGTGAGAAAAATATGTTGATGCGTTTGAAACCCATCCATTGAGGATGACATAACTTTCTTTCCGGGCAAAACTCTTGTTAAATAGGTGCTAAGACTATTACTATTTTTAAAGAACTTCAAAAATATTTGGCCATGGGAGAACTGACCCTCTTAGAAGAGGTTCCTGTGCCTCTTATCTCAATTTCTTTGTCCAGTGCCAATGAAAGTTTTTGCTGCGCCAACCCAATCCACAGTTCTAGTTCTTCAGTTTTATTGCATGGCAAAACCTTTGCACCAAAATGGTACAAGAAATCAAGTTCAAATCCTGCCTCAGTCGCTAGTTGGTGTAATTTGTCCACTTCAACAATACTATGTGAAAGATCCATCAGCTCTACTAATACATCCTCTAGTGACAATGTAAACAACGGACAGGAAATTCTTCCACTGCCCAGTTTTCCAACAGCCGCACAGCAGCTTATTGCGACAATGATTCCTGCAACACCGCTGAATATGTATGTCTATAGGCTAAATTCGTAATTCAAGAACTGCATGTAAATTGCAATGAGATGAAAGCAGAGGATTTTCCAAACAAACCTTCCAGCATATTCCATAGACCACTGTTTCAGCAAGGGAGCAAAAAAACCTGCTATATGAGGCAATTCCACCACTTTAAACCACTCTACTAATTCTGGGCTTTTCATGTTCAATTGATTTTCTATGTACTCCCCTAGCATGTTTATCTTTGGGGTCAAGCTGAACCAAATGAAAAAGTAAAGCATCAAATTAGTTGATACACAGATCATAAATATTTGAACCAGGATGAAGAAATAGAGAAATTGTAATCAGTTGCAAACACAAAATGCATCTTGGATGAAATTTAAACTGCCAGTATGGCTTAATGCCAAGCATTCCAGAAATGGAATCAAATCACTTGATGAGTTATGGGATGCTTAAACACCATGTAGAAGCATTACTTGGGTTTAACAGACCCCCTGTACATCAGTCGCCATAAGTTCTTTAATTAAAGTATTATAATTACCTTGAACATAAGAATTACTCACATTTCTTTAACTGGAGATGGGTTGTTGTGACGATCATGGGAAAGCAAAATCTCTACTTCAATTGCAGTTTTCAGCAAAGCATAAATAGCTACCTGAACAGCCATATTAGTCAATGATTCTTGTTCGAAATTTTATGTCTTAGATGTATTCATAAAGAGGTTTCCACCACCATTCGACTAAATTATCTCTGAGTTAAGCGCCTTCCAGTGTAGAACGACATATGAGCACAAATATGTGAATGAAATGAACAATTGTGAAAATGGAAACAGTAAATCCTAATCACAAGCAACAATGGATTAATCTAATTTTTTCAGGTTATGTAACAGAAAAAGCGTAGTGCTAATGCATTACTTTGGTTTGTCTGTACCTGATATGCCAAACGTTTATGCCATGCATGGACATCCTTCCCATTCCAAGCCATTGCAAGCTCTGCACTGCTTCCTGTCAGCTCAAGGGACTCGACTGCTTCGGAAAAGCTTGTTGCAGACTCATGCAGTACCCACACAAGGCAATTTATTCGAGTGAACTCCATGTTTTTATTATCAGCTCTACTCACAACAGCCTCATTCACATCATTAATTTCTCCAGTAGAAGCAGAAGAAGCCATGGATGATAACACCTTCAAAGAAATGCAATGGGAAGTATAACGTGCAAACACAAATCCAATTGAAAGGCTATTCCTCGAATAGAAAGAAATCCCAAGTTCCATCCTATTCAATTTTGAAAAGTTCGGAGCATCAGCCTTGACCCTTCTTTTGCTTTTTGATCCAAAAGACTTTCTGCAACCTCAAGAGGACAGCCAATCAATAGTGAAATATTCTTCCATCCAGTCCAGGCAAGCATTCGACAGGTAAAATCAACACGGGCATATAATCACATTAATTTTCTTCAATATTTTGAACAGAATGTTACATAAGTTCATAAAATTGTTTTATATCAATAATGAAACCCAACAAGACAAGTGTTAGAAATTGTCTAGTTGGAAGGAATTAAATCTAATAGAATCTTTACTCTCTTTTATGTAACTTATTACAATTTACTACTTTTGATGAACAATTTAGTATAGCCCAAGTGTTTTCACCTCGCCCCATGAACTGAACACGGTCTATAATCCATATTTATCTGCAATTCTTGTTCTGAACAATCCCGACCCCATCTTTTCAGTTGTAGGAGTCAATAAATATCGTTGGTGGCAAGGGCATTGTTGGCCAATCAAAGCCTTGCTGCGGGTCCATGTTACATTTATACTAAGCAGAAATGTCCCAGTGAGTAAGCTGAAAAGTAAAGCTTGGTCATGAATGATTAAGAACTACAACTAATTTCTGCTCTCTCTTTGCTGTTCCAGTGTTATACGAGCATAAACAGTGCAGTCTTGGGGAATCAAGAATTAGTCTTTACGAAGCAAAAGAATATAATAAGAGCACAAGAAGTTTAGATCTGTAGTTTACATAACATGAGTCAACCCAGTTCCAAGATTATATATACAATAAAGTAGCACCAGACGTTCTCAAAAATGGAAAATGCATAAGAAGCACTTCATAGATGCCTGCCATAACTACACCTTTAATTTCACCGCTATCCCTTTAACTCTATATTTAGTCATGTCACTTATAGGCAAGTCACCAGTGGATAACAAAGACATATTTACAAATGCGGGCATAAACCTATGTTTGAGCAGAATAGTTACACGTAAGTATTAGACAGAAGGAACTTACGAGAAGTAGAATGAGTTGTTAAGTCGCAGAGACCAATGGCAAGCCATGGAAGAAGTAGTAGAAGAAGAAGAATAGAGGGGAGAGAAAGAATAGAAAACGTGGAGCATTGAATTTTTATACAAGCGGAGGGTCACTAGCGATGCCTTCGATGAAGAGAGAGAGTGAGAGTTTCTTTCTTTCTTTTGGAGTTATTATGTAGTAGGATTTAATGTAGGATGTTGCGTAGCTCATTAGCTTTCGTTGTCTTAGGGTTTATCTCCCGCCAGCCGTTACAATTTTCGAGTTTTTTTGGACTGTTGGGAAATAATGGATTCATTTGAAGAGGATCTTCGGTGTTATCATCCAGACCCAGGTTTTCTCTTTGGCAGCACCGGCATTTTAAATTCTACATCTGCATAGAAAATTGATAGCATCATCTTTGAACAAGACGATTGAGTATTAGGTGGCTTCACCGTATTTTCTCCTGACCGATAGTCGATGAATAGCGATCCCGTTGAGTCATAATTGGTCGAAATTGGGACAATGGTTTGGTAGGTGTAACTGAATCTAGTCATCTACAACCAACATATTGTCAAATTGAAACAGCATTTCAGTTGGCACTTGGCAGACAATCCTTTAAGATCATCATAGCATTTGATTGAATGTGAAGACAATTGCAAACAGCGCCGAAGAATAAACGTGGGATTTTTGGGGAAAAAGAAAAGAGCCCTCGAAAATGAATCCTAGAGATTTTGAATTCAGTAAATGTATCAGATCCAAATCAACCCAAACAAGGAAAAACAAAAATAATTCTAAAGTCCTGTTCAAATAATGCAGGATCAGCAAAAGTTGGAGCAAACTGTGAAAGGTCAACACAGCAGCAGATTACAAAAATTTATGCCTCCCTATCTAGATCCTAAAAGGAGTTCTAATCAAACCCCGTAATGCTCGAATATCTTTGCTTCATTTGCAGTCTCTGATCACAATGAAATGTATATCAGTCAAATGAAAATGAAAATGCCCATCAACTCTGTTTGAACCGCAGAAGCCGTTCCAACTTTGCAATATCTTCTTCATGCTTTAGTTCCAGAACATATTGCCGACTAGTTCCGGTTCAGTTATTAATCCTCTCATTGGGCTTTTCTACTGAAGCATCTATCTCAGAAACATTTCCAAACCCAAGTTCTGACATGTCTTGCTTAGCCATCAAGTTTCTGCAGGATAAAATGAAATGTTCTAGGTAATGTGAGACCTCTCTATGTAAAAACAAACTTGAAAACAGATGCTGAATTGCTATGACTTGAATATGATAAGTCAACCAACATTTATCTTGGAAGCCACAAAATGCCTTTACACAGTTTCTTCCCCTCCTCTGAAAGTGTAGCTAGACCGTGTAGTAGTGGCTTGACTTTCTAGGATTTGATTACTATATCAATAACAATGACTTCTCTTTCACTATTTGTCTCTTATCATGCAAAACGCATGCAACATTCCAGCACAGCAATTTCTCTCACAATAAAAATCATTGGAAATGCCCAATTTTAATAGGTGAGCTCATGCATTTGACAAACAAGAAAAGAAAAGGAAAAAAAACAGGTTGTAATTTAATTCAACCAAGGCATAAATGTATTCATGGATTAATAAAATGACCCCTTTTCATTATATATATTAAATGAATCCTTTACATCATTGTTTCCAGCATAACTTGAATAAACTACTGCCAGATATCTTTATCTAATTTTACATTTTAATACACAACAAAGAGTTTTCCTTTTTATTTATTGGCTTTCGGTATACACTACTTTCAGCTTTCTGCTTCCTTCCTGGATTTAGGATGTAGCAGTTATGTGCTTTTCTTTATTTTTCATTTGTAAGATTGCTCGTGAGTTGAGTTACACAAAAGGTTTAAAAGTCAAGACAGATTGCTTCACGACCAGGATTTTGTGCCCTATAACCATATAGAGAAGTTGGGAAGAAGTATGACAATGTTACCTATCTGACCACATAGAATTTATGCATTTCCATTGCTAAAGAATATAGAACATTTATCGTAACAGTCATTCACCTGAACAAGACACTAAATGATTCAGATATTAGCATGGACTCCATATAGGCCCCCCATGCATATCAACCCTCACTAGATATGCTTCTCTTGGATTTTCAGAACTTAATTGCAGTCAAAATGAAACTAGGTGCGAAAGAACAAATTACAGCTAAGGATAGCAGATAAAACCAACAGACTTACTTTGCCATACGACATTCTAGGTACTTTTTTGAGAAAAGTCTACATTTTTCAGATTGGTGACCAGAAGATTTGAGACAGTTGAGGTAATCTTTCTTCTCCTGAAACAAACCCATCACAAAAGCTAAGAAAGCAGCAAGAAATTAAAAAGATCATAGAAATATTTCATTCTAAATTCACAAAACTAGCAAAAAAGTTATTTTTCTAAACTAAAATTTTAGAATTAGGATTATTGAAAGAAACAGTACCAAATCACATTCATGCAAATGGTCCAAGGGGAAGATGCCTTTTTCTGGTGGTACTGGCCTCAATCCTCTATTTCCACCAAATGCACCACCTGCAGATTTGTTTGGAAAAGCATAAAGGACTCATGAAATATGCATGTGAAAAATGTTCCTTCTTCTTTCACGGGTAATCAAAATAGAGGAGTAGAAAATTATGCAATGTCGATTTGATTAAAAATGAATTGGTTCCCAGAAGAGAACAGTGTATTACATTTAGATAACACAAGGAAAGTATTTAAATTCTGAGATCAGCAAAGTGATACTTTAGTGAAAGAAGTTAGCACATGCAGCTTTCTTTCCACTGGAAAAGCTGCAACCCCTCTTTGTGCACTGTTACATGATTTTCCACACAAATCGCACAGAGATGTACAGTCCCATGATGCAGTTTGCAGTTTTATCGAACAAAACAGAACTAAGGAAAAATCTTTTACCTTACACTTAGATTGATCATCCAGCAGCAATAGAAGTGAGAAATCTTTGAGACATTTTCAAAAACTCTACTTGTTATTTCAACAAAATAGCCAGCAATAACATCATCAAACGTAAGCTGTGACTAGTAACTACTAGTATCCCAAATAAACAAAGATAGCAGGTATGTATAATCCTATCATTACTCTTCAGTAAGCCAAGAAACAAAACCAAAACTTTCCCTTTCAGTTTCACTCTTCATTTTGTAAAACCCACAAGAGTAAAAAAAAAAAAAAACCAATTAATTGCATGTTTTAATACAAACTTTGAGATCAAGTGAAAAAAACCCATCTTCAATTCATTAAATTAGAGAAAAAAGAAAGAGATATTGTACCTGCACTCATTTCAAGTATCGTTGATTCTTTAGCTGCTGTCCTTCTTCTTCTTCGTCTTCTATATTTTAGGCTTTTAGCTTACCTTTGGCTATCATTGGGTACTTTATTTAAACCCTAATGGATATGTTCAAGAATTTGAATCGGGTATTAGTATATATGCAATACAGTTCGAGGGCGAATGGGCGATTGCTGCTATCGGCTATCTGCGCCTCTTGCTTCTTGTGTTGATTCGTTGAAGACAATTTACTGTATGTGAGTTAGCTTATTATTTTTATTATTATTATTATTTTATGAGACGAGATAGCTTATTTTTGGACCCAAGACCCAAATTAAAAATGTTGGAACTAACATGTTTCCTTTTTGTTATTGCTATTTTACATTCGAAAAGTCCATTAAATACTGGGTTAAGCTATGAGGTAATTATACATTTTTTTTTTAAAAAAAAAACAGATTTGGAGGGTGCAAGTACCATATCGTCTGACTCAGTTGCAATATGGACTCAAACCTTTTTTTTTTTTTTTAATTTTTGCGTCTTCTGGGGGTAATTATATGTAAATTTTACACTTTTAGTTCCTAATGTGTCCAAAATTTTTATTTTAATCCATAACTTTTATTTGTGATAGACTTTGGTACCTGGATGCTGAGAGGAAGGAGAAAAAAAGAGAGAGAGAATATGTTGACCAAGGTTATTCGGATCATCTTGGCTTGTGATAGTTCATTTAATTTGTTTATTTTGGAGCAAAGAGTTTTTCTATGGTGATTTCAAGACATCAAATGATTAGAAAAGGTATATCGAAATTAAAAAAGAATTGATTTTTTTTTAATTTTGTTTTTTAATACATATTATAATAATTTTTATGGTTTCAAATCAGTTTATTAGCGCTATTTTGATCATTTTAAGGTGTAAAAGCAAACTCAAGCGCGCTAGGCTAGCCTGGCTTGGCACAAGCACACCCAAGTGTTTGGGCGTGGGCTTTTATACAAGTACGATCATTTTAAGATTAAATGTGATCGTAAGATATATATATATATATATATATATATATATATTAAATTATTAGTCTTATTAAAAATTAACTATGTATTTACATACGTAATACAAATAAAATGTTATTTTTTTTATGTTCTAAAATAAATGTTTTTTTCACTAAAATAATATTTTGAAAGAACCGTCTAATTATTCAAATACAACTTTTTATACTTATATTATTGATCATTTTATTAATAAATATATATAAATTAAATTTACATAATTTCAACAAAAAAAAATCTTCTTATAAACATTAAATAAGAATAAAAAATATTTTTAAAAATTTTTTATACAATTTTTTATATGAATTGTTTTATTTTTTCGATGTAATCTTATGAAAAAAATCATTAAAATGTTTTTTTTAACTCTTGGATTAAATTTTTTATTTAGATTATTGCAAGTTTTTTTTTTGAAAAAATCAATGTTTAAGGAAGAACAATTTGAGTTTTTAACTACAAAATTTAAGAAAATACATAAGAAAGAAGAAATTAAATACAAAATTTTGATTAAAAATATATAAAATTAGATGATTTCACTCGTTATCCGTAAAGTAGCATGGACGACTAGTTAATATACAAAACTAAAACAAAATAAGTTACTTTCACTGTTCACGCACATTTATTTGTCCTATTCACCCACACTCGGAATGTGCGTTATACTCTCTGCAACCAAATTTATAAAATTTTTTGCACCTTGGTCTCTTATTTTTTTTCAAAAAATGATCTCAAACTTCATTTGTATTGTATTTTGGTTTCTACATACTAAGACGAGAGAGAGATGACAAGGCTTATTCTGGTCACCTTGATCGTCAAACTCACCACCAATTTATTCGTTTCAAATAATAGAATCCTTTTGTAGTGGTCACAAACTATCAAATAGTTAGAATCTAGACTTGAAAAATATTTTTTGTATTAAAATGGACTTTGAGGCTCTAAACAAGTTTATTGATGTTATTTTTGTAATTTCAAGGTGTTTTTAAGACAAAAATGGGTTTGACAAAGCCTAAAATAAAAAATTCGTTTTTCCAACGACGTTTTCGATGAAGTTCGCCGAAAATTGTAGCGTTCAAGTTTTCTTTTTTGGGTCTAGCTTTATTGGGCTTAGAACCAAGCCCACATGCACAGGCCTGGAGTTATGCCCCAGCACGCGTAGGCCTAGAGTAAGGGCTAAGCACGTTCACAGGCCAGCTCTTCGGCTAGGTTTTTTTTTTTTTTTTTTTTCTCCCAATAATTGATATTTTTTTAATGAATTTTTGGGGGAAAATGATGAAAGATATAACTTTTTTTCTCTTGCATTCTAACTATGAAAAAAATATATATGATATGTTTTACATGATTTTTTATATATTTTTTTATATATTTGTCACTTTATACAAGCACACTCTCAACTCATTAAATATAATCATGACGTAAATAAATAAAAATTAAATCATCAATTTTATTAAAAATTAATTATGATTTTACACACATAGTATCAATCATTTGATACTTTTTTTTTAATATTATACAACCAATTTCTTTGAAATAAAATGATTGAAATAATTTTTTAAAAGAATCATCAAATCAATCAAATACATTTTTTTATGTTAACATTATTGATCATTTTGTAAATAAATATATATAAATCAAATGCATATATTTTCAAAAAAATAATCTTCTTATCAACAATGGATAAGAATAAAAATTTATTTTTTTCATTTGTTAATTTTTATTCATAGTTATACATTAATTGTAGTTTTATTTTTTGCATACAATCTTATGAGAACTACATTTTTAAAATTTTGGATTAATATTTCAATTTAAATTATTATAAATTTTTATTTAAAAATCAATGCATAAAGAAGACTAAAGCATTTTTTTAAAGTAAAAAATTATGAAAGACATAAGAAAATTTAATTAAATACAAAAAATTAATTAAAAAATTAAAATGATTTTGTTTTATGTGATTCCAAAGATAATGTGGACAACCTACCTCCTAGTGTGATCTAATCAAGTAAGAAAAGGATGAGCTAACTTCTGACCAAGTTGAATCTGAGAATCTGCTGTGAGGCCAAGTTCATCTTTTTCAAGATTCAATCCTTTGGCATCAACCAACTTAACATTGGGTAAACTAATTACTAGTTTTAACTAATTAAATAAACTAGAATCTAGCGACTTAAACCTACTTTACTAATTTATTTATTTTTTTAGGAAAAAAATACATAAGAAGATATAAACAATTTTGACTTCGAAACCAAGATTTGCATCCCACTTTTATAATAACATAAGATGCAAACTAGTGTCTTTGATTTCAGTAATAAAATAAGAAGCAAACTACTGTCTTTGATTTCATTACATAACAAGAAGTGGAGTGGCTACTTAATTCCCTCCCAAGTCATTATATAGAGGCTAAATGAATAATTTATAGGTTTGCTGTTTTAACAATTTGTCGTGTCTATTGCTTCTATCAATTATAGCATATACAAAGCTATTGAGGTTGGCATATACCAGCAGTGGCCTGCACAGATAGAGAGACTTGAATGCCCTACATTGATATGTTGGATCCCAAATTTACTGAAAAACAGGAAGAGCATTATACACATTTTTTTATCTCTCTTTTTGATACAGCTACGTATATTTATGGGCTGCGGGAACCTACTCATGTGAACGAACCTGCCCTTGAAATTTCTGATTGAAAAATGTAGTGGGATTGTTTAAAAAATTGAAATTAAATTTACTTCTCGAGCTCGACCTGTCTCGTACCGAAAAATGGATGTCGCTGTCCTATTTACAGAAACCTTTCTGTGCCATGGCATTGAATCTGTACTGGAATCTACAGTGTAGGAAACTAGATGGCTTCAGGCTTCAACCATCAAAAAGATGTTGTTCCTGTAGGCAGCCTATGTGTATGTGGATGCTGAACTACTACCACAATTGGATCGCTCAAGCCTTTATCATAAGATGTAGAGGTTGGCTGCACAAGTAGAAAAAAATATTTCAGTTTATAAGCCAACAAATACAGTACAGATCGAAGGATTACATTAAACTCAACTTGGGAAAAGGCAAGTAAATCCAGATTTCTCAAAACTAAAGGTAGAGCAAGTAGGCACATAATTGCAATGACTGACTAGGGGAGAATTGAGGATGCAAGTCAACTTGTAAAAGTCAAGAAATTTTGTTCACTTGATCTGATATAGGACAGTTTCCAACAGATGGTTATAAAACCATCAATTCTGGACGTTAAGAAATTTATTTACCACTCCAATGTGCCATTCCTGACAACTCAACTCTCTGAAAGTTGCTGCATCCATTTCCTGCAAGAAATGACTTGATGTTATCAGAAAACAGAAAACTTATTATTCAACACATACTCAAGTATGAAAGGTTCATTGAGGCAGGATAACACTAATCACCTTTTTTATTGAACTCCTCATTGTAAAGAGAATTATCGCCAAATATTTTGTCCAACTTAAGAAATTAATTTTTTTTCATAAAAGAAATTGAGTTCATTCAAGTATGATTAATAATTATGACCAAGGGCATCGTTTTGGACTACCAAGCATGGTTTATCGACATGAGCAAGCATTAAATGGCTTCAGTACCTAGATATTCAACCTTTCTATGCTGCTAAGTAAGTTTAGATGCTCAATATAAAATTGATTGTCCCCAACCACAGGTAACAATCTGTTAATTAGAAAAAAAACAAGAAAATAAAGCTTTTGCTGAAAACTTCTAGTGGAGTATCTTGTTGTGGTGTCCAAACCTCAAACACAGAAAAATCTCTTACAATACTATAGATGGGAGGCGCCATTATATCTCCCTTAGACTTTGGCATAACAGAGAAACGTGGCGCCCAGTCTTGAGACCTAAATGTCCACCTGTCAAGGAGGAAAGAAGGAGGAAGTTATTGAATTGACATGGCTGAGAAAGTAGGTTGAGGTTCAAGTTTCATGCCATTCATCTACTTGAATATGGAGACAAAAGCCATTCCAATGAGGAGACATTATGAAACTGGTAATTCACACATACCCAATATATAGAAAGATGCAGAACTGTGCCCATTCTCTAACTAACAACCGCAGCCAGTAGTTCACAGAAGAGCTATCCACATTAAAGTGTATCTGATAATGAAATAAGTATACTTAACTGTATCAATAATCATTATCATATTGCATATTCTAAAGTGTACATAAAAACTACAATTAATATAGTCATACCACAGTTTCTGCCATGACTACAATTTGCATCGCACCCTGAAATTTCCTAAACAGTACAGGAGAAAACAAGTGAATTGTGACTTTCTATCATTAAAAGCTACCATTATAAATATTGTAATATTATGAATCAACAACATAATATGGAAATAATTTTTTTACTATGCGGCACATACTTGAACATAGTATATTTCATATATACAGCATCATACATCGCCTGAACATCCTCTTCCTCAACAAAAGTTAATTGTTCTCGTAATACTGATAAATTTTGAGATATTTGGCGGAAAATCAGAGAGAATGATATTAAATAATTCAGCAGCAGCAGGACCTGCATAAGAGCATATTAAATAACAAATGGATTGATGTCGGAAAATTATATGTAAATGATCATTCCTAAAGTCAACTAAAAGCAACAGTTGCTGCCAAAGTGCCAAGTTAGCGGAAAAGTGAAAGGCTAATTTGGGAAACTCACTGTGAAGTATGGTACAGAAGCTCTGTACCCTACGAGAGTTAAGTAAAAGACACATCCAAGTGCAGCTGTGGTGCGGCGATCAGATATGGAAAGGCGCTCATACATGATGCAGTAACCATGAGATATAAGTATAAAGGAAACAAAATAAGCTGTCTGAAAGAGCACTCCAGTTACATACACCCCAAATGACATCCACAGAGAACATATCTGATGATAAAAGCAAGAATACCTGCGAAAAAGTGATTTGAATATTAAACAACTTTTCTCAACAGGAGATTACAGAAGTTGAAATAGAAGAAGCAGAAGCAGAAACACTTAATATGCTTTGTTTGATCTAATATCCATGAAAAAAATGCAGCCTATCGCATAAAGCAACAATATATCCTTTGTGACTTTCAAATTTAATGGCTTCAAGTTATCACTCGACCTCTTGCTACTTTTTGTCCTAATAGATACTTTCGTGGAGGAGGGGTGTCCCTCCAGTACAATAACTGAAGATGCAATCAGTGGTGAAATCGGGCATCAAGCGTTTTGGGGTCAAACTAAAACTACAATAACAAAATATTGTTCTTTCGTTTTCCTCACAAAAACATAGGAATAAATGCATTTGTTCATAAACAAAGATGTCATCTGTATTTTGGCAATCAACATAATCCATATCTTCTTTCTTTTACAATAAGGAAACGTACCAGAAGAGGAACGACAGTGTGAGTTGCAAAGCTTTAATCAATGGCACAGATGCTAGTGTCCACTGCAAATTGATCGTCTGCTCTAGTATGATCATAATGCAAAGAGCACATTCTCAAACAAATTAGTAAGGGCTTCCAAAAAGACAACAGAAAGATGTGATTGCAATATATGCTGAAACAATTTCCATGAGGCAGAATTAATTCCCTATAAGAGATACGATAATTAACCAAATGGAAATGCAAGTAAATGAAATTAAAACTTAAAAGCCTTTTTTTCATAGTTAGTTTTTATGAATTAGCAAACTCAACTAATCCCAGTTAAAAACACAGAGGAGTCGTAAATCAAAAAAAAAAAAACAAAACAGGAAGGCGAGAGTCCGACAACTTTTTATCACCGTATATTAATTTCCCAAAAAAATAAAACAAGAGAACATAAACTGACAGAAACCAGTTGTTTGTTTGGTTGCTGGGAAAGTAGGATGTTTTTTTTTTCTGAACATTAATCAATAGATAAAAGTCAAACTGAAAACGATTTTATCCACCAAGATTAGGCCATCAGCCAAATAAAGAGCAATGAAAATCATACTAATCACCAACACAACCTCATAAACGCAAACCCAAAGACTTTCCCTTCGTTCTTAGATTTGAAAGAAAAACTAAGATTTTTCTTTTAAATAAAATGCTTTCAATTATCAAATTTAGCGCGGCCTTCTTCTTCTCTTCCTATACAATTTTACAGCAACCAAACCAGACCCAAATAACAGCTAAACAAACACACAAAAGCAACAATGTCAGACATTGAAAGAAAATTTATATAAAAATTAACCAAAAAAAAAACGATTTCATACCGGAAAGTGGCGGTTTTTGTAGGTATTGAAAGTCCAAGAGCAAGCAGAAAGAAACCATACAAAGAGTAAAGCCAGGTACACTGCCGGTAGAGGCCGATACGACTCGTCCAGTTCGACCCGATACGGTGCGATTTTTTCCATATTCATAGACAGGGACAGAATTTATTACTCCACTAAGTGATACTTCACCTTAAAACTCGAAGAGTTCCAAGGGAGTTTCGGCTGTGGTTTGTGCTAGTGGTAGTTATGTTTTTGGTGCTTTTCAAGGTTTGTGTCTCAGTCCCCCTCTCTCCACCTTCATTATATATACGTGTCCATTTGTGTGGGAGTTAAATTACTACAAGGTCCCTAAGGCCTTGGTATGATTTTTGTTTTCTTTTCTATATACTATGGAGAAAAAAAAAAAATGATGCAAACTCAAAGTCTTTTGACCCCTGCAGAGGATTAATTGTTAAGAAAGTTTGTTTTTTTTTTTTTTTTTTGAGTTCAAATTTTAGTGGAGTTTAAGGAAAGTTATGTTTTTGAATACACCAAATTAATATGAAAATGCGTTTTCAAAATCCTTTAAAAAAGAATAGTTTCAAGGTCTAAAAACACTTGATATCATCGAATTAAAAAAAATAATAATAAGAAGATATCTTCAAAAAGAAAATAAAAAAGTGAAGGATGCGAACAAAAAAAGACACAACTAGGCGCATTTCCAAGAAGAAATTTTTTTTTTAATCTGTGAAATTAGACTTATATATCGTACTTTACTTGATAAGCTACTTCCATTTGAGTATTTGCCTATAAAATAATGTATGATTTTTTATTATTATTATTTTTTTTATGTATGTAATCTAGAGCACTGATTTTACACACAACAATGAATTTTGATAATGCAAATATGATTGGAATTAATACTGGCTGGTCGAAAAATATTATTGGAATATTTACCCCTAAAACATTAAAATATGAACTTGTGCACTCATGTACTGTAAAACATACTATATGGATTGTTAATTAAATTCATTAATGAAATTGGAATCCTCACATGTTTACTAGCATTTATTAATTCACTTGCGATTTTACTGCATGGTAAAGAAATTGGTTTAGTGGTTAAAGAATTTGTTCTATTTTTTAACTTTTCGGATTCAAATTTTGAAGTTAACACCTATAATGATTTATTAAATTTTTCATACCTTTTGAATTCAAATATTAAAGCCATTACCCATGAGAATTTATTAGATTTTTTCTTCGACGTAGAAGGATGAGCTCTTAAACTCATCCGGAAAGAAATTTAAGCTCTAGAATATTTTTTTTGTCAGAAACAAAAAATAAGAAAAGTTGGTAGTTAAATTTAAAATAAATAATAAGATTTGGATGGTACAGTTTTCCTTCGGATATAAAAAGGAACCAAGTCTGAATTAATCATATCAATGGAACTAAAGTTAAATTGTGATCATGATTCATGGTCCTATGTTGCTTGTGTGTGAAGTTGAGATGCATATGTAAATTGTTCGCAACCTCCTTTATTTGAATGCTTTTCGAAAAAAATAAAAATAAAAATTTCTTCCTTTAGAAAAGAGAAAGCTCAACTTTTAATTGCTTTTGTGAACTAAACATGTAATAGGAAAAAGATTATTTGCAAATCAAATAGGGAGAGGAATTTCTTTTCCTTTCCCTTTGCGTATAACGTCCCTTGCAGCCCTATATTTTTGGAACAAATGTAAAGAGTGTTGCATGTATGGTTTACGTGACTTGAAATATTTTTTTTTTTCATGTAGGAGAGGTTTTTTTGGTAGAGAAGGAAAACACTATTGTCAATCATCTGAAAAATATTAAATATTCATGTGTTTCCAAACTTCTTGTTTCTTTTTTCACAAGGCATTTGTCCAATAGAAAATGGCCCAATAACATAGCTTTTTATTAAGTTTTAATCTTTCTTTCATAATTTTTTTCCTTCCATCATAATTAATTACCTAATATGTATGAATATATCATAAATTACTTCCTTTAGTTTTGAAAGACAAATTAATTAGTTTTTCTTGTTTAATAACTAGTTATTTAGTCTCTATATTTTTAATTTTTTATAATTTAATCATTTTCGTTTTTTTTCAATTTATTTTAATTTTTTATCTAAGAAATAAAAAAACAAGTAAAAAAAATAGAATGATTGATTAAAAAAATGACATTTTTTATATAAGATAATATTGAATTAAACATAAGCAACATCGGTCAAGAAAATAATTAATTAATTTTTCAAACAAGAGAGACTAATAAGTTATTTTTTAAAAAAAATAGAGGGGATAATTTATAATTTACTCCAACTAATATGCATTGTTTTGGCGACTGACTTTTAACGTATTTTGTTGGTGGACAAGAAGTTCAAAAGTAGTCTTGTTTAGCTATTAGATAATCCAAACAATACTGCAATATTAGGTGAACAAACTCATTAGCAAATTAACAAATTGGTTTTCTTCCATCCTACTCCATTTAAGGAGCAAATTCTAATTAAATCTCATGTAAAAGGACATACAGATCATGAAATTTTAAACCGCAAACAAGGTTAGATATAAACTTAGTTAATCATGGTGGCCACCTTTTGATAATGCAAGCTTTTTTCTTTCTTTTTTTATGATCTAAAGTTTTCGTCAAAATATCGAGTTGACCATCTACCTTAGTCATTCATGCTCTATTCGTTGCCTATTGTTGCAACCACTTTTTATTGAATGGAGATGAATATGATTCACAGCGAAGCAATCTTCGTGGGGCATGAGTTTGAAACAACAATGATGTGTTTTTGCATTTCTGAAATGTTTATACTTTTATTTATTTATTTATTTATTCATGAAGGAGGTCCGTAAGTCTTGAGCTACATAATAGAAGTAGTATTTTTTATTTCACTAAAAAAAACTAAATTATTAAAATTCGAATTTTATTTCACTAAAAAAAACTACATGCATATATAATCGTTAAATTAAATCTATTTGTATTATACTTTTAAAACTAATGCAAAAAAAAAAAATCATAATCATCAAATAAAATAAAATAAAGGTGAATTGATAAAGATAATATTGGAATTTAAGATATTACTCCTCTTCTTTATGCAAGAAGATCATTTAACTACAAGAGCATAAGCATAATGAGTTTTAAGTCGATGATTATCCAATGATTTCTCTTAAAATATGACAAAGATTTTTTTGGAAAAAAAAATATTGTTTAGTTTAGCCAACACTAGGGAACTAAGGGGAAAAAAAAAACTGTTTAATAGACAACGCTATTCCCACTCCATTGATTGTTATTCTCACTCTATTTATTTTTGTAGGGACCAATTTAACTCTCTTTAATGTGTTTATATGTTATAATTAAATTTCTATAATATTAAATATCAAAATACCCACTAATTTATTTTGATTTTTTTTATTAACATACAAGGATCTAATTAAAAAAATTTTAAAATTCAGACCAAAGTATTTTTTTCAAAAACTTTGAGGACAAAAAAATTATGAAGAAATGATCAAAATGCAAAAAAAAAAAATTAAGGACCAAACTTGAAAATCATAGGGACTAAAGTGAATTTTTTAAAAAAATATATTTTTAGAAGATATTAAATGGACATTAAATGAACGAGATAAACTAATATTGGTAGAATATGAACTAGATAAAGATTTATATAATAATTTCTTAATAGGTAATGGATGTGATAAAAAATTGAATTAATAGGCTCGATACTCGTCCATTGTCATCCCTAATTGTGATCATATTTGTTAATAATAAAATAAAAAATTAATTTTATCTCAATAATCATCATAATTTTCATTTGATTTTTCTCATATACATAGTCGCTAACAAGTAATTCTTTAAGTAGTTGCTTGAAAAAAAAAAAAAGTAAACATCTTGGTACAGTGTGTTTAAATGATTTTTTCTAACTTTTTATAAAGGACATGTCATTATTATTTTTTTGTTTTTGATATTCATAGATAGTGAGATACTTTCGGATCAGTTTTTGTATCAATTGAGACTAAATCCATCACTTTTTGAACTAAATTAGCACACATCAATCGAGACTAAGTCCATTATTTTTTGAACTAAATCAGTGTCAAAACACTTTTAACTTTTTATCAATTACTAGACTTCATTTTCAAGCCAAATGAACCCAATCTTTTAATGTTGATCAATTACTAGACCATTCGAATGTGGTTGTTGTTGTATAGTTAGTCTTCTATTTAAATAAGTATAAATACTAATAAATGGCAATGGCAAATTATGACATTCAAACACATTAAAAAAAAAAAAAAAGGTTTAAATTGGTCACCACAAAGATAAGTTGAGTGGGAATAACGATCCATGAAGCCAAAATAATACCATCCTTGTTTAATTTGTAAACTTACAGGTCTAAACTCCTCTAAATCCTAAACTTAAGTAACTTTAGTGGGGAAAAGCTTGGTCTGGGCCGCATTTGAGTTTTTAGATTTGATAGGAGAATGGGTTCAGACTGTTCGAGGCCCAAACCATGGCCTATCAGCAAATTACAACACAATAACAATGGTCTAGCTGACCTGTTTCTTGGGCAACCAATATGGGTTTTCACTGACACATGTTCATGGACTGAACCTCGTAACTCTATTTGGACACAAAATCTTATCTACTGAAGAAATATGGGCCAAGCAGACTGCAAACTGCAAAGCATGGGCTGTGAAATTTGCAAGTGAGGTCTGTGTATAAAAACCCACTTACGAAATGAAAAATTCAAGTTTGAACTTTAGAGCGCTGCTCTCCTATAAAACTTTAATTACAGCATAAATATCTGTATTATCCATTTTTGACAAAAAAAAAAAAAACCTTGTAGTTTGAATTTAGTCAATTGGCTCTTCATAGTTTGATCTACTAGACAGCAAAAGTCCCTCCGTCTATAGTCAATCTAATTTTTCGTTACTTTTGACTTTTTTAAGGGAAGAGGGCACGTGTTAGCTCCCTATTGCTTCTAATTTTTTTAAAAAGGTAAATTTGATTAAAAATTCGACAAAATTTTTGCTAAATATATTGCCAACTTATTTATTTATTTATATCTATATTTTATCTCCCTTTTTTTTCAATATTTTATTTATATAAAAAATTATCTTTTAACTTAATTTTTAAAAGTAAAAAAATAAAAACTTTACTATAATTTATTTTTTATAATTTTGAATTTTTTTATTTACCACATAGTTTTTTTTCATTTTCTATTTTTTTACTTTATTTTGAAAAAAAATTTATTTTATTTTTGTATTTCATCAACGAAGGATAAAATTATTAATTTATTGATAAAATATAATTGATTCAATTTGAGTATTTTTTTTCATAAACATGAATTTCTAATTTGATATTTTGAGAAAAAATTAAATTATACGTTTGGGATGTCATTATTTTTTTAAAAAAAATATTTATTTCCGATCGTTTTATATTTAGCTTTTGAAAAAAGAAAAATTCTTATGGAAAAAAAAGAAGAAATTTAGCATAAATTAATAAAAAAATAAACAAAAATAATTTTGATTTTTTTGTCTTTTTAAATTAAATTAAAAGTTTTAATGTAAATAAAAAATAAAAAAAGTTTCTAGCAATAAATAAAAAGTTGAGAAAATTTTTTAACAATTTTTTAATATTTTTTTAAATTAAAACCAATAGAAAGCTAACATGTGTTTCTCTTCCTCTTAAAAAATCAAAATTAACGAAAAATTAGGTTGGCTGTAGACGAGGGATTTTTTTAAAAAAAAAATTGTGCTAAAAAAATATACAACAGAATTATTATTTTTTAATTTGTATATTGTAAAAATTGAATAGATGGTTACGTATAGTGAATTAATAAATTACTGTTACCGGAATTTTAATCAAAATAACCTAACTATAAACTTCATACGTTGTAGAGATAAGTACAGAAATGTGGGTGTAATTAATCCTCTGAATCGGGAATTACTATTGGACCCAATTTCTGCCCTAATCATGTCCTGTGTGTCAGTGTATGAACATGACAGATGTCGTTTCACTTCAATACATTTATTGATTGGTTTCTTTGGGTACGCTGCACGTGCTAGGATTACGATGCTGTTTAGCCAAATTTTACATGTGTTTCTTGAGGTGTACTTTCTCGATCTTTTTTCCTTTTTAGCCCGATTAATCCCCTCCGGCCTCTGCTTTTAGTTCTTCAGAGTTCTCTGAGGTCTTTTTATTTTTTATTTTTTTTAAAATATAATCATTACGTTTATTAAATCAAATTATGAATTTCAAATTAAATAGTTATGATTTAGTGTATAAAAAAATGAAATAATTTAACTTTTTAATATTTAATTTTTCTAATTTAATCCGAGTCATTAAATTTAAAATTAATATTGAAATTTAAATATAACGGGAAAAAAAAAGGGTACATATTCATGTACCTTAATGGCAGGGCCATGCAATTCCAATGAAAATTTCACCATCAAATGTCATCATTCTTACGTCATAGTGAACAATCCAATAACAAGTAAGAAGCTTCTACTCCTTTTTTTCTTGACAGTATGGTTTATCTTGGCTTGTGGATCGAGGATAAGTCTCTACAGGTGGAGCTGCCCTTTGTTTTGGAAGATGACAGTGTTATATCATATTATAAAATTATTTTTTAAATTTAGTTTAATAATTTAAATTTTTGTGTTGAAATGGTTTTTAGACAGGTAATACTTTTAAAATTTTGAAAAATTTCAATTTAATCCTTAAATTTTTGAGTTATTCGTTATAGCTAAGCATTTTCTCCCTAAAAATATCATTTGCCCTTCCTGGTTTACTCATTTTAAAATTGGTACGATAGTGTGTTGTTAAGACACCCTTTTTAAGAAATCCTAATTTCATCTTGTAAGTTCTTATTCGATTTGATATTAAAAAATCGGTAATACTTAGAACGATGTATTTATAAAAAATATATATACTTATTTACGACCTTTTTTAATTATAATTTAAACCATGAATGATAATATGCGAAGTAATTTAAACCATGAATGATAATATGCGAAGTACCTGACTTACTAATTAAGCTAAACCTCCAAGATTTTTAAATCTTAAAAATTAGGTAACTAGATGATACAGTTTCTGAAAATGCACCAAGAAAAGAAGTTCGATAGCCTGATGGTTCAAACACGAATTAAATTGCTCAAACTTTGAAATGGGTGGGATATGAGAGGGCTAACCATAATTATCTAGCCCGTGACCCTATTGGGCTTCTCTTGAAAAAAAAAAAAAACATGAAAGAAATTTGTTCATTGAAGAATGAATATTGCAATTCAACATTAATTCTTAATTTCATCATGTGAAAAACACAATAGCTTATTATAGTTTTATAATTGTCATGAAAGCAGAGATGTTTGGTAGACTGGAAAAGAAGAATATCATTTTCTCCTGTAATATAGTTTCAGCAATATATATATAACTCTTTTAGATATTTATGTATGACATTCGAGAGATTTTATAATATTCAATGAGTAATTAATATAAATCATTACATAAAGAAAGATAGACATAAAAAAGAGAGAAAAACAAGAAAGAAAATTTTAACAAAAAAAATAATCAATGAAAAAATCTTCTTATCACTTTTGTTAGATCCAGGATGAAAAAATTATGAAAAAATTTTATAATACACAAAGAGTAACTAATAGCATATACGGTAGTTACTCTTGGGACTTACTTTGAGGAGAGAGATAGACACATAAAAAAAGAGAAAAATTATATTCATATCCACCAAAAGTGATAAAAATATTTTCACCTCTGCTCAAATTTTTTTATTTTTTTCTCTTTTTGTGTATCTATCTCTCTCCTCAAAGTACGTCCAAGGAGTAACTACTATACATGTCACTTGGTTACTCTTTTGTGTATTATAAAATTTCTCAATCCGGATGTAATTTTTTTTTATCTATCTCTCTCGTGAAAAGTAGATTCATAGAGTAATTAGTATACATGTACATTAATTACTCGTTTGATATTATAAATTTTTTTCATGGCATTTATCCACTTTTCTTAATACCAACATAATTCAAATTAGTTTCAATTTGAGGTGCAGAAAATTTGCTCTCTTTTCTCGTCAATGAAATGATATATCTTTAAGAAAAAAAATTGTATTCTTGGTACTTATGGTTTCATCCTTATACATTGTACTATTTCTTATAAAACTTCTATTACTTAAATATTTGAATGTAATCATCCTCTTATAGCAAAGAACCTACCTTTTTTTTTACAATTTTATCATGTTGAAAAACCTTAAAAACTATAATTGATTAGTAAGAAAATCCATAATGCTTATTTTTTTTAGCATCAATATGGTAATGATGTTATTCAAGACAGTTAATTTAAGTGAAAAAATCTTTAATCGTTTAAATAAGTGATCTTGAATTCAAATACTTATATATTTAAAAAACTCCTTGAAAAATTGTATCCGATTTGTGCTTCCGATCAAATAATAAAAGATTATTCTAAATCTTTATAATCGAGATATCCTGAGAACTAATATATATATAATACTGATGCTCGTATGAATCACTAGATTTAAAAATGCTGATACAGTGGTTCACGTAGAAATTTACGAAGTATTGATTCTAAAAGATTATAATTGTAGCAATATTCAGTAGTGTTATCAAACACGATTTAAATCGATAAATTGAACTGAAGAATTAATGAATTAGATACCAAACATGATCAGGTTTTGTAAAAGAATTTCTAAGCAAATAACTAGAAAAGAATCACTTAACCCGATCTCTCCTGCCTGAATCTTTGATAGATACATGTACTTTTCTTTCTTTGTTTTTTTTTGTATGGTTGTAAATTAATGAAGTTGCTAATAGCTCATGGGATAATATGAAACTTCTGTACCATGTTTTGTTTTGATTCAATTTCTGATTTTCTTTTTTTCTTTTTCTTTTTTTATCAATACTTGTCACCGTTGCTAGTCATCTAGATACAAAAAACTCAACATTTCAATGTCAATATGCGAACCTACTAGTAAAATTTTAAAATATTTAGTAAGTCATTAGCAATATATATTCCTTAAAAAAATATAAATACATAAAAAAATCATATCTAATTTCACAAAAAATAATAAAAATATTTCAATATAAACACAAATTTTTCTAACATGTTATCAGTTGAACCAACGACGCAAGGACCTGTTCCCTACCGATTCCATTGGAGGGTTGGGTTTGATAATTTTGACACCAAGTTTGGCATTCAACTTTCTACAGAATCGAAGAAGATCGTGCTTTTTTGCTTTTCTCCTCCAAGCAACTTTACACAATAATCACTTAAGTGGTAAGAATGATCATGATCAGTCGCACAAAAAAGGAAAAGAGAGAAGAAAACGAAACAAGAACAGGCGAAAAATCAAACTAGCCTAACGGACAAAACTAGAGAGACGTGGACGCAGGAATAGAGAAAGGAGAAAATTTTTAATTGAACGTTATGAATACTTGGTTCAATCCTATGAGTTTTGACCCCACTGACTTGCACAGCCCTGACCCATTCCTTCCCGGGTCCCACTTTCCTACATAACACTTTCACTTCACTTCCCGATCTTTTGTCTTGTTCCACTTTTTCATTCCAGTGGAGAAATATATCTCTCATTTCTACTTTTACAATTTATTTTTGGCATTTCTCAGATTTGGACCTCCTCTCTCTCTCTGAAAACTAAAAAGTAAAATTGTCTTGTGAATCAATGGTAGGTTACGGGTCACTTTAAAGGAGCGTACATCTTTGCATTGATATATTCTCACTACAAACCCCCTCCTATTATTATCCTCCTCTGCCTCAAACTCCCCATTTCAACCCCTTTCAGCTCTCAAAAACAGCTCCATTAGCTAGCATTCCAGTGATGAATGAAGAAAGCAGTAATGGCTCAAGTAATTCAATATGTACAACATCATCATCTTTGGCCACCACCATTACCACCAAGCTCAGTAAACAGAACCCAATTCAACAAAAATCAAGAAAGGCAAGAGACTGCAGCAAACACCCAGTTTACAGGGGTGTTAGAAGGCGAGCCTGGGGTAAATGGGTGTCCGAAATCCGCCAACCTCGTAAGAAATCACGTATTTGGCTCGGAACATTCTCTACGGCAGAAATGGCAGCGCGTGCTCACGACGTGGCAGCGCTGAGTATTAAAGGTGACTCTGCCATTTTGAATTTTCCAGAGCTTGCTGACTCGTTACCTCGCCCAGTGTCATTAATGCCACGTGACATTCAGACAGCCGCCACGAAAGCTGCTGCTATGGTCGAGTTTAATCCATCATCACCATCCTCATCATTGTCGTCGTCATTGGTATCGGTGTCTGTAGATGTGGCAGAATCCGAGGAAGAATACTTAAGTGAAATCGTGGAGTTACCGAATATAGAAGGGAGCTTTGACTCCCCTGATCAGTCACAGACTGAGTTCATGCTGTTTGACTCGGTTGATGGGTGGGTTTATCCCCCATTAGACTTGTGTGGAGAATTTTCTGATCAGTTACTTGGCCTGGAGAGCTTGATTTCGAACAACTTTGGAGGGTCTGTGTTGAATTAATGGCTAATTAAATTGGCGTGATAGTTTTTCGTTTAGTTTTTTTTTTTTCAAATTATAGATATATACAGATTCTAGTTTAACAAGATAAAAATAAAAATAAAAATGTTTGGCTACTTTTGCTCACTGGTCATCATTTTTATCACTGTAAAGTGACTGATACTGTTTCCAAGATTAGATATGCTCTCTCTCTGTCACGCACACAGATCATAGATGTTGCTTGTGAATGCACAGCATGTTTGGATAAATATGACTTGAGATTTTTAATTAATTATTTCAAATACTAACTCTTCTGTATTTGGTGATTCTATCAAGAATTGTAGTAATAATTCTGATGAAATTACAGAGATTCTACAACGCAAGCAACTGAAGTCATAATTAATTATTTCATCTTTTGTATTCAAATACTAACTCTTCTGTATTTGGTGATTCTATCAAGAATTGCAGTAATAATTCTGATGAAATTACAGAGATTCTACAACGCAAGCAACTGAAGTCATAATTAATTATTTCATCTTTTGTATATTATCGATGTGTTTTCGGGTTAGTTGGTGCAGATAACCCTTTTTTTAGGTCAATTAAAAAGTAGATGATACAGAAGTATCTCCCTGCGTTTTAAATTTCGGAGGCTCTAGTAACAGGTATCTGTCTGGAAAATCTATTTATCTCGACAGAAATATGGATCTGCTTCAATAAATAAATAAAAAAACAGAGTTTATAATAAATAAGTGATTTTTGGTAAAGGGCGAAGGACCTTTTCATTTTTCATCTCCCCAGTTTCCAGCCTCAATGAAAACGTTAAAGGGTTGAAGAGTTAAAAAGAGGGTACCGAGGGATATTGTTCATGCAAAGAAAATATACTGATGGCCTAGTTTTAACAAAGAACACATGGGGTGGGCCTTGATGGTCTCTTCCAGAATCAAGACTCTTCCCACATGAAACACGACATACACCTTCGAGGCTTCAACGCAACAAATTCATGGAAGAACTCATCCAAGTTCACATACCTTCAACACAACAAATTCATACAAAGACTTGTGAGTGATTTGGAATGGCCCTTTGTAGTTTTCACTCTGAAAATTGGAATTTGTAATTTTGTTAGTAATAAAAACTAGTTTAAAAAATAGATTTTTGTCCCATTGTTCTTTAACAATCGATATGAAATAATTCAATAATAACGATACAAGTCTGAAGTACTGTGAATATTTGGATCATTTGTTTTTTCATGACTTAAAATAATCACTACTTCCATCAAATTTATTTTATTTCATGTACCTTAGATTAAGTAAACATAAGAAATTTACTCAATTTTCTTTTAAAAAATAAAAATTAATTAACTATGCCAAGGAGTCACCCATTTAGACTAAGCACCCAATGGCAGTAGGGATCAGCATATTACACATTTAGTGGCGCAATCATGGACGTCACCATCTTTCCATTAGAATGTGAGTAGAGAAGTGCAAATTGCAGAAAGTGCCGTTGGAAGGTTTGGAGCTTGCTGACACGACATAAGTAGATGGTACCGTTGAAAGGTTTTTTTGAATTCCATTGACTATATTTGTATATGTGAGAAGAGAACAGTGCGTGCGACAAAATTTGCTGCAATATTTGGATAGTGGTATATTTGGATTTGGATGCGAAATGGATATAATTTTCCACTATAGACCATTGAGTCGAGCAGATTCAGGTAATGACGAGGATCCCATTATTAAAAAAAGCAAGGAGGAACAATTCCTTAATCCCAGGGAGCAGTTATCCATTTAATTAATTAATCATGTATAGTTCATTTTAATGATGTATGTTCTGTACAAATACCCTTTACAAAGCAAACTTAAGATAGAACTTAATTTTTTTTTTTTTGGAAGGATTCATTTTGTCGTTCATTCAAGTTTAATATTGTAACATATAATTTAATTTTTTAATAAGTAAAAAATTTATGAATGATAAAAACTTGGGATAAATTAAAAATCAAATAAATGTAATAAACTATTGAATTTTTTTAATAGTCTAATTTATCATTTTCTATATAGTCCATTATATCAAATCGAATATAATACTTGGCTACTCGATCAAATAAATATATGCCACGTATAAAATTTTTAGCAAATAATATATGTGTGTGTGTTATTATTTATTTACAGTTATTCATGATTAGTTAAGATATAAAAATTAAATATTCATAAATTTCAAGAATGAGATTTGATAAAATTTATAGATAATGAAGTAAAATTAATTTCAAGAGTGCGATTTAATTAAAAAAAAAATTACGGAACGAATTATTATAATATCTATATTTCGAACTTCCGATCAAAGCTTCCTAATTTAACTTTCAGAAGTCACCTAAATAGGAAAGAAAAAAAAGAAATTGGTTCAGAATATTTCTCTCCTATTCGTGATTTCTATAGATGCGTGGCATGCTCATATTCCGCTTGTAGGGCATGTTGAAAGTTGATCCAAAATACATGAAATTGGTATTCGCACCAAATCCTTTCGTGAGGTTAACAATTGGATGTTTTTGGTTAATTAGAGTTAGTTGAGGTTTGACATCAAAAATAAAATACAGACAATGAGAATTTTTTTAGCAATCTTTTGAATCATTCAAAAGCCACTATTGCAGCTACCAGCGAAGCGTGAATCATATTTTCTTTTGGAAATATTTAAGAAAGGAAAGGTGCTTCTCTAACCATTACGAGGAAAATTAAACTTTAATTAAATTATTAATTTAAGGCGTTTCTCCCATGTCTTGATTTCAAAAGGTACTTACCTGTTTTTCATAAACTTTTGCTTAATTAAATGATTGAATATCATAACAAAATTTACCCAATGTTGGTCACTATCGACCAACATTCCGTCACAAGTTCATAAAAAAAAAAAACAAAAAAACATTCGGTTTCAATTAACTGAAATTTAGTCAATTATTGCATACTTATTTATCATTAACTTCTATCGTTATTTAGTAAAATGCTGATAGTACTTGACATTTGTGAAATAAAATTGTGATTTCCAATCACATAATTTTGCATAAGGTAATGAAAAGTTTGTGAAAATATGTATAAAATCGGAGAAAAATGCATGATGAAGCATTGTAGACCAAATGCCAACTATTTGCTCTATATATATGTATATATAATTGGCATTAATTTCTATTTATTACACGCATACATATGTCGGTTCCTTATAATTTGACAATTAGATAGTTCCATTTGAGATTGTGGTGCGCAATTTCAACAATGTTTTGAATGTAGGCTCAAATAACTGATCCAAAAGAAAAAGAAAAAAATATTGCTGGTAAAGTTGATATCCAAGCGTGCTTCTTAAATATTGTTAGCTGAAATAGTATATTCATAGTAAAATGCACCAAACAATTATATATATAAAGTCAAGGTTTAAAAAAAAAACATTGTTTTTTTCCTTTGGGAGTGATTAATTAAAGAAAGAAATTGTTAGTGTCATTTGTATATAAGAACCAACCTTTGCGTTGTCACAGAAGTGACGTTTAGTTTTGGTATTTGATTAATAAACCATAGATGGGAACAGTGGGTTCCAACTTTTCTGTTTCAGAACATGTAACAAAGAAAAATCTTACGTTAATTATTCTCTTATTCAATTTCCATGTTGATTTCATATTGATCTTTTTTTAGTCTTAGTTTTCATACTTTATTTATATCTATATGGAAATATCTTTACCAAAGTTGTACGAATCTATATATAATTCTAACTTTTGTGCTTGTTTAGCAACAGAGGCCGGCGCAAATTGATAGGTTGGTGAAGCAAATTCTAAATCGGTAACTTGCAACAAATAACTTTCTCTTGGTCATTTTTTAAGAAAAAAATCCTACTTGTTATTGGCGATTAAAATTAATGACAAAAAAAAAAAAAAAAAATTAACAAAACTTCCAAAAAAAGAACCTCACAAGAAAAACCTTCAAATACGAAAACTTCTGAAAAATTACTCATAAAACTCTTAACTCCTGACATGTATAAAAAAAGAATAGATCTGCAAAATCTTTCAGGTCAACTCTTTTTCGGTAGAGAGAAGTGATAACTCTTCGGTTAAGATGAAATATCCCACCCATATATGCTTTTGTTTCTTTCTATAAAGTTTATTTTTTCCGTCTTAGTTTCTTTGTCACATTTGATTTTTTACAAATATTAAGCAACATAATAAATATAGTGTCACGTCATCCAAAATTACTGCAACTTTTTAATATTATTCTTTTATTTTTTTTCACAAAAAAATTGAGAAACACAATAAATAAAATTTTAATAAAAAGGTATAAAAAAAATAAAACATTTTCGTATTGTGTCTAAATAAACATAAATAGAAACAGAAACAATTAAGTGGGACGAAAAAAAGTATTACTTAATTATTACATCAATGAATTTGAAAAAAAGAAATTAACTACAAACTAAGAAGAAATCATTTTATCCAAAATCAAACAGAGGCACTCATTAAATAAAAAATTGATATAAACTACCACATCAATTGTTTTTTTCTAAAATTATTGTAGGACACGAACTCATAGCAAGCTAGCGAACAAAAATCGGTAAACAATTTTTTTTCTTTATTTTTTTTTTCCCAATCGTAAGATACTTATCATGGCATAGCTTATGAGCGTTGCTTTTACAAACTTAAACCAAAAATTCCCTCGTGTAACACTCAACATAACTAATACATATATAGGATTAATACTTGCATTTTTATACTTTTGTTTCTGTATTTAAAAGATCCCTATGTTATTATTATTTTTTTCTAAATAATATTTATGTATATTAAATTACATCCTTCAATCGTTCTGCATTGTTAACTTTGTTAAAATTTGACACGTGACATTGTGAAATTTTTGTTGATGTATATTTTGATCTCTATTTTTCTTTGAAAATTTTATTTTGGTCCCTTTGTTTCGCTTTTCCTACAAACACTACAAGAAAAACGAGGGAATAATGATGAAAATCAACAGCGGATTAGATTACGTCACTAAATAGCGAAGGATCAACAAACA